CCTGCCCCTTTTCCCCCCTCCCTCCCCCTTTTCACGCCTCCCTACCCCTTTTCCCCCCTCTCTCCCCCTTTTCCCCCCTCCCTCCCCCCTTTCCTCCCTATCTGTACTCCCTCAGGTGCTGCGCACTGGAGTTCCACCCTCACAACGACAGCATTGTGGTGAGTGGCGACAAGAAGGGCGCTCTGGCCGTCTGGAACTTCGACCAGGTACGTCTGTATGTGTGTCCGTACGTGAGCCTGGGTGATATAGAAGAAAAGTGAGCACCGCCTCTCTGTCTGCCTTGTGTGTCTGTCTGTGTGTGTGTGTGTGTGTTACAGTGGGTGCGCTCTTGTTCCCAAACCTTTGCTTCCCAGCAGGGGCGTACGGACGGACGGACAAACACGTATCCTGCTTTTCCCCCCCTCTCGTGGTTCGTCTTTCCCCCCTCGCCCCTTTCTTCCTTACTTCTGGCTTATCACTCTACCCAACCTTGGCATCGGCTTCACTCGTTCGTGGTTCGTCTTCCCCCTCTCCCCCCCCGTCGTACACCTCCATCCCCTCCTGCATCTCTCTTCGTGTCTACCTGTACCTATGGTCTGGTGCACCCACCCCCTCACCCCCTCCTCCTTTTCCTGCCACAGGTTCATGACCGTACAGTGTACGACACCGTACATTCCTGTCTTACGAACTCCATCCGCTTCCTGCCCTGGCTGGACTCCATGTCCGTGGTGACGGCCTCCTCGGACGGCACCTCCAAGCTGGTGGACTTGGAGACGGGCGACTGGAGGCCGCTGCTGGACCTCAACCCTGGGGGCTGGGTGCAGGTGTGTATGCGTGTGTGTATGGGGGGGAAGGGGGAGGGGGGGGGAGATGGGGGGGGGATAGGTGGGGGAGAGGAGGGGAGAGAGGAGCAGGAGGGAGAACGTCGGCCAGATATATATGTGTGGGCGTCGTCTTTAAGGACGTGTCCGTATGTATGTAATGTGTGGTGCATTTAGAAGGAGATGTGTTGTGCGATGTGTTTTTAGGAGGAGGGGAACTACCGCAGGGAGGGGGGAAAACACCATCAAGACGCGGCCATTGAAGGCTGCTGCTGTAAGCGGGTGTGGCAGTGCGCCGAGTGTGTGGATGAGCTTACGAGGTGTCGTTTTGCTTTACGTAAAACAGGCGGACACGCCGGGAGCGGGGCGATTATCGCCGCACACATGCACACATACACACACGCACACACACATACACACGCGCGCGCAGGGGTACGTTGCCGGGGTGGTCAGTGGTCTCATCAGCTAGCGGTACATTGCTTCAAGAAAGGAACCGTCACCCAACCCCTCAACCCCCCACGGGTCAGGGGACTCGGCCTCTGGCTCCCAACTCGTTTCAGTTACGAGACCGGTTCTTCAGTCAGCTGCTCGGCAGCTTCCTCCCTCCCGCATATCGAGGCTCTGCCCACTCAACCACCCACCCCCCGATCCTAACAGTCCACCCCAATCGCAACAGTCCACCCCAATCGCAACCCCCCGGACGGCGTGGATCCCTCTTTCGCTCTCTTCTTACTAGGGGGGGCCCTGGCACATGATCTACGGCTGCGATGCCAGCCCCGCCCTGGGTGTCGTGCTGGTGGGCGACAGCAACGGCTGCGTTCACCTTCTGGACCCACGGACCCGCGGGTCGGTTTGCTCCCTTCAGCTGCACCGCAAGGGCAACAAGGTCGTCTCCGTCCACATGCACCCGCTGCACCCGCCGCTCGTACTAACCGCCGGCAACGACCACTCCGCGAGGATATTCGACATCCGGGAGCTATCCTCGGCGCCGTCAGCGGCGGCGGCGGTGGCAGGCACGCCGCCGCAGCCTCCGGCGGCGGCGGCTGCAGCCGCTGCTGCAGCGGCCCGTATCGCCGTTGCGGGCGGCATTCTGTCTGCGTCACCGGCGGCGGCGGCGGCGGCAGGGTGCGAGCCCGCTGGGGCCTCGACCCGGGCAGGCAGGCGTGGCGGCGGCAACGGAGGAGGACGCGGCGGCGGCGGCGGAGGCGGTGCCACCGCTGGCAGCAGCAAGAAGAAGGGCGGCTCTCCGACCATGTGCAGTGGCAGCGGTCCGGGTGCCCATGCCGAGCTGGTGGTGATGCCGCACCCCCGGGTGGTCAACTCGGCGTACTTCAGGTACGACCTGCCGTACCAGCAACATCACCACTAAAACTATCACCACCACCACCTGCACTTGCGGAACGACGCCACCATGTTTTTTCATCCGGGGGTATCGCGGGCGCTGATGTCCTTCCCAGTGCTGCGGCAACAGCTTGCATGCTATCCAAGGAGCCCTTTCCCGCCTTCTTGCCGTACATTCGTAGATACGTACATACGTATCTCCCCTGAGGGATCTCTTCACACCTACACATTCTCAGTGGGTTTCGTCACCGCCCCCTCCGCTTCCCCCCCCCCGGTATCGCTTCCTCCCTCTCCCCACAACTCTTCCCCCCAGCCCGCACACTGGCCGCCGTATCCTAACGACCTGCCAGGATAACCGTCTGCGGGTGTGGGACTACGCGCCGTACGGCTGCAACGGTCCTGCCGACCGAGAGATCGTACACTCGCACGATTTCAACCGCTACCTGACGCCGTTTCGCGGGGAGTGGGACCCCAAGGACCTCACGGAGTCCGTGTTCGTGGTGGGCAGGTCGGTTGGGGGTTGGCGGTTGGACGTTGATGCACGTGCAGGGTGGGGATGGAGGTGTGGGTGCTTAAGGGGGGGCCGCAGGGGGTTGTCCCTGTAAACCGTCTCCATCCCCACCGGGAGCCGGCAGCTCACAGCTTTTGCATTCTTCCATGTACTGCAGCAACCTGCCTCTTTTCGAAACCGCCGCCTCCCTGGCCCCGTTACCTAAGAACTGTTGCGACTTGGGGCGTCGTCAGTTACCTTTTTGTCAAGGCTGCCTATTTTCTCACCCCCTTCTTATCTGCGCCATTCGCCAGTGGTTTGTCTTACCCCCCCTTCCCCTTTTCCCCCCTTCCACACATACATACACACACATACACGCATACACGCATACATACATACACACATTCACACATACACACACAGGTACATTTCAGAGGACTTCGGCGGTGTCGCCCTGCACCCAGTGGATGTGTTGTCGGCCAGCGACGGGGGGCTGCTGAGACAGCTGACAGACGCCAACCTGACAACAATATCGCCAGTAAATAAGGCCCACCCGAGAAGGTACGGCATGGTACGGTACGGTACGGTTTAGGGGGCACACACGAAGTATTTGATGACCGGACCGCTGGTGAATGTGGGTGGGTGGTTGACTTGCTGGGGGTTCTCTTCCCCAACACACATACACATACACACATAGACAACCCGTTCCCCTCTTTCCCCCTAACATACATACATACATATACACACAAACGGACCAGGCACCTGATTGTGTCGGGCAGCAGCCGCTCTCTGTATCTGTGGGCGCCGGTCAAAGGGGAGGAAGAACAAGGGCAAGAGGAGGAGGAGGAGCGGACAACAGCGGCAGCGGCGGCGGCGGCAGGGTCCCGGAGCGGCGGCAATGGTGGTGGCGGCGGTGGTGGTGGTGGTCTGGTAAGGGGGGCCCCTCGCGCCTCCCGGACATTTGTCAGTTTCGATGCCGATCCTGGGGGGGCCTGTGGCAAGAAGATGACGAAGAAGCGCAAGAAGGGGGATGTGAAGGGCGGCAAGGCGGTGGACGAGGATGAGGATGACGATTGATGCAAGACCGAGGAAGCGGATAAAGCTGCAGGGGCGCTGCGGCCGGCACTTGCTGGTGCTTTTGCGGCCACCGCTGCTGCTGCTGCTGCTGCTGCTGTAGTTAACGTTTTATAATTGTAATTTTCTGTTGACACTGACCTTTTGTATGTTGCACCTACTGCGGCGGCGGCTCTGTCTCTTGCCTGTAGCTATGTCTGTAGCTATGTCTGTAGCTATGTGGGTTTCTTTCCCCCGGAAGGTTTAGTCCATTCATTAAGACGCGCCCGGATCACCGAGGCGGTGGTGACCCTCTTCCCTCGGTTTCCTGTTTTTGTGGGGTGATGCTCCCCTGGCGGGCGGAAGGAGGGGAAGACTGCAACGCATGTGGGAATTGCTAACGTTCTGTCACTGTGTGTTAGTGGACCCTGGATCTCACATAGCAGCTAGGACGTTGGGGAACAGCGGAGTGCACGCACATGCTGTTGATTGCGCTGTTCCGGGCATTGACGAACACGCTTCTCACATGAACATGCTTCAGAATGAACTGAACAAGTTGGGTGTCGGCTTCAAGGAAGCCGGAAAAAGGGCGGGGCCCCTCTGCATCCGTACAGGCCGGTAGCAAGGGTGGCAAGGGTGACAATTGATGGGTAGTGTCAACGCGGTGGGAGATATGCTTTGTTGCAGCAGTGCTGATGGTGTGAGAGCTAAGCTTGCACCGGCGGAATCGTCAGCACCGCCTGCGGGCTCCACGCGAATCGCATCCATTCCGGGTGCATGCCGCATGGACAGTGCGGCAGACCGCAAGTCGGAATGCCCGTGCGGGCAAATGGTAACGAAAGCTGGGTGAATTTCGGTGCTGTCTGTGATGTTTATCCCCGAAGCGCCAGCGGCCTCAGCAATCTGCCCCACAGCCGCGGGGTTCATCGGGGCACACCGCAAGTCTCAGGAGGCCCCGTGCATTGGCCAAAGTAAATGTACAAACAAGGAGCTTGTGTATTTCATAGAGAAATGAAAGCAAATTATGTTGGCCTGCTGGTGGCAAGTCGGATTGCCCATGCCGGCAAATGGTAACACAAGCTGGGTGTTCGAGTTATCATACGCCGTCATCTCAGAATTCCATTGTGAGATACGCGGCAGCTTTTGGGATGAAATTTAGCGCGAGAGGCGTTGATGTGGCTTTTGAGGTCGGTGAATGGAGGCAGCTAAACTTTTTTGTGCTCATACGGTCTTTGTTAGCTACATGCGAGATACCTTGCAATAGAGAATGCTGTATAGTACCGATAACGCGTTTCAGCCGGGTGAAATATTCTGTTTGGTCCGTTACACACTCAAGGCCTGGGAGTTCGAGTTATCATACGCCGTCATCTAAGAATTCAAATATGAGATACGCGGTACCTTTTGAGATGAAATTTAGCGCGAGAGGCGTTGATGTGACTTTGGCCTCGGTCAATTGAGGCAGCCAAACTTGTTTGTGCTCATACGATTTTTGTTGGCTACATGCGAGATACCTTGCAATAGAGAATGCTGTATAGTACCTATAACGCGTTTCAGCCGGGCGAGATATTATGTTTGGTCCGTTACACACACACACACACACACACACACACACACACGGACATGGGCAATCCTACAGGTCGGGGCCCCCCTGGGCGCTTCGCGCTGGGGCCCCGCCCAAAAATAGTAAAAATCGTACTTTTGGTGGTTCAGCGTGGGCGACTACTGCTGTGTGCTGCGCCGCACCGTACAGCTTGGTCTCGGAGCCGTTGCTGGATGTTGCGGCCCTAAGTAAAATCTCCGTCCGAGTTCGGCGTCTTTCTCTTTCGTTACGTGTGGGAACCAGCTGGTGCGTGTGGAAATCACTTGCATATGCATATCCGTGTGTGGAAGAGGGCGAAAGAGGGTGTGGGTGCAGTTTAAGTGTTGTTAAGCACGTAGGGACGTGGCTGTCTTAGGTTGTGCCGGGGTTAGTTGAAAGACATTGGTGGGTGTGTCGATGCGTCGAACTCAAACACAAGCGGGTTGCGTGCGAGTAGCGCTCGTCGCACGTGAAGCATGAGCTTCACGTAACGAGGGGTGTTGTGTGCGTTGTGTTTTTGACATGGCGGAAACATGCAACGCCTATGGGTGTGTGGGATATGTGGCTATTGGGTTTAACTCGGACGAACTGAAGTGGAGGGTGGGGGTGCAGGATGGGGAGGATGGAAGGCAAGGGGAAGGGAGGACGCAGCGGTTGATGAGAGACAGCGGGGAAGGAGGACGGAGGGACCGCCTGGGGGGGGGGAGGTAGTTGGGGTGTGTGGGAAGCTCCCTGGGAAGGGAGCAGCCGGTACGCCTCGCCACCATCCGGTCATCCAGTTGAGGGGTCAATCTGCTGGTGGTGCTGCTGCTAAGGGGGCCGGAAAACCGGGGGTGTATATGTGTATGTATATATGTATGTGTGATGTGCGATTTGCGTCATAACGAAGCCAGCTTGATGTCTTGATGCGGTGCGATACTAGTGTGTGTTTGTATGTGCTCTTTCTGCAATGAGGACTGATTTTCTTCTGCACTGCAGTTTAGGACTGTACGACTGTACGGCTGCCATCGGAGAGCGAGCACCTGCTGTACGTCGCTGGGATGAGTTCGACCTGCTCTGTGTCATATGTGGGCATCACGACGGAGGATCGTACCCTGTATGGGTATCGGGGTTCCCCGCGGCTCGCGTGAATATCGCTTCTCGTTGCCCCACAAGGCCTCATCGCGGCGCCCAGAGTCAATAAGGGTTTCCGCCATCTGCTGTTCGGAAACAGACAATGGCGCCAGGGGGACCTTCCCACCGAGACCAGCGAGCAGGAGCTCCTAACTTGGCACAATGCGTGGGCGATGACGATTGCACACGTGTGTGTACTACAAAGCTTCTGTTGCAAAATACATCGCAATGCATGCTTTACTCGAGACTGACGTGCGGCAAGCAGGAAGGCGAGTAGCTAGGTGGGTAGGTAGTGCCAGCAGCTTAGCTAGCTAGCTAGCTTGTAAGAGGCGTTTACACGACCTAACCTAGTAATGGCCCTCCGGCTGACCACCTGATTTGCAAAAGTATGTCCAAGCCGCCACTTTACACCCGCCGCTGCTAAACACCAACTCTGTGGTCAACAACGTCGTTAAACTCTTCGAGGGAGAGGAACTCCCAAACCAACAGTATTAATGGTAAGGCTAAACGTCAGCTCGTGCACCGTGGCGTGCGTGTATGGGCGGTGCTAAAGGACTAGATAGACATAGATACGTACGTACATACATACCTAATACGTGTACTCAGATATATGCATGTTTATGCAGATTGCATTAATCTGCAACCAGTGGTCGCGTGGCCTAATGGATAAGGCATCGCCCTCCGGTCTAACGCTCGGGAATCAGGCGGGGATTGTGGGTTCGAGTCCCATCGTGATCGACTGCATGGATACTTTTTCGAAATCATACCGAAGTCGGATGGCGTGAACGGATTAGGGTGCCCCTCTAGCAGAGGAGATCAGGGAACTGCCTCGGGTAGGGGGGCCGCTGGTGAAGCTATACAACCCTGTAACAACATACATATGTACATACATAATTGCCCTGCTTGGCACGAAACAGTACTGATAATGTACGACAAGACAAAACAAGAGTCATTGATGAAGAATGAGGATACCCGCAATAGGGTACAAGACATTAGTCAGCCTTAGAACCTTCCATCTCAAGCCATAAACACACAGTATCCTGCCAATCGACATGAATTGTAAGCATTGTTCCAGGCTTAGCTTGATTCCTAGGAAGGGAAATGCTCATGCACTTGTACATTTGCTTGGCTTCCTGCTAGAGCGCATACCCCGGTCAGCATCTCCTGCAAGCGATTTCGGAGGTTACTTGGCCCTCAAAAGACGACGCTTTGATAGATATGTTTGATCCGCTCGACCTACCGGCGGCCGCTCATTATGATTCCCATGCACGTATGATGCGTGGGCAGGGTGTTCATATCTTTACCATGTGGCGGACCCTGCCTTCCCCAGTATTTCGGTGCGCCCTCATCTAGTCACCCTAGCTAGCTTCCCAGTGGATCGCTCAGGTTCAGCACCCACCATCGGCATCCAACGGAATCTGCCGGATCGACGGCCCCTCAACTCCATTCCTGGTCAGCTCGCAGGTCTACTTTATCCCAGGTCACCACTGTCCATCGACTAGGGGCACTATTACCTTCCACCATCGGAAGGATTTTCGACCCGGACAAGTCTCATTCTCGGAGCCTCCGGGGGGATCAGTGTGTGCAACAACAAGCAGGGCAAAATTGACACGACCCAGGTTCGAACTGGGGACCTCCTGTGTGTGAGACAGATGTGATAACCAACTACACCATCGTGTCACGCTATGTCCAAAATGGCAGTCATACTATCTACCTATGGCTATACGTAAGCCCAATGGGCACATTGCATGGTCATATCCTGATGAATGAATGAATGAATACATAAAGCGAACGTCTCCTCCTCACACATTATCGGTCAATCCCCAGATCGATGGGCATGTCGTATATACATGGCACGCAGCTGCTGCTGCGGCTGCTGCTGTGGCCTTCACGCCACCAGCAAAAGAACACAAAAAAGGAGGTATCCATCGACTTAGTATGGTAACCCGCGTAAACAGGTAAAGCAATGCCACCTGACCTTTTTCTTTATGCTTTTGAAATCGCAGTGAACAAAAGCGTCGCGGAGTCTGTGAACCGACGTCTGCGACCCTGATGAGTGACCGGCGGAAGCATTCCCGCTCCCACCGGCAGCATCCGGCTCCCGAATCCTCCTCCTCCTCCTTCTCTGGCGGCCGTGGCGGCGACAGAACCGGTTGATGCCGCCAGCTGCTGCAGATCAGTGGACAACTTCATGCCGGCGACTGTCGCTACCCCACAAGCAGCCTCTTGCTGCTGTCGCAGTGATGTGAGCGGTCTGTGCCTGTGTCGGTGTAACTGCAGTAGCTGCGGCTTTGTGGGGACGAGTGACTTCTGGCGACCACGGGGTTCAACGTAGCTATGAGGAATACTCGGGACGAGCGGCAGCGCCAAGTATGCGGTGGCAGTGACAGCGGCTCCGTCACCCCTGGCACCGCTCTTGCGCCAGGCGGGCCCTATTACCGGCACAGCGGCTGCGTCGCATTGTCCCGCTCCCAGTTGCGGTAACCGAGTCGCTGAGGAGGCGCCGTCTCCACCGTTGCTAGTCCAGGCCGTAAGCACGTGCGGTACGCGGGATTGGGTCTTGGAGCATGAGGAATGAAGTGGCGGTAGCAGCAACGCCTGGGCATGGCATGAGGCTGAAGGTAGGAGTGGCACACCGTTGAGGACCAGCGGCTCGTCGTCTGGGCAGGGATTAATGGTAGTGGTGATGAGGGTGGCGGCGACGGGTTTAGCAGGGCTGCCCCGGGCCAGATCAGGATGCGTATGGGAAGAGTAGGACGGTGCTCCTCGAATGAGCCCCGGCAGAAGGCTGCCGAGGCAACGGCCGGAGATGCTGCCGCCTCCGGCCGATACCCCATTTGGTTGCTGCTGCTCTTTTTGGTGACGGCGCTGTGGAGGGGCGCGCGCCTCTTGGAGGTTGAACAAGACTGTTGGATGCAGCAAGCGTCGGGTCTGGGGCTGGTAACTGAGTAGCCGTTGAGCGATTTCATCAGAGCTGAATGGCGAATCGCAAATTTGGTCATCGTTGCGTGGGATGTTGGCGACGGAGTGGAGCCGATTAACAACCTTGTCGGCGGGCATGTCTGAATCGCTGTCGCCGTCGCCTGGAGCCGACGACCATTGCCGGGATCTGGGCTTGCTGTTGGGAATAAACCTGGTCAGCTTCACCTTGATGGCATGTGGCTTGCTAGCTGCGACGGCCAACATCTCTCTAAGGGCGGCATCTTCATCCTTGTGTGCCTGGAATGGGAAGGACTGCTCAAGCTGTGCAAGGAGTGTAACAGATCGCTCGTATTCCTCAGATAGTTCCAAAAGGATTTTTTTGCAATCCATGTTGAAAGATACACGGTCGTGTGTGCGCTTGCTTAAAACGGCCCAATTGAAACTTTCTGACAGCCACGGACGCGTCAAAACCACGTGCTGAGTTCAAATTTTCGCCAAGAATGCAAATTGTGCTGTCAACCTGTAGTTTCCCGGAAAGCCATTAGACCATTGTAGACTGTAGTAATCAAAGTCAAAAAGTAAAATTTAGCACAGTCAACTGTCAGTTAATCGATCGTGTATAAAATGGATTACATAGCAGGCACCTGGGCAAAATCTCGTACCTTGCTTCATGGCAAACACATGCAAGTCCGTCGAAAACACATGAGCCACCGACGTTCATTTAGGCGCTTCGGTGCTAGGGCCGCGCTCACAAACCCGCCTAAAACAGAGGCATGAGGTTAAGTGAGAGAAGATTCTGAAGTTCGTGGAGAGCGGATACTGTGTGCGCCTTCGAGTTAGCTGCATACGGTACTGTGCGGTACGAAAACATCTTTACTCGCTGCGTTTTTAAGTCCACTGCGGCTCTCATCACTTACGCTTTTATGCTGTGAAAGCATTGGAATTGCCGACTGAATTGATTGCAATTCTTTGCATGACACATCCTTACAAATGTAGCCATGAAGAGTTTGGGCAGTCAACTCTGTTACTTCACGTTCCCTTGACCACATGTTGGACTTTCTCAGAACCTGTGGCCAAGGCCCACTAAAAAGCCCATGCCAGACGCTACGGCAAACTTTAGCCAATGGCCACCCACCACTTCTCCATCGGCAACGCAACTTAGGGCGCATTTCCAGAAGGATTAAGGGCAGGGATTAGGGCACGGAAGTCCTTGGTACGAGCTTACCACATAGTTTTGTTCCATAAGGGAACCAAGGGTTGGAAAGGCGAGGTAAGTTTGCCAATAACTTAGCCGTTTGAGCAAGTATCGATGGAGGACAGAGGGTTAATCCCTGGCCTTAATCCCCACTGGAAATACACCCTTGCTAGAGAAAAACTATTAGAAGTATCCAGCTCTTACCCACATCATCACCACGCCCTATCATCGCCATAGAGCCTGCCACATGCTAAGCCAATCTCAAGTCCACGGCCATTACCAAGGCTGACTTCCAACACAAGTACAACTTTCGTGGCCCACGTTGCTTTCCACACACGTTGCTTCCCCAAGCGCAACGCGGCACGTGAACATCCTGATTGCTAAAATACGGTCAACCCATACTTGGGCCTTTGCAACGCATCAATCGGCACTCCCCCTCACGAGAACGCACAGCCGCTGCCACCAACACCTTCATCCTCCTTCCAACATCACTTCTTGCATACCGAGACAAATTCGCGCAAAGGAGCAGCAGTGCCGCAGGCAAAAGACCAAACTGGCCGGTCTTGTCAGACCCAGAAAGGGACGCCCAATGCAATGTCCGTGACCATCCGTGTCCGTGCTTGCGCCTATTAGGGCACCGCTGCCTAGCAATTCGCGCCGTCGCTGCCGCCACCATTATCGTGCACCTCCGGCGGCAGGAACGCCACATTGACCCCGTTCCTTCCCGCCAGGGCGCTCCTCAACACCCAGTTGGCTGCCCGATACACATCCAGTCGACCCCCCCGGCGACTGCGCCAGTTGTGTCGGGCCGCGAGGGCCTCACACAGGGCCAGAGGGGTCCAGTCCTCATCGCGCCACTCCTGGCGGTTGAGGTTGTTGCGGCGGTTGGTTCGGTTGGCGAGGGAAAACGGGTATGCAAGGGGATCAGGGAAAGGGAGTTAAGGACGGAAACGTCTGGGCCTTGGCGCCAACTAAATGCAAACGGACGGGCCCCGGGATTGAAGTGAGCTCGTATTGCCACTCATACACACGGGGTCTCGGGGGACACCCTGTGCGGCGGCGAAGGGATCGGTCTCGGCTTGCCACGTGCGCATGCCCTGTCCTGCACGGCTGCCACGTCTGATGCCGTACCTGTTGTTGCTGTTCTCGCTGAGCGCGCGCATACGAGCCTTTCGCCCCCTCCTCCTCCCCCTCCTGCTCCTCGTCCTCCCTGACGGGCCTCAGACCCAGGGTGCGGTGCAGCCTGGGCCACACCCGCTCAGCCAGGTACCTCACCACCGCGTAGGGGTCGCGACACCGGGCGATGGGGTAGCTGCCGAACAGCACCTGACCGCCGCCAGAGGGACGGGGGAAGGGGCACGACCAAATGGAAAAAGGTGCGTCTAGGGGCCTGTACGTCCGTATGTCTGTACGTATGTAGGTGCTCATACATGCCCGCACCGACCCCAACGGAGGGGGTGTACGGAACGAAGAAGAGGGGTTAGGAGAGATGTTCGGGGCTGGCACAGAGGCTGGGGCTGCACCCGTCCGACAGCGTCCCATGACACTCGCAACCCACAAGAGCGCACACAGTGGTTTTCCCTCTTGACACGTACCCCGATTTTCCCCTGTCCTCTCTCCTCATTCCCCCCTGCCCCCGTTCCCACCTGCATGTACAGAGACACGTCCAGGCGAGGAAACACCAATCCAGGGCAGTCGCAAAGCATCAAGCTGCGGGGCGGGCGGGGTAGAGGACAGGGGGCAGGGGGGAGGATGTGGGGGAGACACAAGCGCGCAGCGGGTCAGAGGTTGGAGCCGGGCGCGCGGGACGTATCTCGAACACACAGCAGTGAGGATGGCGGCTTTAGGCCATCCTAACGGCGCGAGGGAAACCAAGGGCGCACTCCGCGCCCTGAACAGAACCATCCAGAACCTCTTCACAACGACTGGAAGGGGATCAGGCGCAGGGTATTACGCAAGGCATTCACTCCCACACCCCAATCACCACCTTGCAAATCTAAATCCCTAAAACTCGCCACTTGCGACCCACCTGGGGCACATCATGTGCGTCTGATAGTGCTTGGTCCTGCCCGGGTGGCTGGACACCGCCACCCTCTTGGCCCCCAACAGGGCGTTCATGGTGCTGCTCTTGCCTACGTTGGGCTCCCCGACAACGCACACCACCACGGGCCGGCGGCGGCCGCGACGGTCGCGACCGCCGCGCGAGCCGTGACCGCCCCAGACAGCCTTCGCGCCTCCACCGCCGTCGGTGTGGCGGCCGCTGCCGCCGTCACCGTCGCCTGTTCCTTGTGCTTCTTCTTCACCTCCATCGTCTTTCTCCTCGTCCAGGAAGCCCTCCTTATCTTCGTCCGCCACCAGCTGGTCAAAGGCCGCGTTGTCATTGTCCGCCTCCGCCTCCGCCTCCCCCTCCTCCTCCTCCACCTCTTCGTCATCCTTCATTCCGTCGTCATTGTCGTTGTTGTTGTTGTTGTTGGTGGTGGTGGTGGTGGTGGTAGTGGTGGTAGTGGTGATAGTGGTGGTAATGGCAGCAGCAGCACCGACGGCCGGTGCTCCGCCACCACCACCACCACCGCCGCCGCCGCCACCTCCCGCCCTCCCGTGCATGCGCTGGTTCCGTTTCCGCTGCACTGCCCCCTTCTTCCTGGCCTTGTTGCCCTGAGGCCAGTCCAGGGCGGGTGCGCCGCATTGCAATCCAGGTTCTCAGGCTCCGTCCGGGGCCTTATCCAGGAGGCTTTTACTCCCCTCAGTCAGTCACCCACTCACACCCTGCAGGGCGCATCGTTCCTTCACCCACGTACCTTGAGTTCCCAATCGTCTGCAGCATCGTCCTCCCCGTCCACACCGGACGCGGCTCCGGTTTCCCCTTCCGCTGCCGCCCCGGATGTCGGCGCCGCACCGGTGTCGGGACCCTGCAGGAACGGCCCAGCCAGCCGCTGCGGTTGCGGCTGCGGCAATGTTCCTGCTGGTGGTGCTGCTGGTGCTTCTGCTGCTGGTGGTGGTGGTTGAGGGCGGTCCCGCTTACTGTGCGTGTTGCGGGCCTTGGACGCCGCCAGAATTTCGTCCCGACTCATTTGGATCACCTCCGCAACCTGGGACGAGCATCGACGTTCTTGTGGATGGTAACATGGACAGTGTATCAGCGCGTGCAGGTTTGTGTGCGCGCGCGTGTGTGTTTGTGTGTGTGTGTATGTGTATGTGCGGGGACCTACGAGGTGAGGGAGTGAGAGTCTTGCGCAGTGGATGCTTCGGGCAAGCAGCTGCAGGTTATACGCGTGCACTTGCAGGGCTGGGCTGAAGGATATGCTATGCAGGTGTACTACTGCTACTACTATCACTACTACTACTTCTACTGCTGCTGCTGCTGTTACTACTGCTTTTGCCGGCACTGCTTTCGATGATGAGAAAGCATGCACGACCATTGGGCAGGCCAAGAGCTTGTAGCTCTCAACTCCGAGCTTCTCGCCCCGACGGACGACCCTGCTGAGGGGACCCGCTGGGTCAGACCGCCGCCGTACCTTGAGCCGCTTGCCATCTCGTGTCACGACGCTGTCCAGTACGGCATCCATGATGGCCTCCGCCGCCCCCCGGCCGCCAGCTGCCGAGGCGCTGCTGGCAACCACCTGCAACACACCAAACCCAACCACCCTAACCACCAACTGCTGCGGCTGAAAGCTGGAGAAGAAGATACTTGACCCGGCGTGGGGAGAACGGGGCTATGGGGACAGAGAGAGTACGCACATACACACACATACATACAGAAGTTGCTCTCGTGCGCCATCCGCCCGCTATTTCCCCTCCTCGCAGCTCAGTTCCAGCAACCACGCACGCACACATGTTCCTCTTTTTCTCAAGGAGTCGTTTTTCATACAACAAGGTTACATGCACCGCCACACACCCCTATGGAGCCGCGCCAGGTTGGGCACCCTACTGCTAACTGAACAGTAGGAGCCATACAGGCTCCCCCTCCTCGCACACATACACACACACACACACCGGAGGAATACACCCTCCCCCTCTCCCTCACCCTCAGGCCTGGGTAGCGCCCCTCGAAGAAGCGCCGCCACTGCCCCACACATGAGGCAGGAACCAGGTCGCACTTGTTCAGAACCAGTAGCGCCGGGATGCCGTGATCCGCTATCACGTGATGTGCCTGCCGTTCATACAACCGTCGTACAGACATGCACAACATGCGTGTTTACGTTGCCATGCGAGAAACATCCAGAGCGCAGCACAGCACGGCATTGTCGTACCCGTCCCAAACCCTTTTCCCCCCTCCCTCACCCCCCCTCACTCTCACCAGCGCGTCCGAGAAGTGCAGGAGGGGATTCCTGGCATCCACAATCATAACGGCCACATCCGACCTCTCCAGCACCCGCCAGAGCTGCCGCCAAAAGTCCAGTTTGGGCTCAAAAAAGCTGATGCGGGAGGGGCTGGGGACAGGGACCATGAGGGGCAGGCAACGAAGGACAGAACGGGGGACAGGGGGCGCAGGGGGCCCGCAGGGTCAAGGGAGGGGAAGGCAAGTCCGGAGGGGACGCGAGGCCGAGGATCCGGATCTGCGTGTAGTCTGTCAAGAAGGGAGTGGGTGGAGAAATGCAAACTGCTGGGTGTGATGGTGGTGTGCGGGCTGCACTCTCGCGGGGTCCGTTCGCGCGGTCCTTGTCCATGGGACGTTTGGTCAGCCCTGTTCAGCTGCCTTTACCCCTGCCCAGCTCTCCAGCCTTTCAAGACATCTGATCCCCCCTGGCGGCCGCCGCACACCCCGCATGGCGGGCCCTACGCGAACATGGGAATGAATCATGTGTGTGCTGTTTTTTCAGCGCCTTGCCTTGACTTCAAAGCTCGCTAGCACCGCCACCATTATCACCATCACTACCACCGTCCCGCCACTCCCTCCCCCCAACCTACCTGTCCACAGACGAGTACATCCGATCCACCCAGGACTGAAAGCTGCGCTCCTCCAGACGATGAAGCTGATCGGCGTTGCGAACCTGGGAACGGCAACACGAATACATCCATCACCACCACCGCCGCCTGCTGGTGAACCAGTACGATAAAACTACGAAGGCCCGTTATCAGGTCTGTGTGTGTCTGTATGTCTGTATGTTTGTATGTATGTGTGCAGCAATTTATGAGCATAAGCCCACCGAGCCCACACAGCAGCTTCGTCAGCTAGTAGCTGACGACGTTGACGAGGGCGGGGTAGCTCACCACTCCCCGCCAGTGCGGCCTCGTGGGCATCCCCAGCCGCCGGCCCTCCGCCGTGAAGCCGACCTCGTCCTCCCGCACGCGGGGCAGCCGCATGGCCGCCAAATCGTCACCACACACCGCCCGGATGCCTGAGGTGAGGCGAGGCAAGGCGAGGCGAGGGAAGGGCAAAAATCAAACATCTCTCTCCTAAATCAAACATCTTATTCGTAGACAAAACAGCTTGTACATTTTCTTAAAGTGTTTAAAGAGCTTAATATATAGGTATTATACCATTAAAAGTAATATGGCTCAGATGACGGCATATCATAGATGATAACCACGGTGCTGATGGTGGTGGTGATGGTGATAATCACGATGATGACCCCCCCCTTCCCCCCCAATACACACACGCCCTCCGTACTCACTCCCCGGCACATCCCCCCGGGGCAGCTCCACCATCGGAACATAGCAAAGCGGCTTGTCATCGGGAACGGCACGGCCGCCGCCACCGCGCTGAGGCTGACGTGGCTGCATGACCGTACAAGCCGCGTCACCGCCGCCGCCGCCACTTCCACCTTGACCGCCCTCCGCCTCCTCCTTCTCGGCTTCGTCCTCGTCCTCGTCTTCCTCCTCGTCCTCGTCCTCGCCGCTTAAAGCTTCCTGACGGGTAACATCACGGCGGCTACCAACATCAGCGTCGGCAGGCACACGCTGGCCCCGCGCTGGATATCGCTGGTGTTGTTGCTGCTGGCCACGGTGTATTTGCCCGCGTTGATCCGCGCCCATCGAGACCGGCCGCCTACCGCTGCCAGCCTTGCTGCGCTGGGGCCGCTCCTGCGCCTCGTCCTCTTCCCCCTTAACGCTTCCATTCGCGTCCACCTGGCCCCAATCGCTATCCGCGTCGTCGTCGCCATCATCCGCCTGGTTGCGTTTTTGTTCCCGCTTCCATTTGAGGTATTCCTTCTTAGCTTTGGCGCTAAGGTTGGCGCCGGGGGGCTTCTTCCATGCAGGCGCAGCTGCCGTGCCGGCGCTCGCGGCTTTCTTCTTGCCGCCACCGGCGCCCCCACCGTTACCGCGTCCCTTATCCATGCTGGGTGAGCACGGATGCCTGAGGGGAGGGGTTGACAGGAGTAAGATGCAGCACAGTAAACGACAGTACAGTAAACTGCAGTAACCCCGACCAGTCGGAGGGCGGTAAACGATTGAGAGATGGAGTGCGTCAGATCCTGGGCTGCGCGGAGAGCGCCATGACTGGCAGGCACCCGCGGCATGTGAAAAGTATGACGTTGCATGCGCGGGCAGGTGCGAGTTCTGGCTAAGCATGGAAAGGCATGGCTACGGCCACAGTGTACGATGTAACTGTTGGGCAAAACATCCAAATAGGAGGTGCACCATAGCTGTGCATGGACTTACCACGTGCTTACCGGCTTGGATGACAGCGGCGGGCGTATCAACCCAGCGGTAGCTTCTCGACGAAAGCCGTTACAGCAACTGTATTACGGAACTTACTTTGAAGTGCCACTAAAAGCACTTGCAGTTCTGCGTGGTTACTTACAGAAATCTTTGCAGTTGGATTTCAGGTTGATAATTCCCTTTCGTCGAGTACCAGAATGCAACCAAGTTCACGGAACGAAAGCAGAGAGAGTACCTGCCTCTAAACCTTGTCAGCTTGTGTAGAATGTAAATCTACGCCTAAATCCTGCCACCATCATGTTTCTTGTGGGCCAAGGAAGGACGACAGGGGTTCGGCAGCGAGGGGTACTGGAGGCCCGTAGGTCAAGGTGCCACATTAAGAGTGCCTTCCAGATTGCACAAGGAGCGGTAATCGAGCTACATTCCAGAGGGAAGAGCAACGGTCCTCGATTTTCAGGAGCTGCGTGAAATGCTCGTCCAATAGCAGCTCCGAAAACAACAGACCACAGACCAAAGATGTCCATCGCTGGGATGATGTCAATTGTGAACTTATAAAGATGCCGCTACAATCTCCATTACTATCTGAATCCGCATGCCGAGTAAAATGCTCAAGGCCCTTTGCAAGCAGGTCGGGTGGAAAACTCCCCAAAGAGTCTTGCGAACAATTGTGTAGCACGTTGACAAGTAGATGTGATCATATAATGTTAATCAAAGTGTTTAGTGAATCCTGTGCATTCCTGCAGGTATCGGCCAGGCCGGTGCTTGATGGTCCTGGCACAGGCTAACAGTACCCAAAACTTCTGTAAACGCGATGAGAGGTCCCAGGGATCAGTTTCTAGACGTCACTTGCTGGCGACTCTTGGCAGCGTCTGCGTGGGCCTCTCGTCGAGCGCACCGTCGCGTGCTGCTGGAGCCGATGGCGTCCCAGCACCCATCGGACCGCCGGTGAGCATCTCATCGGAGTGTGTGCCGCAAACTAGTGCACTGGTAGCTTTCCCCTATCAAGGAACCGGTCCGCTGCTCACAGGAGGGCGTGGCTACTCTTATCGGCACAGGAGACGTGGAGGTACTGACGTCCCAAGAGAAACTGGTGAGCAACCAAAACGCGACATCGGACTGCTAAGTTCTGCCAGTGTGGGGGCTGGCACGCCCGCTGCCTGGCATGTGCGGTCTGTGTTTTCAACAACTTGAATGTGGATTTGGCTCTGCTGTCTGTCGTGGTGCTTCCAGGTCCTCAGTCTGAACCGCCGTATCCAGACTCAGAACCGGGTGCCTGGAGAATTCCCGGGTTTTATTCGCGAGGGTTTCGATGTCAAGGTTGTCGGTGATGGGTACACTGTGGCTCCATCCGGGTAAGTGACATTGCGGCGCCAGGGCCTCCGCATCAAGTTTTGCACGTTTTCGGATTTGCCAGAGCCCGGCTTTGCTTGCCATCACATTCCGTCGAGGATTCTATCCTATTCCCCCTGTAAACAGCATGAAATGATCCCAGCAGGCTCGAAGGAAAGCAAAATAAAACCTGCTGCGCGGTTTTAGAAAGCACTCTATTTCCCCCCTCCTATGGGCCGGATGTGTTGTTACGGGTTTGGACGTCCTCGAGCATAACAGCTTTGCTACTTGCACAAGATCCAATTTTCGGGATCACTTCCTGTCAGTAGTACGCCAGGAGCGTCCTAAGTTCTACGTGTCTTGTTTCTTGGCCCTTCTGATTGCAGCTTGATTTACAAGGACTTTGAGGAGGGTCAGGGAACCCTTCCGACTGACGGCCAGGAAGTAGTCTTCAACTATACGGTGAGGTGCTGCACGCGGGGGTTGCAGCCGTAGGGAATGATGGGAGTCCGAAGGGCCTTTCCACGTGTCGGGTTGTGTGCGAAGACACAGGTGAGGGCGGTCTGGTGTCTCAGGGACGAGCTCATGTGCGGTGCTTTTCTTGCATGTATTGCTGTGGACATTCAGGGTTACAACGAGTCGGGCAGCGTGATCGATACATCGTTCCGTCAAGGACGCCCAGCACAGACACGCCTCGGTGTAGGAGGCATGATCCCAGGTTAGTATAATCCGTTCTAGGCTGCACCATTGCCACCGTCATATGCCAATCAAGTCGCCACGTGGTCACGAACCCATTATAATGTGAAGGGGAATGCTAACGAATCGCAGGCTTCGAGGAGGGAATTAAAACCATGAAGGCGGGCGGTAAGCGCAGAATCATCGTGCCGCCTGCGTTGGGGCCACCAGTTGGCCCATCAACTTTCTTCAGCGCCAAGCAGTGCGAGGTGGGCATTCATAACAAACCTGGAAAGCTCTCTTGCATGGTCTGATTCCCTTTCAAATTTATCCAAAAGACACGTCGACCAGGAATTACAACACAGGCACCGTACCCTACCCACAGGTATTCGATGTTGAGCTGATCGCCGTGCGGACCTGCACTCGGCGACAGGTCATGATGTTCTCGGATCTGGTTTGCGAGTGACAAGCCTATGCATTTAGTCCGCTGGTCCAAGCTGCCATCCCACCACTGGTCCCGTCCTCCGGGGAGCTGTGGACCCCAATTTCCCACAGCTCCTCAGTGCTGTGATTTCTGTAACCGTCAGGTCCCACAGGCCATCATCACGACATTGCCAAGTATGTAGGCACACTTCGCCACATCCCCGCGGTTGGCCGCTAGAGGTGAATAATCAGCGCACTATGTAAAAACCCACAATATGACTGAACGTTTCTAGCATCCAGCCCAGTCAAAAGTCTTAGGTCAAAAGTCCATTTCGTCTGTAAAGCCAACAGAGTCAGTTGTTCACACGTCAACAACTTCCACAATGCATACATATGCTAATTACTAGTTTAAGCAGTCGCCAATGTAAACATCCGTAAAGCGTCCGGTCTCCCTGTCAACAAATAGTTCATTCCGCTGCCGCAGCCTCCTCCCCGGTCGAGGTATTGGTCTTGCCCTTAGCCTTCATGTAGCTTTCCAACTCCTTGTCCAAGTAGCTCTTGCCGTGCTCCGGGTCTTTAAGCATATAGCTCTCCAGCTCTGCATCGAGCTCTGCCTGGGTCTTGGGCTTCCCTCCATCGCGACCTCCTCGGCCGCCTCGGCCTCCGCGACCACCGCGGCGACCGGGTGAACTACCGCCACGCCCGCGCGGAGCTGGGCCGCGACCGCCTCTCCCGCCCGGCTGCTGGCCGCCCTTCTGGACCCCACCACGCGGGCCAGTCGCAGGGCGCGCACCCCGGCCGCCGCGTTGAGCAACTCTTGAATTGTTATTTTGGGGGCCACGACCGGCACCGCGGTTGACAATGCGCCCTCCACGCCTGCCGCCGTTAGCCATAGGGTCTCAGATCCCTAACACGTTGAAAAATACGTCTCTCAAGCGTCTTGAATGCAAGGTAGGGCTGATGATATCGGTTACGGTAATATATACATAACCTTTGCGGATAACAACCCGGTCAAGAAGTTTTCTACGCAATGCTGTACGGAAATTGTCCTTAAATGGTTGCAGCATAGCAGGACACTCCCTCTAAGGGTTGCAGATTGAGAATCTCAAAGCAACTTGCCTCGTTGTACCACTAAAAAGTTACCTCACGCAACAAGTTACGAAAATCAGTAACGTGAGGGGTCAGCTGAAGCCAGCTGTACTGTGTTAGCCTTTGTATAAATATTACTTGCTGCCAGTCCAAATAAGATTTTTTTGTGTGGCGGGAGCCCATTCTTCGGCACTTGCTTACCGGTACCGCCTATCCTATCGCTCGAAATGAGGCGCATATTCGGGGCCAAGAAACCCGCAGCACCCGTGCCGACCCTTGATGAAACCAACGAACGACTAAGCACACGGGGCGATAAGTGGGTTCAGTGCGTAGTGGGGTGCCAGCTTCTGTCATGTTCCCCGCAAGACCCTTGGCGCACCTGAACATACCCCGCCTTCCATGTCATGGCTACTTCCTTCTATGTCCAACTTCCCTGACGCATCACCATTTCTTGTTGCTGTTGAGCAGGACAGATGAGAAAATCAGGGCACTTGATGAGCAGCTAGCAAAATATAAAGAGCAGATCAAAAAGACGCGTCCAGGGCCGGCGCAAGATGCAATCAAAAGGCGCGCGCTGCAGGTGCGACGGTCGTGGAAAAGGTGTGCCGGGGTGGGGCCCGTCTTTAGCTGCGAGTCAGCTTTATCGCTACAGAAGACAACACCTGTATCACACGACGGGCATGCGTCCCAAGGCAATAATTGCCCGCTTCCTCCGATACTTACTCATCATCAGGACAGCTTCCGGGCTTCTAGCCAACGCCCGCCGGCGTCAGCGCAAACCCCCACCAGCCTCACCCATGTCCGCCTGAGCCTTCTCCACCCGCTCTCCTCCTAGGCGTCATGGGTCCGTAGCACTGGCCTGCTGCCGGCTATACGACAGCCCGAAGCAGTAGTGCGCTTGCCGCCGCTGCCCTTTTCCTCGGGGTGCAAGCTCAGATGCCGTTCGGTGCTACCCTCTGCTATTCCCCCCTTTTGACGTGCAAGGCACGAGCTGCGACACACACCCGCCTGCCAGACATGCACTGCACTGCGCTGTTTCCCTGGGCATGTTTTCGCATCCCGGGGTGACGACACCCCGGGGGTGGTGTAAACGCAATCGGAAACCCGCAGCACCCGGCTCCATCCTTTTCATGCACATCCGCATTGTGCACACGTACAGATAACATGATTTTTTAGATGCAACTGACCTCACGCCCCCACCATTGAAGCCATTCAGGCATTTAAAATGCCTTGTCTCGGGACTCAGTGTTGCAGCTAAGAAATACACACGCGTACATGGCACGTGACGGATCTGGGTGCCGGCCTCCCCGCCGATTGCTCCGCTCCTTCTCCACCACCGCTGCCGCGGCCGCCGCCGCGCTCTCGACCTGCAGGTCCTAAAGCAACGGAAGCTGTACGAGAGCCAGCGTGAGCAGTTGTACCAGCAACAGTACAACATCGAGCAGACGAGGTTTACGGTAGACTCCGTCAAGGACACCGTGTCGTCGGTACAGGCACTCAAGGCCGCGTCCAAAGAGATGAAGACCGCATTCAAGAAGAACAAGGAGCTGGATATCAGCTATATTGAAAACATGCAGGACGAGATGTTCGACATGATGGTGGGTGGGTGGGTTGCCGATCCAAAAGGGGCAGGGTGAGTGGGCGGGTGGCCAGGGGCTAAAAAGCGCCAAACCGAATGATGATGATGATTTCCGTTAGAGCACAAAACACAAAAACAGTAGCAAAATACAAAATTAGTAGCTTGGAGCGGAAGAAGGCCGGGGCGTAGTAACGCACTCCCTTCTCGGTGTTCGAATGTTCGTGTTTTAGGTGTCAAGTGTGTCTTGTGTCAGTTCGTGATAGAATGTAGACGCGATCCGTGTGTATTCACGCACCTCTGCGTAACCGTAATCCCGTGTTACCCAGGACATGGCCAACGAGATCAACGAGGCGATGGGCCGCTCGTACGCCATCCCGGACGATGTGGATGAGAGCGACCTGATGGCGGAGCTGGATGCCCTGGAGGCCGACCTGGCAGTGGAGTCCGCGGGCAAGGAGGGGCCTAGCTACCTGCAGGTGCATGGGAGTCTAGGCTGGGATGGGATGGGGTGGGGTGGGCTGGGAGGGGTGGGGTGGGGTGGGGTGGGGTGGGATGGGGTGGGCTGGGAGGGGTGGGGTGGGCTGGGAGGGGAGGGGAGGGGAGGGGTGGGGTGGGGTGGGGTGGGTTCACCGGGAGCTGGCTGGTGGTGTGTGCGGGGGGGGGGAGTGCGTCCCGAGTGTTGGTGGATTGAGGAAAGGAAGTAGCACTGCAGGTTGATGGTTGTGTGTGGGAGGGGATTGTTGGGGTGGGATGCTTCGTGTTCCCCACACCCCGGGTGGTGGTGCCGCGGGTAGCGCCTGTTGTCCCCATCGGGGCATCGCTCGTCTTTTCCCTCTTAACCCTCATCGTTGGCAACGTGTCTGTTTCCGGCATTTTTCTATCCCGTTTGGCAACCCATCCCATCCTCATGTGCAGGAGCCGGATCTGGACCTGCCGGCGGTACCCAACAAGGAGCAAGAGCAGGCCCAGACTGCGGAGCCTCTGCGCACGTGACACGAGATAGAGGTGACACGTGACGAGCCAGGAACGGAGTCATAGCGGCGTTAGGACGGAGGAGGCAGAGCCTGGCTGATACCCTAAGGTCTCACTGCTCTGCACAGTGGTGCGTCAGCGGCAGGTTGGGAAAGGTCCCCAGCCCTAGGGTTGGGCGCCAAGAAAAGATTGGATCGATAGAAACAAGATCTGTGTTGGTGTTGGTGGAGGCGGCGGCGCTGGAACTGAGCTGCTTGGGCCACCAGCCCCTAACTTGTGCGTGTTCGAATGCACGACGTCTGCGGCCCTGTAATCAACAAGTTAGGGGCTGGTGGCCCAAGCGGCTCAGTTACGGGGTTACGGCGGTTGCTTTTTGACAGTAATCAAGTAGTTTACGATAAAGGCTGATAGGTGATATTGCTGAAAGTTGCTGCGCAACTGCGTGTGCTTTGCTGCCAGTGTGGAAGTGGGTGGGTCCGATCTGACCCGGGCAGTACGGCGCCGCTCCTTGTGATGCAACCACCACCGTGTGTTACGGTTGCGCTGGTACTGGAGCCTAGTACTGCTGTTGCGCACGTCAGGTTGTGGAGTATGTTTCGGCAGCGGACGAGCTGAGCACGAGCACGACACAGGCCACAGGCCACAGGAGTAAAAGATGGAAGGAAGCCCCGCAATTGGCGTTTAGGGTTTGCTGGTGGGAGGATGTTGTGTTCTCTCTCACGGGGCCATGGACCCACGTGGGGACAGGGAAGACGACGGGAAGAGTGCTGCCCCGTATTTTGTCGCGGAGTGAGCACTAGGTGACATGATGCCCGTGTGCGGTGATGAGTGTGTGGGCATGGAGGGTGTGCAATGACACACACAAGGTTTTGCTATTGTGTATAGCAAACTAGTGAGGTTTATGTGCATTGTCGTGTATTCGCAACGTGGTTCGCATGGTTTCTGTTGATTGGCTTGGGCGAGTGCAAAAGGAGCATGGGCCGAAGGTTTTGGTGTCGGAGCTTGCATGTTCTTGATTGGAGAAAATGGAATCGTGGACGATGGTGCATGGGTTGCTTAAGGGGCATGGGCCTCTTACAACATGCTGGGACCATTGTGGTCGTTTTCGGTTGTAAAAGGTTTTTCCTTGCTTCTATCATTTCATACTTCTTAGAAATTGCAGAGTGTCGGGACCGCAGCGTGTAAATAAATACTCTTGTACATAAGCGCACGGACCCTTGGCTGACAGCCGACACCTCCGGTCGATTCTTTGAAAAACGTAAAAGCATTACTTCCGCATTATCCAACACATAATAGATTGCAATGGAGATGCTTGCTAAATCACGGACCGCGACGCACTGCCGGCCTCTGCCCGGCAGTTGTAGGGCCATCGTCCGGTCCAGAAATCTTTCGAAATCAGCAGTCGCAGACCAAGAGTCTCTTACGGCTACACCCAAACTTGGACTTCGCGTTCGGAAAGCGCTAAAGGAGTGGGCTCCAACGATTGAGGCCCTTGGCCACGGCGAGCAAACGGTAACGTAATCTCTTCTTCCTTTGGCTTCCAAAAATCGTTTCTTGTGACTTTGAGAAATGTGGACTACTGTCGTAAGTTGCACCTGGCCTGCACGGCGACGCATTCGCTACGGCATTGCCTGCTGTACGAAACAACCCTAGCAACTGTCAAACATACCTCCGCCACCCTGGCACAGGTGCTGTTCCGCAAAGGTGGCATCAAGGAGCCCACCTTCCGGCCCGTGACTTCCACTTCGCCCTTCCTCCTCTTCCCCACAAGCTTTCACACAGACCAGCAGCTACTCAAGCCCGGGGTGGCCGAGCGCTATGGCGAGGTACGAGTCGCGTGTTGCCCATGAAGACGCCGCGACGGCCCACGTGCCATCACATCATTGGGCGCCGTCTAATGCGCGAGATATCGCGACTTCCCTTTTAATAAGCTGCTGCTGGCGACCGTGAATAAGCTTGGTATCGAGAGTCCCTAGCGTTTTTCCGTCCGGGCTGCTGCTCGCGGCAAACTGCCCCTTCACAGTCCAACAGGCAGCGGTGGCTGTTACCATCACCGCTGACACCTACCCCTTTCAGCCCTTCCAGGCAGGGACATCGCACCCCCACGACAGCCGCTTCACGACCTGAGCTCCACCGCAGGTCCATTATTGGCGCTCTGCTTCACTGAGCTTCACTGCGCCCATCATCGACACCGCCACGTAATGGTTCCCAACCAGATGCCCCTCCCCCTTTAGCAACACGTAGCCTTCCTGCCCCTGGGAGGGACCTGTTGATTTAGATAGCCGTGTTGTAACCTCAGTGTTGAGTGAAATCCTTTTGACTGTCCGCCCACTACGCCGCCCTGGCTCGGCTCCACGTCGCTGTTGCCGTCGTGGCGCCGTCGGGGGAATCGTTGCCACAGGCCATGCGGCTAGAGCCCAAGTCGGAGTCCGTACTGCGGCTGCCGTACGTGGCTCAAGTGACAGGCGCATGGACGACGTACGACTCGCAGGTCCTTCCTGTGCTGGACGACTTCCACGTGTGGACAGAACAGGTGTCTATGTATCTATGTATGCATGTATGTATGTATGTATGTTCGCTGCTCTGCGGTTGCTGCTACGGTTGTACTTGTGTGGTGGCGGTTCCGAGTTATTAATTTGGGGGAACTACTGCCTGCCTGCCTGCTTGCCAGCTGCCAGCCTGATGTTCGAGCCATTGGAACGACAAAAGACGTCACGATAAGACTCAAGACATGCTGCACCGCATCGGTCCGACCTTTCCATCTGTCATCTGTCTGTCCGTCCGCCTCCCCACCGCTGTCGCAGTTCATTGAGACACGTCTCAAGTGGCGCGCCAACCAACCCATCACGGTTATGGAGCTACGCTGCTGGCGACTGGCGCAACCCCTGGAGCTACCGGTCACTGAGTCCCTGTTCGGCTGCTTCTCGTGGGGTGAGACGCAGTATAGCTGGGCTAGGGGTGGCTGGGCTAGGGGTGGCTGGGCTAGGGGTGGCTGGGCTAGGGGTGGCTGGGCTAGGGGTGGCTGGGCTAGGGGGTGGCTTATCAGGTTCAGGACGGCGGGGGGGTATCAGGAAGGGGCACACGGACTCTGACGTGCGATGTTGGGCGATGTCGGCTGAGAGGGCCAAGAGGTTCACGAGGGGGGAGGTATTGGCACGAGCGGAGAGAGAGGCTGCGTGCCCCGCGGTACCACCACCGCCATCACCTGCCGGAGATGTCCAGCAACGTCCCGCCTTCCAATACCATCTGCAACCCCACGGCATGTCTCCCGATCCCGGCTGCAAGGGCTGCTAGGGCTGCTAGCGCTGCTAGGGCTCCAGGCGCGACTGCTTATCAGGGGCCGGGCAGCCGTGGGTTGCCCCGCCCTGGTGGTTGGCCCTAGCCCTAACCCGCCCTTCCCTTTTAGAAGCCTCTGACAACCCTGGCCTCCGAGCCAAAGCCGCTCCCTGCCCCTGCACCTTCTTCACGCGCGCCAGCGCCTGCATCCCCCTTCCCAACACAATTGCACCTTTCGATTGTCGGATCCGCAAATCCGCAGTGGACGTGGCTGCACATCTACGGCAAGAATCTGATCTGGATTTGGAACTGGGCCCCGGGGTGCCGGTGGTCAGCGATGAGGAGTTTGCGGCGCGGCAGCAGCTGCTAAGGACCGCATTGGGTCGCATCCGGGTGGATCTTCTGGAACTGAACTGAGCCGAACTGAAGTGATGAAATTCGTTACACGGGGTCTTCCGGATTGAGACCCGCTGAATCCGTCGTACCCTGTAGGAATTTAAGGGCAGGCAGCAGTGCTGGGGCCGGGGCTCCCGTTACCCAGGGCCCCTTGTACCATTAGCATTAGCATTTTTTTGGAAAAATAAAACACTGTGGAAATGTGTGGAAGTGTGTGGAAATGGTACCGTGTAGAGCAGGGTGTTGTTACTGTGTATGGAATATGATGCACTTGCGTGTCTCAGCTGTGATGGTTGATTGTTACAGAGTGGGAGGCTTCTGGGGCGATTGCACACATTAGTTTTTCAACTGATTTAGGATTGGACACCACACAGCATTACCACACTGAACTACGCCATACGAACTGAAAGTCCAAGGCGGCTGATTCTGCCTCCTGTAATTCCTCCTCATTGAGAGACCCGAACATCCGAAAGGGACAGAGGGTTCAGCAATCGCCACCAATCTAGCGGGCAAGCAACTGTGACCTCAACCCACCTCTTAGCAGAGCGCCATAAAACCTCACGTTCGCGACAATGTTGGGGGTCTTTCCTGGGATCGACCCCAAAATCTTGTGCTGATAATCTTGGAAGTAACTACATTACAGACCAATACAGATCGGATGCACAGACCGAGCGACGTCACGTCGCTGCCATGCCAAACACAACAATTAGTCCTCCCTCCCTCCATACACACTCTAACTCCCCCCCGCCGTTCATACACTCTCCCTCCCTCCCTCCATACACACTCTAACTCCCCCCCGCCGTTCATACACTCTCCCTCCCTCCCTCCATACACACTCTCCCTCCCTCCCTCCCTCCATACACACTCTCCCCCTCCCTCCCTCCCTCCATACACACTCCCCCTCCCTCCCTCCCTCCATACACACTCTCCCCCTCCCTCCCTCCCTCCCTCCATACACACTCTCCCCCTCCCTCCCTCCCTCAGTGCCTCCCTCCTTCCATTAATCCACCCCTCCGTACATCCCAGCTCGCAATAACGTTATGAATCTACCAATGTCTAGGTGTTCGACGGATTGTAATTTTTGTAAGCCTAGTGAAAAAATCTCAGTCTTGAAGTCGTTGATTGGTGTGCATCATAAAGACCAGTCCGGGGTATGTAAATGCTTGCGTGATAGCCTTACTAAGGTTTCCGTAGAGTGCAGCTGGGCAACCCCATGAGAGGTGTGTGTGTGTATGTGTGTGTGTGTGTGTGTCTTTGTATGTCGGGGGCTCTACGGCATCTGCTAGCATTATGATTAGTGGACACCGCGTTTTCTTGGAAACTCTCTAAACTTGTGAATTAGGTCTCATCAGGCATACCCTGACCTTGACTCACCGTAAAAAAGGCTTGCATAGCAAAGAGATTGGCTGGCAGAGTAGCCATCAACTGTTGTAGTTGGAAGGTTGTGCCGGCTGGGCAGGCGGCGTCATATGGTTGGTAGCGGACGAGCCGCAGGGCGAGGAAAAGGTGCTGGTGGAGGAAGGGGTTGTGAGTCGTCGAGGGGGCGCGGCACCTTCAGGGCTTGGTCAACATGGTTGGTCTCTGCTTTGCGCTTGATTGTGTGATATCACTTTTTTTCGCAGACGACATGGACACAAACGCGGAACACAGTGCTTTACCAGCCAGCCAGCAAAGAGGCGCAGCACGCCACAAGGCCAAAGGGCATTATGTTTAAAATTGCTGTCATAAACTTAGAGGGAATTGCTCCACGTGCAGCACGTGGAACCAACGACGGATAGAATTCTCGAGGGCCGTATTTATTGGCATTTTTCCTTATAGCGACTGTACGGCATAAATTACATAGGAGGTTACATTAGGAGGTTACACCTGTTTACTCGCTTTTTGGCCGATGATTGGCGAGCGCACAAACAACCACATACCACATACAAAAAATGCGATGTCTCCCTTGTTGAGTAGGTGGATGCAATACACTATTGACCCCCCAGTATTCAATTACAATGTTCTGAAGTACAAGTCCGTTTTTGAATTGTCGTACAGTGTCGAGATCTGGGGCCCAGATGTTTTTCGGCTGCCCTTAGTCTCAAACCGTCAACAACTGCTGTACCGGTCATTGGCTCTAAACCCTAAACCCTAAACCCTAAAAAGCCCGAATGGCCCACTTGCTTCCCGTATTCCTGTGCTCAGGTCACCCAGCCCCTTCTCATTCCTCTTCTCCTACCTCACGTCCTCACACAACCCAGCTCCATCCACCCACGCAGGATTACACCTACGTATCCTAATTAGGCAAGACAGTGTTCAAAGTGGCGATGGCTTCTTTCCGGATGGCGCTAAGCACCCCTCTGCCTAAGCACGTGCGGGCCACAACTTACATCGACATGGTTTTGGACATACATACATATGTACCTAAAGCGCACCACACAGCACCAGACAGAGTAACCAACCAATCAACCAACCAAAGCCGTAACTAAGCCACAACCCCAACTCAGCCACAACTCAGCCACGGTCGTGACCATGACTTCCCGTTCCTACCTCCCCAGACAGACAGACAGACAGACAGACAGACAAGATAGATAGACAGACAGAAAGACTCGTAGGACCAATATATCGCAGGTTCTCAGCTGGCGGGTGCCGCCGTGGGCTGTCCAGCCCCCGGGCCCCCCCTTGCTGCTGCTGTTGCTGCTGCAGCTGCTGCTGCAGGTGGCAGGTAGGTAGTGAGGTAGCTCCAGGCGGAGGAGGTCATGGAGGCGCGACGAGCCGAGTCCCACCCTAACTCAGCGGCCATCAATTCCACCACCTGATGGGGTTGCGGGCGTGTGTGTATATGCGTGTGTATGTGTGTGTAAAGGGGTTTCATTCATTCATCACGACCACAAACTGGCCCCTCTACTCACCACTTCATTTCCCCCCCTAGGGACCGGACAGTCCCCCTCAAACCGCCCACTGGGCAGCTGCTGGTCCTGTTAATCCCTCTGAGGTCACCCCCCTTGACCCCCCTCACCCCCTACCCCCCTCACCCCCTACCCCCCTCACCCCCCTCAACCCTGCAGCCCCCAACCCCAACCCTTGCCGGGTTATCCCTCACCCCCTCAACCCTCTTCATCCCCATACACACGTTCTCACCCTCTCACCCCTTCCCTTCCCCCCCAACCCCTTACCCGGGGTAGGGCCCTCAGAGCCGCTCGGGCGTCCAGAAACGCCAGTCGTGTACGACGTGCCAGGAAATCATCCGGCGTCTGGCAGTACTCGTGACGTACACAATACACCACCTGGGACCATCATTATAGCCCCGGGGGGAGCAGGCGGGTTTCCCCGGGGGAAACGGGAGACGGGAAAGGGGAAAGACAGAGGACAAGGGAGGTGGAGGGGAGATGATAGACGGAGAGGGTTGCGGTGGAGTTCAGAGGGGGTGGGGGGTGGGGAGCTGGGGCACAGTTGGGCCATGAACGGGAGAGTTGACATCTCCACTTCCCTGGAGCCTCTGGAGCCCCTGGAGCTGTCCTGAGGGAGCTGCCCCCCCCCCGGGAGGCTGAGAGAGGGCCCCCGAGGGGCTGACGTGGAGTACGGAAACTAGGCAGTGGATACCCCGTGTACTTCTTACTTCCTACCCGACACACACCTTAGCAAAAAATAGACAGACAGACAGACAGACGGACAGATACAGGGACATAAGCACCGGCAGATCTATACGTGTTGGCGCAGGCGGTATTCCTACCTTACATGCACACAGACACAGTTACGCGGATGTATATGCATACAGACGCACACACACGTAAACGGACACGGTGACACTCTACCCCCCTCCACGCAAACACACCTCAGCCTCCAAAAACGGATGTCCCGCCGCCAATTTCCCGCCCAAATTGCGATCCTGAGCGGTCTGAGAATGGCGGGGCCCCGCAGTGGGGGGAAGTGGGAGAGGGTTAGTGTCTGGGAAGGGGGAAGGGGGCAATGTGTGTGTGTTTGTGTGTGTATGGTGCTGGGCGAGTAATGTCAACGAAGAACTGCCTCTATTCTGTCATTGTTGCAGTAGTTCTGATGAGGTTTGGCTTGGTTGGTCGGTTGGTTGGTTGGTTGTGGTGATCACACACAACAAATCAAAGCTCAGGAAGGGGATGGCCGTTGGTGGGCCAGATTCGCGCCGGGTGGTAATTTTTATAACTGTGTGCTGGTAAAGTTCAAACATGCCGTACCTGCAGCACACGACCAGCACGGGTGCCGTACGCCTGCGCCAGGTGCTCGGCAGTTTGCGCATCAATAACCACCCGGGGCGGGGTGGCGGCGGCGGCGGCGGCGGAGGTTGTCTTGAAGGATGCGGTGGGGGCGGTGGGGGTGAGGGAAGCAGCCGCCGCGTCCGGGGCGATATGGGCCGCCAGGGGCCCGAAGTCCTGAGCCAACTGCGGTTAGTTATTTGGTTGGTTAGTTCGGTTGGTTGACTGGTTGTATGGTGGATTCGTTTGTTACGTTAGCACGGCAAAACAGTTGCTACATCCCAGGCACGGATGTCCTGTTGCCCCGGTGGGCAGAGGGCCCCCCTGGAGTCCGGCGGGGTCCCCATTATGTCGCCCACTGGGAGTGGGGAATGAATAGCCGTAGCGTGAGGACAGAACAGCTAATTGGACAGACAGACAGACAGACAAACCGACCGATGCCGCTCACCACACAGCCCGGTAGCCAGTCACGATTACGATGGCGGGGTGGTGGTGTTGATACCGCCCCAACCGCTCACCCATTCACCACATCCAACAACCAACTTCTAACTACCAACCAGAACCAGCTAATATGGGTTACCTGCGCCGCCAGTGTATTGCTGTACTCGGGCCCAGCCCCCAGCAACGGTATTCCGGTTGTACGACATGCCTTCACGTTGGTCGGCATCCTGCCTGTGGCCACCACGGCGTCCACCGCCTCCTGCGCCATGAGCCGGTAGGTGGTCCACTTGCCGCCGCTGGCGGTGAGCAGTCCGTCGCCCTCCTCCACAATAACTGTGGGAAGAAGGGGGGAGGGGAGGGAAGTAGTCAAATCGCGGCTACGTGGCCAGCTAGGTTGTGAGAGATACCTAGCTGCCAAGTCCAGACGAGAAACAGCGAAATGAGTGCCTAGCCGCCGAGATCAAAGAGAAATCTCAGAGCTGGGTACCAGGTAAATTCAAAAACGTACACACACACGCACACACCCCGGGCGGCTGCGCAAGGCCCCCACAGTAGCGGACCACAGAATGTACGACATCACGTAACACCTACACAAGCCACGTGGGCCGCTGGCCTAAAGGTCGGCATGTCCTCCTCCTCCTCCTCCCCCTCCTCCTCTATCGCACGAGGGAGAGACACCCCAACCTCCTGTTCATCATCCCCCGCAGCAACCCCTCACCCCTCACCCCCCATTGAACCCACCGTGATCGCGCACTGTGTTTTGTGTGTCCTTGGCTCGCGGGTCGGCTGCCAGGGGCCTTATGCCTGACCACACGGAGAGCACGTCGGAGGGACGGACCTGCACACGTACGTGCGCGTGTATGTGTGTATGTATGTATGCATGTATGTATGTATTCATTTAGATGGTGGTGTTGGGTCATGGCCGTATAGGGGCTGGTAATGTGTGGGGCTGTTGGTAGGTTCCAGTGCGGCACCCAAACCACTCAAACACTCAGACAGACAGACAGACAGACAGACAGAAAGACCCCAAAACGCACAAAAGCGACTCTGGGCCCAAAAGATACAAATGGCTGGAGTCAAGATGAGACGAGGGGGGAAGTTCTCAGCGCCCCGTGAGTAACGGTGGGGAGGTTTTGCTCACCGGGCGCCTCCGGGTCACGAAAGGTGTCACAGAAAGCATACACACACACACGGGGCCGACCACCACCACCACCACCACCTGCACCCCACCTCAGGCCCACCTGTATACCCAGGTAGTCCTGCAGCTCCCCCAGGATGAAGTCCACCTCCTGCCGGGTAGCCACCGGGTTGCGGGTGACGTGGCATTTCGAGTCTGTCGTACCGGCAATCACCGAGTCCAGGAAGGGCAACATGAACACGACGCGACCGTCCTGTAGCATAACGGGGGATGTGGGGGTGGGGGGGAGCGGAGGGGTTGTGTATGAGGGAAAGGGGGAAAGGCGGGGTTGTTGCACAAGGGGTTAAGGGGGAAGGGGTGGGGGTTATGTCGTATATGGACGTTGTCGTACCTTTGTTTTAGGAATGATTATTCCGTTTCGTGTATGTCCTCCGTAGAAGGCGGGCAGGGTGATGTGGGCGCCGGAGGAGGGCTGGATGATGGGCAGGGCGTCGGGCCGGGAAAGGTGCCGTACCTGCATGCATACGCACAACACGGCACGGCACGGCAGAAGGGCCGGCAATCCCGGGGGGTAAAGGGGGGAGCAGGTGGACAGGAGGTGGCTGCGAAGGGAGGAATGAGGTGGCGGCGGGGATGCAATTGCGCCACCCATCCATGCATCCTTACAGACAGACAGGCAGACAAAATAGAATAGGAAGACAAACACTACGAACATACGGCGGTCGTGCCCGAGTGGTTAAGGGGTCTGACTCGAAATCAGATGGGATTTCCCGCATAGGTTCGAATCCTGTCGACCGCGGACATTGTCAATTTAACATTTTGTAAAGTTTTGGTCTGGCCTGGTGTCACGTGTCTGCAATGATGACAGCAGATGATGGTCCTGGGTTTGATTCCTGGGCGGATTCCCGACATCGATCGGGATAATTGGTTTACGGATTGCTGATGAGGTGTGGAGATGAGGGGTAGTTGATGGACTAAGTTTCGCTGAATTGGTGGCGATCGCTAACCTGTCTCTACAGATGTCGGGTGACTGGAAGAGGAGGGGTTTAGTTAGTAGGACCCAAAACGCCGTCGGTTGTACGGTGGAATCAACTTTCAATATGTATAGTCCATGGCCTCCCGGCTTTGACGGACCCCCCCGCACTCGTGCGGAACTTGTAACTTGTACAGAATAGACAGACATACCTACACACAAGCAGACATACATACATACATATAGACACACCTCATCCACGAAGCAGCCAGTGGTGTTGAGAACCACCCGGGCGTACACCTCAAAGGGCGGCTCCGAACCCAGACGGTCCTGTACGACAGCCCCCACCACCTTGCCGTCTTGATTCTGCTTTGGCATGCGAGGAAGAACGGGGCGCGCGGGAGGCAAAGGAGGCAGCAGCAGCAGCAGTAGCACAAGTCTTGGTGTCTTAGTTTCTTTATACTGGATCAGCCAGTTTACAATCAGGTTCTTCCAAACCGGAAACGCAAGGGCAACAGGAATGACTCCCCCTGCACACACACACACACACACATCTACCCCCCACACGCACCTTTATCAGCTGTTTGCAGTCCACGTAGTTGGCCACCACACCCCCCGCAGCGGCTGCAGTACAAGCCAGGGCCACATTGAAACGGGCGTCATCAAAGTAGCCGTCGTAGTACAGCACCTGGCGGAGCGGCGGAAGGCGAGCGTTTCAGCAAGGAAAGAGAGGGGTAAGGGGGGGAGTTCGTGTGTGTTTTGTCCTCCGAAACCAGGAAGCGGATTGGAAGCGGGAGCACAAGTGCCCTCTGGAGTCGTCGGTGAATGAATGGATGGGTGGTTGGCCGTGAGTAAGTTCGTTTGTTCGTTAATTAGTTAGTTGGTCACTCAGCACGCCAACAGTTTCTCTCGCAGCAGTCCGTATCATTGGCGCAACCACCCAATCAACAACTCAGCCACAGCCAGTTCGTATGGGGGGGAGAGCAGAGAGAAGGAAAGAGACAGAAGAGCAGACAGATATACCGCCCGACGTACCGCCCCTTTGAGTGTGCTGCCATCCGAATGCGAGGTTGCCAAAGTAGGCACCATATCTAGGGCCTCAGCCGGCGGCACGTAGCGAGAGGAAATGAGGTTGGCGCGACCCGCCACCAAATCATATGCCTGCCGTACACGCCAATATGCCGTACAATGTCGAATCCAGCGGGCGGCGCGCGGGGGAGCGAGAGAAGCGTGGGGCAAAGAAAGGACAGGGAGTTGTTAATTAATTACTAAACGCACGCGATGCCGCTCTCGGTGATGGCAGTGGTGGCGGTGGCGGTGGCGGTAGGACGGGGGGAAGGAGGAGGGGGGGAAGGAGGACGAGGGGAAGGAGGAGGAGCAGGAGGCGGAGGAGTAAAAATGCTCACACAATTTTACATGTACGCCAAACAAAGTTACAATGATGTAAAAGGACGACAAGTCGGCATTCACACGTAACACAAAGCTATGTACATTAGGTTCCAGACAGCAATTCCCCCGAGGGTATCCCTCCGTACCTTGAGCCCAGCCCAGTAGTACGGCACCTCCCACCACTTGTAGCAAGGCTGCAGTACGGTAAGGTACAGCGGATTGAGGGTGGGGGGGGTACCGCGGGGGGACAGCGATCAACCGTGATGCAGCCCGAACGTGTAAGGCCCCTCCCACCCCCCTTCCCCCCCTTCCTGGTTGGGTCTGGTAGGGTCATCTTTACCCATGTCCTCCCCGTTTAACTCCCCTTCTACTCCCCTCCTTACCCGCCCCCTCCCTCAACTCCCCGCTACACACATACATACATATACACACCGTGAGAATGGCTCTAGGGGCTGCCAAGTTGGGCGCCAGGGCCAGCATCGTGGCGCGCTCGTGAAGGGCCTCGTACACGAGACGGAGCTGGCGAATGTCGGCCTGGGGAGGGGTTTACGAACATGCGTGCGAGCGTGTCTGTGTGTGTGTGTCGAGGTGCGTGTTTCGAGGGTGTGGCACGGCGCTCTCGTCAGGGAGGCTGTCAATGTGGGGGGTGAGGGAGCATTCCTGGAGGCCCTCATTGAGACGTGGGTTAGAAAGACGTGGGGGGGAGGTTGCGTGTGGAGGGGGGGAGAAGGGGGCGGGAAGGACGAGAGCGCAACCTCAAGGCCCAAACGTCGGGATGAGGAAGAGGTGTTTGCGTTTGTGGGAGGATGGAGTGCGGCGAGGGGAAAGAGGTTTGGGGGGATTTGGGCCCGGTGTGGAGAAGTGCCCTCGACGAGGACAGCTGACAGCTGACCTGGGGCCGGGGGGTTGTGAAAGACAAACCACGAGCGGCGGGGGGGAAGGGGGGGTCATAAACAGCCGTGTCAAGGCGGGCAGAGGTCGTGCGGGGGCAATGGCGCTCACCCCGCGGGGAAGCGGCAGCTGCAGCTGGGGTGGGGTGGAAGTTGGGGGGTTGGGGGGGAAATGTAAACTCACACATCCATAAGGCCCCTGACCACCACTTCATAAGGCCCACCTGGAACACAGCCTTCTCCAAGTAGCGCACCCCCCCGTGAACCAATTTGGTGGATTTGGAGCTAGTTCCGGAGCCAAAGTCGTCACGCTCCACCAATGCCGTACGAAGCCCCCTGCAATACAGCCATCACGATGCCCACAAAGCCAGACCACAGGGCCTCGTTACCCCCTTCAAACCTCTTACTTTTACCGTCGTAAAGTCATGAAAGAATCTCACATGTCTCCATCGCACATTCTCTCTTTTCGCCAAAAATTGTGGTTTCATTAACTTTTAGACCGCGGGATTGACTTATAGCGGCACATGCCGTGTACGGCATGGCGAGCGGATAACATGAGAAACGGAATGCCCGGGCGCGTGTCGCTTGCGGAAGGGGTCCCAGCGGGGCCCTGTCAGTGTCGCAGCAAGGTGCTGTACAGCTGCTGCTAGGGCTGCAGCTGGTCGGAGGACCCAAAGGATCCAAAGCCCTCATCCCTCACAACCAATACGTGATCTTCCCTTTCACCTGCTATCCGGACGCCCATCCAAGCCGCCCGTGAAACCCCCATCCCGCCCATCCAGGCACCCCCCTTACTGCCCTCACCCCCTCTACCTTGTCACCGCATCCAGAGCACATCCCGACCCCGTAGCTCCCCCGCCCACGATCAGCACATCGAAGGGTCGGTCCCGAGTGCTGCCTCGCAGCCTCTCCAGCTGTGTGGGTCGCGGAGGGGGCCGCTCAAGCAGCTCTACTGCTTCCGCCTCGTCGGGCTGAGGACCCCCCCTGGCCCATAGCGGCTGCTGGTGCTGCTGGCTAAGAAGGTAACCGGCACCGCCGACTGCGGCGAAGGCGCCGGCAGCGGCGGCCACGGGGAGGTAGGACTTGAGGAAGAGGAGTGGCATGGCCGACATGCGGGCCGGGGCCAGGGGCTGGAGGCGGGAGGAGGCGGGGACGCGAGGCTGGGAGTGATGAGTTGTAACGGTGGTGGTGCAGAAGCTCGGAGGTGGCTTTGAAGGACTTTGCAGGTTAGGGGCCGAGGGTTTAGAGCAATGCCGGGCAGGAAAGGGTAGATGGTTGTGTAAGGAATGGAACTGCGTGGGATGGGGGAAGGGCAGCTCTAAGAGGCAGTTTAGATGGCATTGCTCCGCTCCGTCAAAGACCGGAAGGTAAAACGGCCAGTGGTCACTGCCGGTTTTACGAATCTTTGCATTATCTCAAAGGAGACTAAGTACGAAACAGTTGAATGTAACGGGACTGGCGTTGCTCGACTTCAAGTCACCCGGGGGCTCAAGGACAACCATTGCCTCTGCAAAGCGCTGAACTCAATAGTGCAGTCAAGGCTAGGCTCACCGCAAAAAAACAATTTTTCGGCTTGGCTGTAGTCCTCAAGTTCCGTTACCGCGATACAGCATTCGAAGCTATCGTTTTGGAGCAAGAGCGCTACACAAGCACAGTTAACGGCCAAATAGTTAAGTTGTGGTAACGGTAATGATAGCTGACAGCAGGCACACGAAATTATAGTGACCCTGGTCAGTTTTCCACAAGAAAGGATGCAAGTTACATAAATTAAAAACTTCGCGTTAAACAGGTCGTTGCGAATACATTCCACATGTGTGCTCAGTACGATGTATGGTATCCACGGATAACGGCTTCTTGCGGGTACAACGGCTGCTGACATCATCACAGCGCTACCATGCCAACTGCGGAACCTGGAAGCTCAGAACTTATAGCAAGTGATTTTTATATCCAATTTAATGCAAGTAAAGGGTACTGACTTGCTCCGCCCTCGAACGAGGCGTGCGTGCGAAGTTTTCAAATCCAGATCGCGTCCAAGAAGCCATTTTGTAAGGCAGCTGTAAAATGGCCTACAGAAAGCAGGTGTTGTCTCAGCAAGTCGCTTCCAGTATTACGGTGGATCCCGTGACCGAGAAACGTCCGTCCTAACGAACGCAAACAGCCAAAAGCGCGTCTTACGGCTCTGGGCTCATCCCGTCCACAACTTCGCACTCGACACAATAGCATCACAGAATAGGGCCGCTCCGTGCAACATTTTAAGCACAAGTTAAACGTGAAGTCATGTGGCACATCGCCAAACACATGCCTGGCAAACATCCGTCCAAAACAAGGGACCCAACAACCGCTCCGAGCCGTGCCAGCTCAGCGCCCTCATCGATCATTCTCCCTTCAAAATCCCCCTTCCCCTTTTCCCGTGAGATGTGCCCCCTGCTCCGCTCTCTTTCCTCTGTGTGTCCAGAGCCTATCCAGGTCAGCCATCTAATTGTGCTACTAGTAGCTCATCGTTCAACCTCCACCCACGAAGCCCCGTAGATAGCAAGGCAGACAGATGGACAGAGATAGAAGCAGGCAGTCTTACGCTGCCCAGTCCTCATCGTCCTCGTCATCCTCCTCCACACTGTCAGAATCCACATCGTCACTATCGTCATCCTCTTCTTCGCTTTCCGCCGGCCTCCGCCGCTTCTTCAACCCCGGAGCCTTCGCCTTCGCCGCAGCCCCGGTCCGCGCTTTCCTGCCGCGACCCAGTGCGCTCTTGGTCCCCGCGGGCACAGCCGCCTTGCTGCCCCGGCCGCCACCGCGCCCGCGGCCCCGGGCGACTCGGCCCTGGCCCCTGCCTCCACCCGCCTCCTCGACCTCCTCTTCGCTCCCCTCATCTCCAGCCTCCTCGTCGTCATCCACAACGATGGCATCGCTGTCGTCCTCTTCATCATCAGCGTCCTCCTCAGAGTTCGCAGCAGCGGATTTGCGTCGGCCTGCAGACCATACCCGTCGTCATCACCTCACCAGCACTGTCCCACGCATTCGCTTTCATACCCATGTACGAGCACCTAATCAACCGCTCGTCCAGGGCATGCGCATTTACGCGCATCCTCATCCTACACACACACAGACGCACGCTCCCATGCGACTGTATACGGTTACACCCCCAAGTAGAGGGCGCCCGTGTGTTCCCTTGACTTCGACGCTGCCAGGCGGCAAATCGTTCGCTTTGACCCTTCCCCACACATATCCGCACACACGCACCTCTGCTCCCGACACTGCCGGCGGTACCCTTCGATCTCCGCGTCCGTGCAGTCGCCGCTGTCGGTTCATCCGCCCGCCCGCCCTCACTGCCTTCCTCCTCATCTTCGTCCCCGTCGTCATCTTCACCACCTTCAACCTCTTCTCCATCACCCTCACCTTCCTCATCCTCATCATCGTCACTGCCGGCCTACAATCATCCAGAGCATGGTGCCAGCGGTAGCATCAGCAGGAGCGGCGACGGCAGTAGCCAGCGGTACCATCACCATCAGTAAAAAGCCAAAAATGTCGGAAACCAGAGCAAGATGCTCGAGGAAGCAGTGCTAAAAGCCCGCGGTGGGGAGTGATTGGGCAGGAGGGGCATGGAGCAGCGTTGAAGTAAGTAGAGCCGCAGGCAGCAACAGGATATGAGATTGCAGTTCAACCGCGTGTGTCGTCCAGAGCTGAACATACGGGGGACCCGATCCGCCCCGGAGCCCCACCCGCCATCGCGGGACCCCGACGTGGGCACCGGAACCCGACCAACCCAACTGACACCACAGCTGACCCAAACGCGCCTGAATACCAATAAGTCACCATCGCAACTCATCAACTCGGTGGCTATCACATGCGTGTTACTGACCTCCTCCTCCTCCTCCTGACGACCGTCCTCTTCCTCCGCATCCTCGTGCTCCTCCTCATCTTCCTCGCCATCGTCGTCAGCCATCGCAACGATGGGTGCTGCAGCCCCTCTCCGTGCTGGTGTCCGCAAGGGTGTCTTCAGCCCGCCGTTATCGGCGACCACGCGGCCCTTGCGAACGGAACCCGGCCGCTGCCGCCCAGCCACGGCACCACCACCGTCGGTCGCCGCGGCTTCCTCGTCACTGCCGTCGTCGTCGATTGTTATAATCGGGGAGGCCGCTGCTGCCGGGGCCGCCCTGCCGGAGCGGCCAGCGCTGGCCGGTGTCCTGGTGGCCGCGGCTTTGCGACCGGAAGAGGGTGGCGGGGGCCCCGTCTGCTGCTGTCTGCAGGGCGCGGATGGGGTTGACCCGCGTTGCCACTCCGATGGGGAGGCTGATGAATGCGAAATGACACTGCAATGACTTCGAGAGCGCGCGAGAGGCCGCATGTCCAGGCAGTGGTCGGTGGGGGACAGTGGGGGGCTGAGAAGGAGGTGGGAGGCAATGCAGTCTTTCATAAACCCTTTGTAACTTACCGCCTAGGGGTGCCCACTGCCTTAGCCTTGGCCGCCGGTGTGCCCCGCTTCTACATGGGGGAGAACAGGGAGGATGAAGGACCGAGTGGAACATATGTGAAGAAGGCATGCCAGGGGGGGGCCATGGAAGCGGATTGCAGGCAGAAACAGCCAGGAAGGATAGAAACTTGCTGTTGTTGAAGCGCAAGAGGATTAGGTCAGCGAATGAGTTGTGGTATAGGGCCTGATGGCACGCACGCCGTACGGTGTCGTACCTACCCACGTACCTAACGGCGGCACAAAACGACATACGGCATGAAGCCCAAGGCACATTCCCCAATCCTCGTCACGTAACCATACCCCCTACCACACAGACACCGGATACCCTCTACCACAGCCACACCTTGGCTGACCGCCGCCTTTCATCCGCGTCGCTCTCGTCACTTTCCTCGCTGCCATCGCCGTCATCGCTCTCGTCGCTTTCCTCCTCGCCGCCCTTCTGCTCCTCCTCCTCGTCGTCTTCATCAGACCCAGCACGGCGACAGCCTCTGGCAACTGCAGCGGCGGCACGCACTGCGGCCGCGCGCCGCGGCAGCGGTGGCGCCCCATCTGCCGGCCGCGCCGCCACTGCCCGTTCACCACTGACGACGCCGTCCGCAGCCTCCGCACGGCTGCGCTTGACGCCCCTCCCACTACCAGCTCCTGCTGCGGCCGCTGCAACTCCAGGAAACGGTTCACTCGCAAGGTCGCCGCCATGGGACCGCTTAAACCCACCATCGCCGCCATCAGCATCGCCCGCAGCCCTGTCATCCTCGCCATCCGTATCCTCGCCACCGTTATTGGAGTCAGGGGAGTCTCGGTATGTGCGCCGAGTGGCGGCCCGCTGGGGGCGCTGGGAGGACGATGGAGGGATGTCTACGTGCGGCTGTGCGGGAGGGCACGGTGCAGTCATCGGCAGTAACAGCAGCAGCAGCAGCAGCAGCAGCAGCAGCAGTAGTCAGGTATCTAGATCTATAGCGGCCGCTACGGCGTTACCGGCGGGACAGAGCAAAGGGGACAAGGCGAGGAGCGGCCGCAGCGAGGCGAGGCAACAGAGGGGTGATACGCTTGCCGAGCTTGGTATTACTACCGTGGCGAGGACCAAGTTCAAAGGGCCTATAATACTTCTAATCCCCTTCGTGATCCCCTGCCGCCTACCTCCGTTGCTGCTGCAGCTGCTGCTGCCGCCCCGGCCGCCGGCGTCTGCATGTTCTTAGGCCGCCCGCCAGCCTCGCCTGTGGAAATGGGCAGTGTAGCAGCTGCCTGAATGTGGAGGTGTAGGACACAGATGGCTGAAGGTGCCATGCATGCATCACGCGTCCCTCCCGTCCTTACCCCTCTAACCACCCTTTCCAAGCATCGCTTCTACAAAGCATTTCTCTGTTGCCATGACAGACGGACAAACAGACGGCGGCAAACAGACAGGCATACAGGCGGAGAGACAGATAAACAGAGACATACTGGTTTTCCGGTACACTGTCGGAAAGGAGTCAATCCTGGCAGGTGCGTGGGACGCTCCCCGCCGGACCGATCGGGGCGCTCATCCGGCTGCTAGCCGCACGGGTAGGATACCTGGCTTAGGGCCCGCCCCGTAAGCAAAGTCGTAGTCGCCGTGCGCGAGCCGCGCCGAGGCTTCCTCGCCAGCTGCTGCGGGCGTGGCACCAGGCCCCCCTGGGGCTTTGTGCTGGTGCTGCTGCTGTAGGTGGGATGGCATGGGCAGGCGCTTCTCCTCGGGGTTCTCCTCTGAGGTGCCGATCCACCAGGCTTCGGAAAACACCAGCTGGACGAGCAAAGGGGGGTGAGGGGAGGGGAGAAATTCATGTGGTGAACGGGAGGAGGGGAATAACACCAAGCTGGATGCCGCCCACCCTCATTTGGAACCCGGGGTCCCCAAACCCTCAAACAACAAAAAGACTTACCATGTTCTCGAACACGTCCTCCGCCATCACGCTAGCTCCCCCGCCCACCCTCAGCGCCATGTACTTGGCCCGAGGAAACACCAGAGTGCCGAACAGCTTGATGCGGCCCTCTGGGAAGTCCAAGTACATGACCGGGTTGCGGCTATCCAGCTGGGCTAGCGTGCCCTGCACAGCGGCAACCCCGCGGGGAGGGAGGGAAAAGACAAAACACGAGCGAGTGAAGCTGTTGCCAAGGAAAGAATGCTGGGCGGGAGGGAAAGGGAGAGGATGGAACTTGACAACCAAAAAGAACAGATGCAGAAGCAGCGAGGAGGGTGTCCAAGACGCCGGCGAGAGAGTTGTAAGCCGTAGCAGAGGCGTCCAACATGGACACGTGTACAGTTGCAGTAGGTGAACCAAGAGGAAAAAAGCGTGCCTTTCGTGTAATTGTTCATGGAGTACGGCAACTTTCGGCCGGCCGTTCGTTTTGTTGTGTTCAAGCCAACAGCAGGTCGAGCTCACAAAGGCACACGCACCTGTCAATACCATTTTAAACGGTCCTATCCGACGCAACTATACCATAACTGTCTTCCTGATGAAGGGGGCCCCGTTACCGTAAGTCGCTATCATGTGCTGCCGAACGCAAACGAAAATCTACTCGCTAGGCGCCCTCTGCGCCGGCCCGCCCCTGTGCGACCAATCTTGCCCTCCCCTGGATTCAACTGTTGCCAAAGGGACTGGGTGTTCCTCGTCCACCATCATCCATCCATTCACCTATCCATCTACCCTGCCATCCATCCATCCGTCTGTCCGCAACCATTCATGCATGCATACATGCATACGCGCTGTGTGCGGCATTGCCGGCTGCCCAAGCCCTTAAAACCGTAGAGAAATGCCTCACCATCTGACCTGCCGCCGCGGGCGCCAGCAGCGCATTGACAATGACGAGATATCTGCGCGTGCGGGTTTAGTCATTGGGCCGGGCCAGCGGCGGCAGTGCTGTAGAGGCTGGGGGCTACGAGGGTTGATGCGGGGGGAGAAGGCAGCTAGGAGAGGCGGCAGGGTCCCTACGAAGTGGTGACCCAGATGGCCCTCAAGAGTGGACAGAGGTGTGGGTGCGTGACCGCATGGGCAGGTACGACATCGGGTTAGTCTCGCGTGCCGTACATGTTGACGCGGAAACCGCGGTTGTGGTGTCAGGCAGTAACAGGCTCCGCACTACCCGGACTCGGAGCGGCTGGAGCTGATGGCGAAGTAAAGTCAGGTAGATGTGGGTTGTATGGCGTCAATCTGTTATCTATACTTGTTGATTGACAAATACTATGATCTGACTGCCACAAGCCTGGCCAAGGCAGCAGAGACTCAGAACGTCACCGGGGCTTCGAGGAAAATAGTAGTACTACCTGTTTTTCCGTGTTGTGCTCTTTTTGACAATGTCCTTGCCGTTAGACTTCACAAGCGCTGCGAAGGAGAGGGAAGAAGCACGAAAAGGAGGGGGAAGCGGTGGCAGGGAGTTGGGAACGTAGGAGGGTGGGTGAAATGGTGGAGAAGCGGCTACCCTTGGGCAGTTATCCACCAGTTATCCACCCGACCCATATCGACTTCAGGCAGAAAGGGGAGACGGCTGTGATCCAGAATTGCGCGACTATGGATCCGCTGGGAAGCGTCAAGTGATATTGCAGCAAGGGGTGGAGCCAAGGGGAAGAAAGTTTGCTGTCCGATAGTACGTTGACTGCTATGCTTCGGAGGGCCCCCATGAACTACATGTTCCTGAGATAATTGTGGCGGAATGCGGGGATGACCCAGATGCTTCTTGCGACTTTGGGTCGGCGCACTTGCGTGTTCTAAGTCCCTAGAACCCTTGATTTGGACGCCGTTGGGACCCCATAGCGCCAGTACGTCTGTCTGACCTTTGGAAAGAGGCAACTGTGTTGTCACCCGGCCGATTTCATCGGTCAACACCTGGAGCGAGTCATACAGCGAGCGCATAGAAGTTCAGGCCCAGCGGGGCCGACAGCTGTACCAGCCAAGCTCGATCCCGCTGGAACATACATACCCCAGTGTCTAATGCTAGCTCCTTGAGCCTCTCGCACTCCTTCTGCTGTGCTTGCTGCTCCGCGGTAACCTTGTCGACGACTTGGTCGTCATCGACACGCTTGGCCGCTTTTTTTGGAGCCATGTCGGCCTAGAAAGAAATTTCAGTGTTACCTATCCAATCAATGAATAAGAATGTTAACGACATTACATGTGCGCTTTACGACAGCTGGCGCCAAATTAAGGGCATCAGCTCGCCCTGCTTCAAAATTATCCAGGCATGTAATCTTCTTGCAGCATGCAACCCATGCACATTGCCTTGACCATGGTTTTCCTCTGTCCGTCAAACTGTCGATTTGTCCCGGTTTCTGTCGTACATACCGTGCACGGATATCCACATTCCAGCTCCTCAGCCATTTGGCTGTGTCAACGGATGCAAAGAAATGTGCATTCCATGAGGCATCCTACTTCCTGTAACATATGGGAAAGACCAGAACCATCTTACCCGAGTTTACCCATCCCTTCTTCGGCAGCACCTTCCTATAGCCTTGGCAACCCTGGCACAAGCCTGGTGAGCTACCGCCAGCTTTACACACAATTGAGGGACTGGGCACTGCATGCTATGTGGCGCGAAGGTATGCCAGGACAGCCCGATGGAAGCTGCGTCATGCAGGGGTTCACGGTGTATTGCCGGCACGCTGCGGCCCTCGTCTCCCGCTGCATGAGGAACGCCACCTTAATAGCGCGTCACGGAGCTGCTGTCTTAAATGAAGCGCAAAGCGCAATTACTGGTGGCAGTAGTGCATGGTCTCCAGAATCCTCAGTAAAGACGCTTGGCAGCTACGATCGCATATGGTTTCATGAACAGTCATCAGCTTTGCTGCGGCAATGGGGCGGTGATGAGTGCGAGAGAGGACACAAGACTTTTGGGACGGTTTGCCTTCAAGACGGCTATTGGCAAGAAGTCACAGACTGCAGGACGTCGCAGGAGCAGCAGGCTAACTGCACCCCCTTTGCGCCTTTATAGAAGTATAGCCCGGCCTGGTGGCCTGCACAGACTACCATACAGCCATACACGAGCTGCCATACACGATCTGAAGCGCACCATGACCGCTTTCAAGTCAACCGCATGGCACACATCTGAACCACCACTGTCCATCATCAGCACAGACCTCCCGCCATGCCAACATGTCGCCATGCCCAGTCAGCCATTTCCACACTGAGTCAATCTGTGTTTGCAGCAAACAAGTAACACCCCTAACCCCACCCTCCGTCCCTCCCACTTCGGTCTTGACCCGCCTAAGCGTCAATAAACTGCGTTCACTGCAACGGCCCCACCCCCACCGGCACCACCACGTCCTCCTGCAAAAACAATCGCAAGGGCCGTGTGGGACTCAGTCCGCCTCAGTACTCTCGCCGTCATTCCAGCTACAACTTGCCTGGCTGTTAACCTGGTTGCCTTAACGGCCTCTCTGGCCCCTAAGCCTTCTCCTATCAAGCCAGCAGACATGCCTACTCCCCACCACCAACGCAACACTGCACAAACCTGATCCGACCCGACACATAACGATGTCGGAGCCTCTTCTACCGGTAACTTCCTATAGCCCTAACATGTGCCTTGAAAAGCCTTAAAGTGTATCCTCCTAGCCCCCACCATCGAAACCTGGCTAACCCAGGACCATGGGCTCTTGATGTGTATGGAGGCCTGGTGTGGCCGCTCCCGCGGCCACGTGCGACCCGCCGGCGCCGGAGCTCGCCCTCGCACCTGCGACTGCAGCCGCAGCCCCAGCTGTCGTGCCGCTGGGTGGCCGGACATGCCCTGGCTGACCCGGAGCCGCTGCGTCCACATGTTTGAGCTGGTCCAGAACCTGGCGGAACGCGGTCGCAACGACCCATGGGTCAGGGAAAGCCATAGGGGCAGGAGAAAGACAGAGATAGTTGGAAATCGAAACGCGGGATCGGGCTCGTGCGCCACCGGTGCACATGACGGCCATGTGCATACAGGTCGCACAAGTCCATGTGCGGTAGGGCTGGGTCCCCGTGGAGCTCGAAAAAGCTGGTTTGGTCAGCATGGGAGTGCAGATTTCGCAACCACCGCAGCACGTACCTCCGAAACCAATTGCTGGTAGGTGCGGTTTTTGGCCACCTCCTTGAGCACAACCTCCCGCAGAAGGCGCCGCTTGTCAAAGCCCAGGATGCTGGGCTGCCAGCGCCCTACCACGGACGACGCCAGTGGCGGCTCAAAGGCGGCGGCAGCTGCGCCCCGGCTCTGACCTGCTAGCCCTGGGCCTGGCCCTGCGTGCGTGGCGCTGCCGAAGCGTAGTGGCCCCATGAGCTCGGAAATGAGGTCTCGGAGCCGTGGCTGCGGCGAGCAGGGGTGTAAAAGTTGGTTGTGGTGACGATGGTGGTTGAGTGTGGCAGGGATAGGCGGAGTAATGGTGGTCATGGTGTTGGTTTCGGTGCTAGTAGTGACAAGGATGGAAGAATTGGAGGAGTGGTCGTAGCGCTGTCGCGTTAAGTCCGGCCGTCAGCGGCAACCGCTCGGAAGCCCCAGGCTGCAACCGCCGTTACCAAGCGGGGCTCCCGTGTATCATTATCTGTAACAGAAAATGGCATTAAATGGCCGTTACGACCCCTTCATTTCCAACCGGCGCCACTGCCACAAGAAGCCCTTATGCAAGCGGGCTACAGCTGGTCCACCTGCTCCTACGCCTCCCACACGGGCTCAACTCGGTGGCTCATCCCAAATCCCTCTTATTCCTACCCGCCCTCTTACTCCCTCCTCCTCTCCGTGCAACCCTGCAAACAAAGAGATCAGCGCCGTACCTCATCTTCGTCCGCGGCCAGCCGCCGAACGTACATCGTGAGCCACATTCGCCACTCCACTGGCGACTGCAGCACCGCCGCCGCTGCCATATTGTGCTCAAGCAGCGCCTGTTCGCTGCGGCTGGCGGCGGCGGGACGCGCGGCGTGAGTGGCGCTCGCCGCCAGAACATCATGCGGGTGGCGCCGCTGTGCTGCGGAGGCCTGCAGCCGGCTGAGCTCACCCGCTGCAAGTGGCCAGCGGAGCGCATGAAAAAAGTGAGAAAAGGATAAAGCAGCACCCCACACGCGCCGCACCGGCGAAACGCCACCCGTGTGTGGTTTTGGTGTGTAGCACGGGGCGCGTGGGGGGCAAGGCGAGGCCGGCGGCCTAAAAGCGTTTCGGTCAGCCGTTGTTGGGGCTTTGAGAAATACTGATTTGGCGTAATCCATACATAGATAGCCCTCTCCTTGTTAGCTGCAGGTGCTCTTCAGTTAGGGACAGGCCCGGCTCCATACACGCCCTCCTTGGCCATTACTGCCCGTACCAGTCCCAGCCGCAAGGGCCCCCCTCCCCGGTCCCTCACTCCGGCCCCAACTCACGAGTGGCAGACATGCTGGAGGTGTATGCAGAGGCCGGGAAGGCGTCATCCGCCACCCGCATCCAGCAGCGCAGGTCAGTCTGGTAAACGTAGGCGTAGGCGTTAGATAGCACCACCACAGGGGAGCCCCCGGAGCTCAGCCGTACGGCGGCAACTGCGGCGGCGCGGCGTGGGGGTGGGACGGCGCGGCTTGAAGTGCGGTGGGCGCGCGGCGGGAGCGGGTGGAGCGCAAGGCGGTGGCGAGTGGGGGCAACCACCGAAGCTAAATGATGAGGTAGGTAAACAAGTACGATTCATACGTCTTTGCGTGGCTTTTGAGCTCTTCCTCCTACACCAACGAGGAGACGTGCAAGAAGGCGCCAGTGGTGATGCGAGGGGAAATGCCGGATTCTATGTTTTGAGTATCCTCGTGGCCTCCCCGCTCTTCCCCATCCCGGAAGTCCTCACCCCGCAGGCCCTGCTGTGCTGCATCTCCAGCCAGCAGCGGCGCCACGCTGATCTCTAGCAAGCTCTCCCCAGCTGCGAAGTCCCATGTGCGTAGCTGCCCGTCCGCCAGCAGCGCCACCAGCACCCCGCTGCCTGCCGCTGCGGACAGGAAGGAGGCCGGGGCGCCCAGCCGGATCGGCGGGAACAGCCGCCGGCCTGCCAAGCTGTACACCTATGTGGCCGGCGCGGTACAATTTGGATGAGGTAAAACAATGGAAAGCCCCCAGAGCCGCTCTAAATACGGCGCCGGGCTTCAGACCACATAAAACCCCTCGCCAGCCACCGCGCCTGCATGCATGCAAACGAGCTTTGCCCCGGTGCTGGGTGAATGACCCATGGGTCACTCGGGTCATTACCCACCATGAGGTCTCCATTGGCAGTCGATGCGGCAATCAAGCGGCTGCAACCCGCTAGCGCCACGACATGGCCCTGCAACGCATCCGACCACTGACGCCGGGCGCCAGACAGGCACACCAGCTCGGCCACGGGACGCTGCCGGACATCTCGGCCGGTGTTGTTAGCTTGGAGCTCTAAAGTTAGCTGGAGGGGAACGAGGAAGGAGGTAGGGGAGCTTAGTATACAACCCAGGGCTCATTGACTGCGCTTCGAAGTCCTGGCTTGCACCTCTGGACGTGTACTCATGGCACTCCCCGCACCCGCACCCGTACCCGTACCCGCACCCGTACCGAGCCCCCCGCACCCGCACCCATACCGAGCCCCCCGCACCCGCACCCGTACCGAGCCCCCCGCACCCGCACCCGTACCGAGCCCCCCGCACCCGCACCCGTACCGAGCCCCCCGCACCCGCACCCGTACCGAGCCCCCCGCACCCGCACCCGTACCGAGCCCCCCACACCCGCATCCGTACCGAGCCCCCCGCACCCGCACCCGTACCGAGCCCACCCGTACCCAACCCACCGGCACCTCGCCCGCCACGCCACTACGCAAGGGTATCAACGCGCTCAGAATGGGCTTGATGGGCTCCGGCGGCACGAGGTGCACCGACGGCCCGCCACCCGCCGGCGGCGGCACGGCAGCGCCGAACGCGTCGCCGCTAGCAGTGGCGGCGGGGATGCCGGTGGTCCCGCTACCTGCACCAGTCGTCGCCGCTAATCTTGAAGCTACATTCCCCCCTCGCTGCTGTCCTGCCGCCGTGGCTGGAGGCGGCGCCGCAGCAGCCGCTGCAAGCTGCACGGGCTGCAGTGCAGGGCGTTTGGCTGGTTGCACCTCGGGATCCTTGCTGCCTGAACCTGCTCGCCCACCGGCGCCGGGAGCGGCAGGCTTCGCAGGACTGGCGGCTCGCTGTGTGCTGGTCACTGCCGGCTGCGACGCCGCCACCGCTGCCCCTGAGGGTTGCGGCTGCAATCGGCCCGTCTGGGCTGTCGACCCGTTGCTTGGTGCGACCGTCGGCGCTGCTGCCGCTGCTGCCACCGGCGGCCGCTGCTGCGGCACGGGAGGCCGCAGGGCTCCCGCTGCCACAGGAGCCGGCGGCGGCACCGCCGCCGCGACTGCCGCCCTTGGCCCCAGCCTGTTGTTCAGCCGCTCCTCTCGCTCCACATCCGCCCGCGCACGGACCTCCAGCTGCAGCAGGTCTGGCGCTGCTGTCAGCGCGGCCTTTTGGTTTCGGAGCCGCGGGTCACCGTACAACTTCGCCATCAGCGCCTGCACCTCTGTCTCCGACACGCGGCTCCCCAGGTCTCCCTCTTGGAACACTACGCTAGTCACGCTACCGTCCTGCGACGCCAGCATCATCACGCGGCCGTCGGCGCTCCAGGCCACGTCGTTTATCATACGGTCAAAAAAGCCGCGGCCCACAAGCAACGGCGCCTCCACTTCGGGGTGCCACACGGAGAAGGACTTGTCTGAAGAGCCCACAGCGGCAATGCCTCCTGCGCCTGCATCGTCATCCGCTGCTGGCGCGCCGGCGGCGGCTTCCCCGCCGCCGCCGCCACCGCCGCTGCTTCGCGGTGACAGGTACAGGTGCGGGTTATGTCGCACCACCGTGACAGGCCCCCGGTGTCCTACCAGGGAGAACTCCCGAGGGGCCCAGGTGTTTCGTCGGATGAGCGGCACTACATGCACCCCGTTTTCATAGCCGTTGGGTAGCGCCAACACCTGGCCGTCGGGGCTCCAAGAGGGGCGCAACGCGAAGCTAACGATAGGTGCACCCACAAAAGGGTCCTCCAGACGACACGCCTGCTGGCCGTCCTCCAGCCGCCACACAATGACCTCCCGGTCACCCTGACTGGCCAGATACACGTCAAAGGGGTCCCACGCGAGTCCCTTAACATGGCCAATATGACCTTCGAGAGTGCGAAGGCAGACGCCGCTGGTGGTGTCCCAGATCTGCGGCCACCGGTTCACACGTCCCAGACGGAGGAGTTAGGAGGAAAAAGAGGCCAGATTAAACCCGGAGGACTCCTTGACGCACCTTGACTCGGTTGTCCACGGATGCTGTCGCCAGGCGGCGACTGTCGGGCGCCCAAGCCACATCCGCTACGTTGACCTCATGTCCGCGAAGCCGCAGACGCAGCTTCCAGTTCTCAAGGTTGGCTGCCTCGCCGCTGCCGAAGACCGCGCTGCCGCGGCCCTCCCTTAGCTCAAATACGTAGGCGTCTGAGTCGTCCGAGCCGGCGGCGAGCAGCCGTCCCGCAGGTGCGAAGCGGACGCAGTTGACGGGCGTGGTGGATTCGCTCAGCGCGGCGAGCTGTTTGGGCACGGAAGCGTTTAGCTCTGCAGACTCGGATATTACAGGTCGCATGGACCATATCCGGATCTTCTTATCCGAGCCGCATGTAGCCAGGCGCTCGCCCGAAGCGTCGATGTCGATTCCAAGGATGGCCGCGCCTGCAGGGGTGAGGGCGATAAAGGTGGTGATGCGGAGAGGAGCGCGTTGTGAGGTTTTGGGAAGGGGGGAACGAGGGGCGGAGGATGTGGTGGCGGAATGGGTAAAAGGGAGTGTGAGGTGAGGGGGTGTGAGGTGAGAGATGTTTAAACAGTGGGACCGCCGTACAGACAAAGAGTTAAACTTTATCCGCACGGCTAAGGTCCTTAATATGTGCCGAATCGTTATTTCGGGAGGTAGGATGCATATGGCAATTTGCCTTGCGGTGCGGCAAAACGTCGTGTAGCAGCAGGGCGGCATCTGGCGGGATGATATACAAATTCATGGCTTACCGCCATGATGGATCCACTCCGGCTTATCAAACACAGGCATGATAACGGTAAGGGGTCTCCGCGTGGTCAAGCAGTAGTCAAACCGAATTGAACCCGTTGCTCCATTCCTCACCGAAACCACAGAGTAGATTTGCGAGGAGGCTCATAAGTTTGCGGCCTGCTTCAAAATTATCACTTTGGTTGTGGAACATGCTGTCCAGCATTGGTTTCTCTTTACGTACAGACGCCCAGAAGTGTTTCCTGTTTCTGTAGTACAGGGCATAAGTTGCGTACTTGCAATATCGGGAGCGCTCTAGGCTGAGCAATCTTATTACACAAACTCATCACAATCAGTAAGGCGTCAGCTCTGCTGCTCAAATTGCGTTAGTCTGCCATATTCCCAGTGCGACTGCATTGGTATTGTCTCCTTGTTCTCTCTATAAGTTTCTTGTTTCAGAAGTATTGCAACAATGTATGGTCGGGAAAGAGGACCACCGCCACCTCCTCCACCTGGAATGATGCGTGGACCTCCACCGGATTACATGGACCGTGGACCCCGTGACTATCCGCCCCGGGACATCGACCGGAGGCGACCCCGCAGTCCACCGCCACCAATGCATGAGCGCGATCGCTATGGTCGTGGACGGAGTCCGCCGCCTATTCCAAAGCGTTCGCGGCGGGATGGCCCTTATGATCGGGATTTCCACGAACCACCTTTGTAAGTCTTTGCCACGGAGTCAAAGCAGCATGCCTGTTCTGGGTCATGGATGCTTTCTCCTTTTGGGAAGCGCGCTTTTTGCGAAGCACACTTTGAAGCAGGTGAACCTTTCTCACGATGCAGTGGACGCGGGAGCCCAGAATATGACCGACGGCCACCTTCCCCTAAAGGTGCTTATGATGAGCGCGAAGCTTACGAGCGGCGAGGCTCTGTGGGCCGCGAAAGGTGTGCGAACGCTTTTGTACCGAAGATATGCTTTGAAAATGTCCACGACTTTTCATTTTGTTTTTGCATAGGCCTGAGGAGGAGAAGCGGCCAATGACCTTTAAGGAATTCACCTTGCGCAAGGTGCCGGACGATGCAGCGCCCGACGTGGCACACCGGATGTTCCAGGAGTATCTTGTGGAGTATTATGGCAGTGCAATTAAGGCCGAGTTCGAGCAAAACAAAGATTCGGATGTGTGAGCACCGGGGTTGATGGGTGCAGCTTAGGCAACCGCGTTACAACCGTGTGTTTTACCTGCGGTTTGGCCTGACGTGATGCGCAGGTTTAAGTACCAGTTTGACCCGCGATACTTCGCTAAGGTCGTGGCTAGCCGAGCAGAAGAGGCGCAGGACAGCGCTAAGCACATAGCAGCGGATGTGGCGTCAGGGGCTCTTGATCCCAGTCACGAGAACTTCTGCCAGGGTATGTACGACCTGGCGCCAAAAGTTGAGAAGGACAAGCAGCCTGGCAACGCAGAAGAGGGTCCGAAATTTGCACCCAACTTGTGCTGGCGCATGCCGCGCGTCGCACACGATCTCGACCTCAGCCGGAAGCTGATCCGCAAGCTTGACGCAGAGAAGGGCATCGAGGAGAATCCACTTATACCCAAGCTCTCTGCTGGGGCGTCCGGTGGTGTAGCGTCAGCAGCTGACGGTGCTCCTGAAGGTCAGCAGCCAGCGCCTGCAGGTAGTCTTGGGAGATTTCACGTGTGATGGCAACTTCTCTCCGTGTCCATGCTATTATCATCTTCAATACGGCGCATATGGCGCGGACACTGTCTCACTGGAAATTCGTGCACGTAGCTTTGTCTCTGTTCATTATGTTTAATTCGTGAACCGTAGGTGATGGGGCGGGTGGCGACGCAGCAGCCCCTGCTAACGGTGGTGAGTCTGCCACTGACGGTCCACCGAACAATCAGGGCGGCGGGGCCGTTACGACGACCGCAGTGCCAGCAGGCGGGACTGGTGACGAGGAGCCCGCCGTCGTTGTGAGCGAGGCCAATTACACGGATAGCATTGGCAAGCTTGACCTGCAGCTCCACTGGCTTTGGAAGGTCCATGGCGTGGATTATTATGCTGGCATCGAACTCAACGAGCAAGACTGGCCTTATCGCCTCAACTGCTGTCGCCTTATTCGTGGCCCGAAGCCTGAAGAGGGCGAGAGCGAGGAAGGCGCAGAGAAGGCAGAAAAGGAGAAATTGACGCGTACAGTGGACGAGACTTGGAAGGCCCGTATTGCGCATGGCGACCCCATTGAGGCAAAGTGCCTCAAAGCTCGGGTAGGTGAAACGGACGAGACATGCTATCCATGCGTGCGCGAATATGGAAGCGGATGTTAGATTTGCCCCTGGCACGCATCAACGTCGCGGTTGCGATGTTTGCTGATGTGTTTCCTTTCGCGATCGTGTTTCCCCTTCAGTTCAGAGATGTTTCTTACCTCCGTGAACTCATGCTGGTTCTCCGGTCGCAGATCGAGGAGGAGCTGGACAAGTGGATCGAGTCTCAGGTTACCATGGTGGCCGATAACAAGTAAGTTACTGTGCACCAAACCTTGTGCAGTTATCCCTGTGGCAGGGCAAGCCCTACGCGGTGTGCACGGCTTGGCGTGTCAAAAGCGTGCACGCTTGCCTGGGAGCTGTGTGGGGCACCTTTCCTGCTAACCGAATGACTTCAACAGGACGCTTAACTGTGGCTGCGCCGTGAATCCACTCCCCCAAGATACAGCTTGGAAGCCTTGCTGTATGACGTGATTACATTCCGTGACTCCTATTCAGACCTTGGTACAATTAGTCTTAGGTGCCTATAGGGCTACACATCTTAGCCGACCTTACCTGATTAACTATCGAGCTTTTCGTATACATTTCTTAGACGGATACATTCATTTTCCACCGGTGGCTGTTTAGCTCTTTATTGGACACAAGATTCGAATGACAAGTATACCTATTCGCTCCATACAACGAGCAGCAGATGGTGCAAAGCCGTGCTGTGCAGCGCGGATAGGGATCTTACCTGGAGGCCTCGTCGATGATTCGTGGTTTGTTTGGCGCCTACGCAAAACACTCACTACATGATCAACTGCCTCATGTTACTAGGATTTACGCTTTATGATCATAGGTAACTCTTGCTTTACTGCCTCTTACGCTACATACACAAATAGATGCCGTTTACTTGACCTAGGGATGACACTCATGCAGTTAGGTTACATTTACGGAGTAGCTAGTCAATTAACGACAGCTAGTAAGGCACGAGTATTGACAACTAGCAAGGGCTTCGTCGGCAAAAGAGCGGCCACGCCATCTATTCCCAGCTGTTCTGGAGCATGATGCAACGGTACATATGTGGTGTCGTGCGATCGGGTATGCATGTATGTTTCCATGTCTATAGCCTGTTAGGTCGTTGTGTTGGCCTTAGGGATGCGAGGGGTAGCAGAGCAGCTGTACCCATCAAGTTGTCACTTGCGTGCAGGTGGGGCTCGAAGCTGAGCAACAAGTTGTTTGTGGGTAAGAAATATGTCATCAAGCACATTAAGACGAAGCATCAAGACAAGCTGGCAGCGGAGCGTGAACGGGTAGGTCACAGATTTTGCAGTGTAAGAGAGAGGATTACTGCCGTCGGTGCGCTTTCCTGCTGACACTGTTGCTTATTTAATGCTGCAGATCTTGGATATGCTATACTTTGAGAACTTCCGCACGTGGAAAGAGGATGAGGAGAGACGCCGCTCGGAGGAAGAACATCATGCGGGGGAGCCCATGGAGGGCGAGGGCGCCGGCATGGAGGGCGAAGGTGGCTACAGTGGCCGCGGGCGCGGCCGGGGCGGCGTGTTAGGTGCACGCGGTCGGGGACGCGGGCCTGGCCGTGGCATGATGGGCCGGGGCCCCATGATGGGCATGGAGGGCCCTATGATGGTGCCCATGCCCATGGCGCCAATGTTCATCCCGCCAGGTGGGAGGATAAGCCTGCCAACTTCGTGCATTGTTAGGGTTTGTCGTCCTGTATCCATGCTTGTCCGTAGTGAACTTTTTGTTCGTCATTGAATGATATGATTGAAGCCGCTGCTATGATTTGGATGAATCGCAGGACCCATGGGACCGTTCATGCCCATAATCCCAGGGCCAGTGCCCTTGCTGCCACCCGGGCCAATTCCTATTCGAGGCAGAGGTCCGCGGCCGTTGCGTGGGCGAGGTATTCCTGGGCGCGGCATGGGACCACCCAAGATTGACCCGCGGGGCATGCGTGAGTACTTTGACCTAGATCACCCGGCGAACAACCGTGCAGTGCTGGACTATGGGGATCTGTAGTTGAACCGTTTTGCAGGACTAGTGCATCGTTTTGCTGCATGATGTTGCACGCGCTTGTGACATGTTTGTGGTATGTGTCTGGGTAACTGGAAGTTACAGTATGGTTTTGTGTTCCTAGGGCTGCCACGTCCCGCACAAGGGGTTGATGTATGTTGTAGTGCATGCTTCTAACAGGGATGCAACAGAGTAAGGGCGGTAGTGGTGATAAATCTTGCAGTGTTGGTAACATCTGCTTCTATCACGAAATTTACAATTTATAAGACGGTTCGCAGCATTGGAAGGAACTGCAGCCGTACAGCAATGTGGCTACTTATCTAGCGTTCCGCGAAGGTAGGTTATTCTCAATACAATGCGTGCAAGAGAAATCTCCTTTCAAGTGCACGCTGGTCTTTCAAGAGCAGGCGAGCGCGTTTGGTGTCCTCGTATCGATGGTCTGCGGTAATGAGAAATGGAGAAATGGATAAAGCCGGTGTGTTTTCTGCTAACTGGCGGGGCAATTCTTACCGTGATTGCCTCAATATGCTGGTTACATTTCTGTAAGGCTATGGAGCCGTGGTACCTGCGCCCGGACACCATTGTGTTATGCAGCGTCGGCTTCGGGATGCAGTCTAACGTTGTGCGAGTAAGAAATGTACCTGTAAAATTCTTGGCAAGTTACTGTACTGTATTTGACACGCACTTTTGCTGACGTGGCAGTGAATGAGACACCATCCCTGCGCGTTACCATGTCTTAATAGCAGTGCTGCGTATCATGCCTGCAATGCAGTATGAGGCGGGCAAAAGCATGGCAGGCATGAGTTGGAACAATGGTCCTTACTTGGTCAAGCTTGCATTCCTGCCGCCGCTAATAATCTGCAAATCATGTGGAACGTTCAGCAATAGGGCAACTTGTTGTCAAGCTCACGCTCCATCTTCCGCTGGAATGATATCTTGGCTACTAGTGTTCTTCCCTATGGATCCTCAAGATTGGTTCTGGACTTGCACCACGGTAACGCACCTCGAACGACTTGATGAAGCCCCTAGAACCCAAAAGCATAAAGCCGCTGGGCAACCTGTACATGGTTCATAGTACATCATTGTAATTCAGCAGTGAACTGTTAGCTTTATGCAACCGTCCCTAGGGTCCCTTCCGATGCAACCGCTCCGTAACCGGTGTCCATATCTGAATCTAACTCACTGCGCAGTCAGGTCTCGGAATGAGTAGCAGGTGTTCGGGTAGCACTGTTCGATGGAAACAACACAGTCCGTCTCTGCGCAGACCAATGAATGCTCTGATTAGGGGGGCTTTAAAGTGGCCAACGGGTCATGAGCAGCCTTGTAGGCTGCGGGAAGGAGCCCATAAGCGTTTCCGAGGACGGTCGGCGCTGATAACATCCAGTGGTGCACGGTGCAGATGGCGAAAAGCGTGGTAAAGCTGCTTACCTCCAAAGTTCATTAGCAGCCCATGGAAGCTACCTGATGTCATGTTGAAACCATACTTGCTCTTGACCTGGCAATTCTCTTCTAGTTCCTTTAGTAACGTGCAGGGTGCAGCTGCATACCTGCGTAAGCAGTACAAGACAAGACTCTGCTACCCGACAGACCCTTAGAGCGCAAACGACGATATCGCGGGTAGCCAGATCCACCTGTTGGGGAACATACTTGCGCGTACAAGGGTAAAAAGTAGGTGAATCACTGTCCACGCCACGCCATAAAAGCGCCGATGTCCTATCCGCAAAGGACTGCTGTTACGCATCTGTCAAAGGCAATTTGTCCGTCTTGCAGGCCTTAAAATCCCCAATAGTGACGATGAACTGAGGAGCAGCAAACAAGCAAAGCCCTAGGCAGAAGTCAGATACGTCGCCAAGACTTCTACACTTTAGATATAACGGCATGAGTTACGGCGTAGCGCTATATAGTACAGATTTACCTGTTGGCGGTAGCTGTCAAAAAAATCAAAGTGCAAACTGTACGGTGATTTTAATAAGCTTTCCCGCATCCCAAAGATTGACCTGGCCGACTACTGGGCGGAGTAACAACTTGGTTCCGGAGACGCCGAGGAAATGTGTAGTATGGAATTGATGCTGATTGCGAGGTTATACACCTAACGAAGTAGGGTCATAGAAACGAGGCTCTCTATTGTTATATATTCCTATGCTATGCGCTCCCGGTTGCAAGATAGCATTGGGCTATGACTGTACTTTCTGCGGTGGTTCTATGCCTGTTGGCAGCACAGGCTTGCCAACCACGCCGCGTGCACGTGCAAGACCTACGGTAAGGATTGAGATGTAACAAAGTGCAAGCGAAGGGCTTTACTTCATAAGCGATACTTTGAATTCTGTTTCGGAACGCAAGCCCCTCTCCCAATTGTTGAAGCACATCGCCGCCCGACGCAGGTCTATTGAGTCGCGTAAGCTGTCTGAGAAAGGGAATAATTTACTTGCGCTTGAGGAGGACGTTGCTGATATATACTCGACTTTACCGGTAGTTTTGCAACGGTGCCTGGTAAGCCCCGCGCATAAGCTCCACACGCTTCTTGACCCCTTCGTGCGCGCGATAGGGGAGGGCTCGGTTACCTTCGCGGCTGTCCCAGGGCAGAATGCTGCAAGGCAAATATGCGTCCCGCATTCCCGTGGCACACCCATCCCGTGGATATCCTGAAAATCCCCTGCACCCCTTTTGGCACGGTGATTTATGCGTACCCCTTCTTAGTGCGGGAGGTAACTGCAACTGCCTCCTAGGATCTGGCGTTTCGAGTTTCTCGTCTTTTTTCTGTTGCCAGACACACGCAGACTCTATGCGGCGCAGTACCTCCTCGAGCCGCCTAGCAAGGCCTTTTCGGCTCGTATATATGTTGTCGGATAAATATTGAGGACAGCCCTACCTACAATGTCCTGAACGGGGCGTGAGAATTTCCAAACCATGTTCCCGGTTGCCTTCTAACTTGTCTCATTTGTCTGCCTCCCTGCTAGGCTGATCCGGCATGCACCGACGCTTTGGCTGCAGCCGTTGTGGATGAACGGGACCCGCAACAAAATAATGGACGACCAAGTACCCATACTGATAAGATCCTGGCCTTTACATCCTTGGCTCAAGAGCAGAAGCAAGAACAGCGACGGCAGCAGCATGGCTACAGCATGAGTTTCGCTTCATTTACCAGCGACAACCCTGCGCACGGCGGCGACGGCCTGGGAACCGTACAAACCGAAGGCGACGGTAGAAGTGGTAGCGGGAACGAGGACATACCGCACAGCAGTGGCGGTGCTGGGGACGGCATCAACAGCAACGGCATGGCCTTGGGGCATGGAGGCAATGGCGGCAACGACGAAGATGACAGTGCAGATGAGCAGGCCAGTATATCCCTCAAGGGGCTAGTTGCTCTGGTGCTGTTCCTCGAGGCGGTGGCGGGCATGTACCTGCCGCTGCTGCTCCAGCGGTTGCAATCACCGCAATGGTGGTTGTCGCTACTCAACTGCTTCAGCGGAGGCATATTCCTCTCGGCAGGTGCGGCAAATGGCATGTCTCGCACGCGATCTGCGCAGGGCGATTTGGGTCGGTGGGGACAAGCAACATAATGGGGTTATCTATTCCGAAACACTCCGTCCTGCTGGGTTGGGCTGGGCGTTCGGAAATGATATGAAGAGGGGGCGGAAGGAAGGTAAGGTAAGGAAGAAGCGAAAGGCCGGGAAATAGGGTGCTGGAGGCAGTTACAAAGCCGGGGGTTGCAATCCGGATCGGGACTAAATCCAGGCAAGAGATCTGGGGTAGCTGATTAAGGAAGGGCTCTCATGGCGCATGGTACCGGGAACCTTCTAGGGAGGTCAAAGTTACTGTCCCACAAGAGCACACGGCGGCCCCGCCTTTTTCATCTCCAAATGAACGACCGTACTGCAGGCTTCCACAACCTCAAATTCAATGTTCGCTGCGTTCAGGTATCATTCATCTGCTGCCGCACTGCGCTGAGGCACAAGAGGCGCTAGGGCCCATCGGGCCTGGCGGCGACTACCCCCTGTACCTGGTGGGTGGAGGGATTAATGGCAGCTTGGATAGGGGGCCTATGGCTGAACGGTCATGCGGGGACATGGCGTGGTGGCCAGGCTAGGGTTGGAGGCTAAAGGAGCGGCCAAACAGAGGAACTCCAAGCGAGGGGTCCATCCGGCCGTGATGCACTGTGCCAGGGTAGTCTGTATGACCTGTAGGCCGTGTCTTGGGCGTTAAAGAACTGTTGGTGTCCTGCCGCTGCGCCTTGGAACTGCGGGTCAAGGTGGACAGCTGTTGATTCCCTGCACCCGCTTGGGCGCTTGGACGGCTGTTGGCCAACGCTGTCACGGTTCTTTTGTCCCACTTGCGCACTCGCTCCGGCCCCGCAGGTGCTGGTGGTTGTGGGCTACTGTGTGGTGTTCTACGTGGAGCGGGTGTTGTTTGATGTGCACGGGGAGGGGCATGCGCACTGCCAGCATTCCAATGTGTACAGCCATAGCAGGTAAAGATCCCGGGGTAGGTTGGGCCTGGGCGCCGTTGTCACGATCGATTTCGGGTTTTGGCTTGGGGTTACGAGGGACATTGAAGCTAGTTTTAAGGAAGCTTGATAACGATGGCGCCAGGCTAGCGCCCTTGAGATGGAGGCAGCCCAGTCTTCCCTTATTTTTTATCGTAGTGCCTCAGCTATCGACCGAGTCGCGCATGAATGAATGCACCTCACAACCTGCGTTGTGTCCTGCGTGTGGTGGAGGCGCTTGGATCAACGCTTCCCGCATTCTGCCGCTGCCCTTCTGGATTTCATGCCGTCCGCAGTTATTACAAGGCCATATCGCATCATCGTTCACAGCGCATACCCAGGACGCGCTCAGGATCAGCTGGTACTGAGCCGGCGCCGTTGCTGCTGCCTGCGCCGGGAGCTGCAGGCGCCGGCCCAGGCCACCCGGGGCGAGCTGCAGAGGCGCCGGGGTGCACCCACTCGAGCAAAATGGATCGTGAGGGGCAGGCTGCAATGCGGGCAGCAGCAGAGGAGCCGCTTGTTGCCCGGGAGGAAAGTTGCGCCCTATACTGCCACGACCATGGTCACCAGCACTCTAATCAGCATGTCAGTCACAGCCAAGGCCACCAGCACTTAGGGTCTCGGCTGTCGCTGCAGGTGGATGAGGGAGAGGAAGGCGCGGCCTTCGCCCTGCCGGTCGGTGCTGACTCGGCGGGTGCGCGCATGGCCGGGAAGGGTGTCGGCGAGGACGATGACGCGGAGTCCTGCCACAGTGACCATCCACCACGGGCAGTTTGCGTGTGCGTGGAGGAGCAAGAAGCGGAGGCGGAGGAGCGAGGGCAGTACCATCATAACCATAGCCATAACCATAGCCATAACAGCCATACCCATAAGCACGAGCAGAAGCACCAACAGCACCAGCATGTGCATAAGGCCCGAGGCGACCGCCAACAAATCCACGACCTGGCTAATCAAGCCCATGGTCAGGGCCGGCGGGGCTCGGCAGGTGGCGGTTGCACTGGCAGCAGCGGCGGTGGTGAGTTTGGAGGCGACCAGCTTCGTGTGCCGCTGCTTCTGGCTGAACAAGGGGCGCCAAAGCTCCCGACGCCGGTGCTGGACAACGCCAGCGGCAATTTCGCGATTGCCCCCAACGCCGACGGCGGCGGGGACAGTGTCGACCTTCGCGCGTTGGCCTGGCAGCACCTACAAGCTCGGCATTGTGTTGGACAGAGCCCGCAGCTTCCGTTCCATCCACCCGAGCCTTGCGCCTACCACACGCACCACCACCTGCACCCGCACCACCGGCACCGCCGGCGCTCCGCCGGCACCGGACCTCCGGTCGGCAGCTACGGCAGCGGCGGCGGAGCCGGCGCCATGGACAGCGGCGCGTCCAGCTGCACCTCTCCATCACATCACCACCATCACCATACCGCCCCAACCGGCCACCACACCCATCACGATCATCATCATGTCATCAAGCCGCGCTTCCGCTTCATGCACGGCGTGGTGCTGCTGGTGGCGCTGGCTCTGCACACTGCCCTGGAGTGCATCGCTTTAGGGCTTATCGACTCACGAGCTCAGTTCCTGCTGCTCTTCGCCGCCATCGCATCCCACAAGGCCGTGTCGGCGCTAGCCCTCAGCAGCCGCTTCCTCCGCGAAGGCGCGACGCTGTTGCAGGTGACGGCGTACGTAGGGCCCTTCTGTTTGGTGGCGCCGGTGTCCGTCCTTGTGGGGCTGTATATCGGCCGTGTCGCACCCATCGCGCGACTGGTGTTCAGCTGTTTTGCCACGGGTACCTTTTTCTACGTGGGAGCATCCGAGGTGAGGAGTGAGTGAGATTTGAATGCGGAGCACTGCTCGAACGCAATGTGAGGGCGGGAACCCAGAACAGCGTGGACTTACGTGCAGTTAAAACGTGGGCTTGCAAGGTTGCTGTTCCTCGGCGCCCTACACGTATTTTACTCATTGATCACTTGGGTGTTCCGTCAGCTGTTGCTGCAGACCCTGCGATTGTTACCCGTTACGCTGAGCACCTGAGCCGTATTCTGAGGAACTGGCGTATGCAGGGATCAGACGCACGCGGCTGCGGCACGCCAAGGCCATTCGCGTATGTGCTGCGCTCGAAGAGCTCTATTTATTTGACGGACACCGACCCGATCTGATGTGCGAGATGCGTTACAATCGCGATTTTATTAACACAGGTGATCATGGAGGAGTTCGAGGGGGAGATGCGTGCTGACCGGCGCGACATTTCCACACGCGCAGCCCGGTACATCAAGTTCTTCGCGGTGCTGGCGGCGGTGGCGCTGGTAGCTGCCAGCGGACTGCTGCCCGAGCCCGATCACCATTGAAGGGATGCCGGGTATGCAGTACCCAGGCGAGTCCTCCAGGCGATATGGCGTGGGATTGCGAAAAGGGGCCGTTGGGCGACCCCCATGTGCGCGCATGATTGCCCAGCTTTCGGCGGTTATCCTGCGCCTTGCCATCAGGGTTGGGATAACCGGCGGTGTGGGGGCCCCTGAGCTCCGTAAATGGGCTCCTGTATGCTGGGGCCGGGGCTGCCGCTGTGACTGCGGAGGATTGTGTTGAATAGGGCCTATAGGGCCTTATGCAAAGGAGGGAGGAGAAGCCGCTGCAGCTGAGATACCATCCTGGCAACGCCGAGATAACGGAAGGGTTGTGTGAAGGTGCATGGGGAACCGCGGGCGACTCCGTCCCCACGGGGTGGTGGAAAAGGAGGGAGGGGACTGATTGCGCGCGCTGGGGGGGTAAAAGGAATGACGCATTTGCGGGTTGGGGCCGGATCCGTCAGCTGTGTGAATGATGGTGCAGCGGGCCCAGGCGTCCGAGCACCAGCTGTCTCCAGGGGGGCCGGGCCTTACCAGCCAGCTTGCAGACTACGCGCGGGTTGAACCCTAAGCAATCTATAAGCACAAGGGTTAGCTGGATACCGTTTCTACATGCACATAGATATCGCAGGGTAAGGCCGGTAGTCATAGTTAAGTTATGGGTTAAAATGGGCAGATGGGGCCTGTTGGGGACAGCGAGGCTCTATACCAAGCATTGAACCTCTAGACGATAAGGCGGGACTCCCGATGGGGCGTTGCTTCTTGGAGCTCCTGGGGCGCGGGGTTCATGGCTCGTATGAAAACCGCATGCCGGGAGGACGAAGTCCGACTTGTTGGAGGATGCGGACAGCTCACGGGGGTTATGAACCCCCTCGGTCCTCATGTGTGGTATCCCGGAGCGGAGGCGAGCCAGGGCGGCGGATGGCTGCGGATGGCAATCTGGATCCAGGCCTGAAGGTATGGAATACTTTTGTCCTGTAGACACAAAACGTCATTCCGCGGGACTTGGGTCCCACTTGACGTTACTCAGTAACTCGGTACGTGCCGCCTCTTCCTGTCGCCCGTCGGCGATGTGGCTCGGGAAGAACTTGTATCTTATCTGGCTCTATCATTAACATGATATGCTCAAGGTGTCGATAAAGTGTTTTCACTGGGTACTGCAAAACTTGGAAGGCGGCTGCACGCATTCCGACTCTGGGTACGGGGAGTGGAACGCTAATGCATCATGGGTGTGTCGTAGCGGCCGTGCGACACGGTCACCACACCCGACGTGGGTGTGGAGATGGGAGCGCTATTATGGATATGTGCGGAGCGGCTGCTGATATCAGGGAAGCGCTTGAGAGCAAGATGCGGTCCGCATCGGCGCAGTGCAGCAATGCACCCCACGTCAGTGCGCATGTGCAAGGAGAGGGAACGAAACGGCTGTTGCGCACCTGGCGAGGCTGCATTGTCGACAAACATATCGTTTGGGACGGTGTACTTTGTGAATCAGCGTAAAGTGCGCTCCTTGGATCCTCCTTTTACAGACCTGCTGATGGCAGAGTGCTGCAGATGGCGCCCGTACACCCCTAGTGACGGATGCGCTGCGCACATAACACGGGGCGCTACATGGCTTCGCAGCTAAAACCCTTTCGACGAGCAACAGATTCGGTATCCACATAACCGATGCTTTTGGATCGTTAGGGAAATTGTAGCGTTACATCTCCGTAATGCTGACGCAAGCATGCGGCTGTAACACAGGTTCTCATACCCGACCTGGACGGGTGTTTCCGGAGTTTCCCACCTACCCCTACTTCGATTGCCGTCGCGTTGTTCCGCCAAAATAAGCACCCTTCCAGGATACGGCCATGTTCGTGTCCGCGTGTCATAACGTAATGTCATAGCGGCCACGCAACGTAATGAGAATTCTTTAGGATGTAGGACAGTACCATACAGCAATACGGCTGGTTTCGACCACCGTCACATAAGTAACAACTTCCCTTCTTCACAGCATTGCCCTGATGTTCCAGACCTTGAAATCTGGCGTCACAAGAAATCATGCTGATTTCTCATTATACAGCCATCCTGCAAGCGAGACCGTTGAAGACGCCGAATGGAAGGCTGCGGTTTTAGCGAACAACGCGCCTACGCGAACTCGAAATCCGCTTTCCCGGGCATCAGCTGTCCTAATACGTCCAGTTAATCGTGGTTCAGTCCCGCTGCAGCGCCAGTATGGCCACAGCTCTCCTTGCCAACCACGCTCGTGCGGGGCCGCGCCCTACGTTCCCTCTCTCCACCACAACCAGCGCCCGCGAGAATAGCACCCGCGCCATACCCTCCTTTCCCCTCAAGCAAAGCAGCAGTTCCGGCAGCAGGTTGCCACCGTCCGCGCATTGTCACTACCACATCGCCACATTGCAACTGGCGGTCGCGGCATCTGCAATCGGCACTGCTGCAGCAGCACCCAAAGCAGCAGCAGCAGCGCTAGGGGCACCCGATCCCATCATCGCCGCACCCTGTAGAGCAACGCGGCGGCAGCGGCAGCGGTCAGCAGTACAACCCACGGCGCCGCACGGTTCGCTGCACCCGCGCCCGGCGTCACCTCCTCTATGAACACCAAGTCAATGACGTCACTGAATTTATCCGGATCCAATGGTACTGCACCGCCTGCTTCCGGAGCCCAGCTGCCTGCCTCCATACAAGTTTCCCGACTGGTCGAGGCATTGGCGCATTCCGCCTGGGCGGCGGCGGTGGCCTCGAAGAGCTCACTACCCTGTCGCACCGAAAACAGCACCAGAGGCGGTTGAGGCGGTGGTTATAGCCAGTGGCGAGGGAATCAGAGTGAGAACGACTAAGCGGAGGGAGGGGTCAATGGAAGCTCACCGGAGTAACGACACGCGAAGAGCAGCCGGGGATTGCCCTCCCGCTTGCTGCGGCGTCAGCTCAGTCAATCACACCCTCCCATCCTTACGGCCTCCCAGTCCCCTCTCCGTACCATCACCCCTTCCCTAGGCTGCCACTTCCTCCCACCAGCCCGCAAGACCTCCCCCGCTGTGCGGCCACTTTGTCCACCACCCGTTCACCCCCCAGCAATCCCCCGCCCCGGAACCAACGCACTGATTGGGAGAGCTGCTGCCAGATAAGGTCGTCCCGCAACCGACACATGCCGTACTCGACCGGCAGGTCGCTTCGCGCAGTGCAGAGTTCATCATTCTCGCAATCTTGCGGAGTCGTGTAGTTGCACGAGCTCTTGATAGTGTACACCAAGTCCGCGGTATCACAAGAACCGAACCAGTCTCTCTGCCAGATGCCTACAGAGGGCACAGCATAGCACGGGACAGAAGCTGCAGTCCAAGTTGCAGTTGCTCCATGTACGACAGGACGAGTCAACCTCCCAACGCGTCCACATCCAAACCACCTCACCTACTCCACGCCGTCCCTACACACCGAATCGCCCACCTACCGGATCAGTCACACAACATCGAGGCTGCACAGTATCGCACCCACCGTTGCGCATCTGCGACACCAGCTCGTCGTACGCCTCCCGGCTCTCCACTCCTCCCTGGGGACTCGGGGCGCACACGTCCTCCTCGTCTGTGCCGTCCCTCGCAGGGAACCACCAGCAGCGGGCCCAGTTGCCGTCAGGCTGACCGCACCAGTCACTGTCGCCAGTGAGCTACGGCGTCGAGGAAACCGAAGAGAGCGAGGAGACGAGGGCGAGGGGGGGAGAGAGGGGTTGGGAAGGAAGAGGCACCGCGGAGGGAGCGTGATTGTGATCGTGGGTGTGCGTGTTAAGGGATGTGGAGGTCCCGCGTCTTTGGAGCACAATGGGGGGAGCTTAGTAAGAAGCAGAAGACGTGCCGAGTCCACACAACACTGGCACACTTCCTCCTGAAATCGTCTACCACTACAGATATTCAGCCATTATTCAGCTATCAACTTTGCCACAGGAAGAGGGAGAGGGAGAGGGAGAGGGAGAGGGAGAGGCACGGTTGCTCTTTTTCCTCAAGAACCCCAATCCACAATCCACTGACCATCTTCCCTACACCGACCCACCATCGCCGCCATCGCCGCCAGGAGAGGAAGTAGCACAAATCCCTAGTTACCTTGCCAACAGTGTAGCATCGATCCCAGAAGGGTGTGAGCACCGCGTCATCCCGACAGTGCAGATAGGCTAGCAGCCGGGGCAGGAGGTAGTCAGACGTGACGGCGCAACGATTCTGGTCCTCCTGCCACCGGCAGTCGTACGGCGGGTGGCGGTACGTACCGCACCTGGGACAGCGGGGAATAGTAGTGCGTTGTGTTCCGGTGAGAGGTGTGGCCTATATAGAAGCAGCTTCTCCACGGAGATGGATTTACATTATTATAGAGGGGTCCATGCGCGGATGGGGAGGGAGCTGTTTGGGTTATACGGTGCCCGGGATGTACACAGATGTGGCCAAGTGCGGATGCGGGGAGATGCGGGTCCTCACCTAACATGCACCACCACCACCACCACCACCACCTATCTAGATTTGTATGTGTATGTGTGTGTGTGTGCCTCCGCAGGCATGTCAGCTCCGCGCATCCACCACACGCACCTCTCCCTACGCTTTTCAAAGCTGCATTGGTACGCGGTCCAGGCAGTTTTCAACAACATAATTTCAATGGGGTTTGTCGGTTCAACGGGTTCTGGAAAGTCCGGATGCGCCACGACCATGGGGTTGAGATAGCATCGGCCGCTGCTTGGCGGCGGTGGTGGAGCTGACGGCGATGATGGAGTTGACGGTGGTGATAGAGGCTCCGTGGATGGTGGTGGTGGTGGTTCGTAGAGGCACTGGGTGGCGTAGGCGGGGCGTGCGGGGCTGAGGAGCCTGCGGCGCCGGTTGGCAGGCCGCGGCGGGTAGGGTGTCACGGTTGCGGGCGTCTGTGACAGGTGCTCCGCGAGGAGGCTACGCAGCCGGAAGATGGCATCCCTGTTGCGTTCCTGCAGCTGACGTCGCTGGACGTCCGCGGCTGGTTCGGGTCCTGCTTGGCCGTTCAAATCATTAACCGAAGCTTGAACGGTCAGGGCGCTGGCTAGCCCCAGCAAGGTGACAAGGCGCAGAATTAACCGTTGCTGCATGTTATGGGGTTCATATGCCTATACAGCTACTGATGGGCTTGGACCAAGAAAAAGCCCCTTCGACATGCTGGTCCCCGACCCCGGCATTCCAAGCTTTATAGTAAAAAAAGTACTTTAGGTAGGTATGACTTGAACTTGTGCCTGCGTTTGAATCTGATTATCGTGTAGGAGCTAGTCGTGCTTGCGCTAGTCGTGCACGTCTGTCCTTGGCAGTGCGAAAGCTCAATACAATAACTATCCCATACCCTTACGAAAGCTTTATAATTTTGAATTGAAATTGATCCCGTTGAATTGCGTTAATTGCACTACGCCAAAGTGTTGCAAGCCAAGTAGTCGATGTGCCCAACGGCACCGTCATTCTCGCATGGAGATCAGCGTTTCGTTGAACCCAGGCAATGACGGCGTGGAGGCGGTGGTGGTGCTCCCACCCGGCGTATCCTCTGCGGCGGACGTCATTGTGGAGGTCCTGGGTGACGATACACTGCTCGTCCAGAGCCCCAGCTGCGCTCAATCCGTTCAGGCTGTCCTGCCCGTTGCCGTCGACCCAGATACTGGCAGGGTCCGCTTCAAGCGGTCGACAGGCAAACTCATCTTCACGGCCACCGCACGGCGCAGCACACTGGTCCATCCAGCTCCGCCCGCCTCCGACACCGAGTCCATAGCAGCGCACCCATCCCACCCTCCCGACGCGCCGCCACCGGAACTCCCACCAACACGAATAGAATCGGAGCCCCATGCTGCACACTGTTCAGCAGCAGAAGCTGCAAGCCCCAGTCCCAGGGCCAGCCCTGCCGTCCAGGCCGCTTCCCCATCCCAACCAGACCAACTTGTCGCGATGACAATGATGGGGAGCGTAACGCCGTCTCCGGGCGAAGCACCGGCCCCAGCTGCAGCCCTGGGCAGGGCCACAGCCGTCACGCTGAAGGGTGAAGGCCGCCACGGAGGCGACGGCGACGGCAGCAGCGGTGACGGTAGCACCGGCACCGCGGCCTCCCAGCTCGCGACCGGGGGTAGCGGCTTCGGCTCCGCCGCCACCAGCGCAACGTCCTCCGGAGCAACTGGACTGCCCTCCATCGGCGGCGGCGTCAGCTGCGTCACAGGATGCACGTCAGTGGCAGCGGCGGGACCCGCCCCCTCTTCCTCCGCCTCCGCCACCTCCGTCAGGGCGAGTGCTCCTGACAATGGCCGAGTGACCTCGCCCCCGCCAGCACCCTGCACAGCCGCAGTAGCATCGGGCGCCGACGCCGACGCGACCACCGTGACATCCACCGTTAGCACCGACGTCAACGGCGGCGACGATGATGCAAAGTTGTACGAGGAGTACTACTGTGACTCGCCGCCGGCAATGCCGCCGCCGTCACGGCATCGATCAGAGCATAACGGCCGGAGCGCCGTACATGACGCCGCCGATTCTGCTGCACAGCAGTCAATTTGCGGTGGTGGCGGCGGCGGCGGCGGTAGTGGTGTCAACGCTGCCCGGGTCGCGGCCGCATTCGAACCCGCTGGCGGGACCAGCAGCCGTGACGCCGGCTTCTCCTTCACGGCGCCTGACCTGCCGCCGCCGCCACCGTTGCCGCCAGGCTTGCCGCCTGTCGCGCCGCCAATCGACTGTCGCTACCTTTCGGTCGCCAACGCATTGCGAGTGAGTGCGCACGCCTCCACAGCTGCCATTGCGGAGTTGATGGGGATTCACCAACGCGGCTCGGTGGCTGCGGAGCGCCGCAAGGCCAATAAGGTCAACGAAATCTTGCAGCGCGTCGCCGATACGCTCGACGCGTACGGCTATGCTGTACTGGACAACTACATATCGGAAGGTAGGGTGCCGTACATCACGGCCGTCCTTCAGGATGTCGCTCCTCTTCCATTTTCCGCCGTTGGAGGCGCCCCCTCCCCCCCTCCCCCTTCCCCCCTCACCTTTTCCCCCCTCCCCCGTTCCCCTCTCCTCTCCCCCCCCTCCCCCTTTCCCCCCTCCCCTTCCCTCCCTCCCCCTCCCCCCTTCCCCTCCCCCCTCCCCTTCCCTCCCTCCTCCTCCCTCCCTCCCCCTCCCCCTTTTCCCCTTGGGTTTATTATAACTTGTTACAAGTCAGGTTTTTATGCTAACCCGCACACACGCACATCGCGCGCATTTTTTTTCGCTTTCGCTCCGGAACCCGCTGCCTTCCCCGCAGCCGCCATCAAGGGTGCCCGTGCCGAGCTCAAGGTAATGGAACCGCATTACAGCGCTGGCATGATCTGGGTCGGCAAGGAGGCGGAGGCTGGGGCCCAAATTTCCGTATCGTCCGTACGCGGCGACGTTGTACTGTGGCTGGACGACCAAGCACTCAACGCCACGGCATTTGTGAAGGACGGCGTGCGGCGACCTTGTAGTTTCATGCAGCTGCAGCAGGCACGTATGAGCCAAGGGTCGCCATCTTGTCTGTTGCTGCTGCTGCTGCTGCTGTTTGGTGCAGATGATTGGGTTGTGTAAGTGATGAGAGGAGAGGGCCCTGTCAAGTCACGGTGTGTGTCACAGCGGACATGCGCTGCTGAGCAGCCTTGAATTCCCTCCGCACTGTCCCCCTGCCGACGACATTACATGGTGTACATGGTGTTTAAACCGGTGTCGGCATTGAGGCTCGGCTCTTATCTTTGCCAGTTGGCAGCACACAGCTGTGCGAGACAGCAACCCCCACATACAGCAGCGCACGGTGTTCATGGTTCCGCTCCCTCCCCGCGTCCACTCCTCGCATGTCCAACTTCGGATTGGCGTCCTAACCCCATCCGGGGCGCCCCGGACCCGGCCTCGCGCCCCGTCTTCCTGCTGCTGAGGCTGATGCTGCTGCCGCTCGCGCGGTTGGTCCTGGCGGTGTGGATTGCAGATGTTGGCGGATGTGGACGAGCTTGTTTTCGAGGGACTCCGTACCCGGCTGCCGTACCTGGCGGGGCTACATCGCCGTAGTGACGCCATGATGGCCATATACCCCGTGAGTGAGCGGCCGCCGGATCTGAAGCCCCTTTCCCCGCTGCTACTGCTACTGCTACCGCTACGGGATGATACGCCCGCCACGGCCGGCCTACACGATACTGCGTCTATTCCATGTCGTGTTTGTTCCACATCGCAGGGCAAGGGCGCTCGTTTCGCCAAGCATGTGGACAACACCGCGATGGACGGCCGCCGGCTGACGGTGCTCACCTATCTGAATCCCGGCTGGCAGGAACAGCAGGGCGGCGCGCTGAGGCTCTTCCCCGTGCGGGAGGTCAGTCGATAGTTGGAAGCTGACTATTGGTGACTGTCCGGGTCTTCGGGCAGTGTGGATAGGCAACTGCGCATGCTGCATGTCCAGGTTGCGCTCGGTGTACTCTGCTGCTGCTGCTACTGCTGCTGCGGCAGCATCGTTCTGTCATCGTGGTGTGTCGAAGACGTGAGGGGAAGTGAAGAGGCCACAGGCCATCAGGCGCCGGTATCCCCTCGACCACCCCGGCGCATCACCGCCTTGATGCGCATCATAACCGCATCATTGCCGCCGTCACCCCCCCTGCTGCCTGCATGAGCGAGCACCACAGCCACCACAGGCACGCTGCAACAGATGCAAGGACTCGGGTACCCAAGAAACCTGGCAGCGCTCTGTCCACTGGCCCCTGTCCTGTGCCTTTCCTGCCTGTTCCTTGACCACCTGCATTTTCGCTTGGTAGGGTGCGGAGGGTGTAGTGGACGTGCTTCCGCTGGCGGGTCGGGTGGCGCTGTTTCTGTCGGCGGAGGTGGCGCATGAGGTGATGCCGGCCTACGCGCCCCGGCACGCCGTAACGCTGTGGTACTTCGACGCGGGGGAGCATGCCGCAACCCTCACAGCGGCCAAGGTGGGTGGGTGGCGGTGCCCGTGGGGCAGTGCGGCAGAGCTCTGGGTGCGGGTGTTTCCGCGCGGGTGCAGGTGCGGTGCAACGCGCTCGGAGGGTGCCGCGTACAGACGTACGTGAATTTTCTTAGGGCTGCTTTCTGGTTCTCTGGATTCAAGAACGAGACGTCTATCGTATTCAGGACCGCGTGTTGCGCCCTGCCCATCCTAACCCAGCCCCGCTGCCCCGCTGCCGCTCCTTGCCCATTGCCTGGGGTGCTCTCCCTGTGCTGTTGATGTTCTGTTGTTGTTGATGTTGTTGTTCTTGATGGGGTGTTACATTGTGGGCGGCTCGTCCCGAGAAAGGACGAGCACTCACTCACGCCAGCCGGGGCGCTCTCCCAGCCCCTGGCTAGACAACACAGCGGCGCAGAAGACTGCGAACGAACTAAGCGAGAGCCGCGCGAGAGGCGTGTTAAATCACGATTCTTTCAGATAAGAACCGAACGGTGGGGATGCAGATCCCGTGATACGCCCCGGATGCTACAAGGCGCCACATCACCTCTGAGGAGCCCTAAACAGGCTACCTGCCCCAACTGTTGTTGTTGTTGTTAATGTTCTTGTCGTTGGCGTCGTCGTTGTTGTTGAAGCTCAGCAGTTGGTGTTGCATTCTTTCCATAAGTCACCACACGTTGCGCCCACCATCGCCAATGTTCCGCACCGGCGCCACCCTTGACCAATCAGGTGATGCCGGGAGCTTGCAGCCGACCCGCTGCCCAGGCGGCCGCTACTGCGCTGCTGCGGGACCTCCTTGCGGATGAGACATGTTCAGGGATCCCAGCAACACCGGAAGGTAAGGACAAGGTCATGCCTGCGCTGCCACATTCCGACTTATGTCATATTCAACCCTGGCTCTCATTCTTCCCCTCTCTCAGTGTGCTCAGTATCTTGTCTGTTCCGTGTGGGGTTTCCCGTCTTAAGCTCCTCTTCCACTTCCTTCCTTGGGCCCTACCTTGGGCCCTACGTAACTTCCTTGGGCCCTACCTTCCTTGCCACTAATTGCACACTTGTCTCCTCTCTTTTCTTTGTTTACCCATTCAGGTCCTCCGCCTCCCATTTGACCCCAACATCCAACACAATTACCTATGTAGCTACATCCATTTGTTTCTCTCTCTCTCCCGCCCCTTCTCAGGCTGTGCGCAGCTGGGCACCCGGGTGGCCGCTTTGGATCCCGGAGCGAAGCAGCTGCTGGCTGCGGTTCTGGGCCTACCCAGCGTGACGGCCCTCATGGAGAGCATGAGGGTGCGTGTGACGGGGAGTGAGAAAGGGAAAGAGGGAAGGGCGAATGGATTAAGGAGGACATCAAGTGAATCCGCTGATGTTCTCTGTTACGCCTGTAGCCGTCCACTTTATCACTTGCGTGCACACGGTGTTGGTGTTTTGTTGTTGTTGTTGTTGTTGTTGTTGTTGTTGTTGTCGTTGTTGTTGTTGTTGTTGGTGGTGGTGGTGGTGGTGGTGGTGATGATGGGCCTCCAGGTGGTCCGGCGCAGCGTGCTCGTCTTGCGCTGTAGTCCACGCACGACATCGCAGCTCCTCCGACTCCATTTCTGTTCCCTCCGCTCCAGGACATATACCGCAAACAGCCAAGGCGATCTGCAACTATTCTGCATCTCTAATTTAACACGTAACATGGAGGACATATGTAGTCAATGTCACAGGACAAAAGGATTTTTCCGGACTCGCGGTCAGACCCGGAAGGCCACGCTGTATGCGGGTTTCAGGCAGTAAAGACAGACAGCACTGTCTGCCAGATTTTCAAGTTGCTGACATTAAATCGTTTTGTTTGAAGACGACTTTCTCAATGCTCGCCCCGCCCTATCCCCCGTTCTTGGACGTAGGGCCTGACGCCCGAGTCCCTGCGGCGGCGGCGCGAGGAGCTTCGGAACATGGGTCTGGGGACGCAGCACCACGCGCCCGATACATCCGCGCACGTCTGATAGCTCCATGTAACACAAATGTTTGGAGCATGTACCTGTTAACTGGTTTTGTGTCTTTTTATCCCGCTCCATGACTCGCTGTCCTAGCCTTGTACAACTGTACACCGTCTTCGGTTATACTTTGGAACTACTAAAGCTCCCTGCTGTTCAGCTTGCATCGTGAAACCCTGAGCTGCTGAATCCGAACTCACTTTAGGACGGTTTGCTTTTATAAGTCTCCAAACTTACGCAATGTGTGATATGTAGGGGGAAGGGCTACGTACGTCCTGAATTTCGCACCCTACGATCATGTACAATATACCGGACTCATGTCCACAATCAGATAAGCCATAGACTCAATCTTATTAAGTTAACTGGGTGCGCGATAAACGCGCTCAAGATAAAGTAATAGTTGTGGATAATGTTCACATAAGATGTTGTCACACCCCATGCAAACGGCCGGCAACCTGCAAGGCTTGTGCCCGATGGTGGGTGCTATAAGATGCACTTTCCTGTTGATAGGCCAGCTTAGAATGTACTTCTTTCGCGGAAGTTCTAGGATAATAGCAACGATGTTCCCCGCCCATGTCATCTGTAATTGCGGACAATTTGACTTTGACTTCCTCGCGCAGCTCGCGGTCGCGTGGGGCAACCATATGCTGCAGACTGCCACGCAGCTCCTCTACTTATCTGGTTGTTACGGTGGGCTCCAGACTCACGATGAGTAGAGCCAGATGGCCAGCTGGCCGTGCACTGCACGTGTTTTGTGCTTTTGACAAGCCGTGCACCTCGCCGCGAGGCCACGAGCTCTGTGTCCCTACAGGTCCCTGCTGCCAACTGCGGCCTGCAACCTGATCTCAGGAGCCTAATGGCATGCCGTAAGGACTAATAAGTACGGCCTCAGTGCCACGGCAACCGGTTTTGCTGTGCGCATGACGAGAGCACAGGAGGGCATAATAAGTGATAGTGTCCAAAGCTTTTTCCACCTGTCAATCTGAGTCCTACGATTTGTCCTTTACTGGAAACGGAAGTCCGTTCACGGGTAACTCATACGCGCCAAGTTAGCTGACAATTGGGTTGGCTTACGGCAAGGAAACCTAATTTGATGAAGTACTCAAGCGCGAACTCATTTCCATCGTGTCGGTTAAATGCGCCTGTGCGGATCAAGCCATGCAGCTCTGCTTTTCTAGCCCTAGGCGACCCTTGGGACATACACAAGACGAAAGACGAACACTTGATGCAAAGAGTGGGGCTTGATGTTAGCATCCTGTTACACGTCCTGTGATATGGTTGTACCAGTAGAAGAAGGACGCAAGATACGCGTACGGGGCACGACCTGTCGATGTCCTCGCCACGTCGCAATGGGCTTAATTCCTGAATCGATATCGTCGTCCTTATAAGGACTCAACGTTTTAGAGTTGTGAGGCCCGTGGTCATGATTCGGTTTCGATATGTCATCCGTCTTAGTCGATGCTGCTTGAACCTGAGCCAGGCTAGGACCAATATAAAAACATTTCCTAGCTGTTCTCCTTTGCTTTAACAGCATGGGGCTTCACATTTGCCCCTTGCTGCGATGTGATAGTAGAAGGAAGCATTGGGCTGACGCACGCTAGTGTCAAGCCACGATGCGTACCTAACGCTGGACGGCTGGACGAAAGCAAGAGCGGCATCAAGGTAGCCTTGTGTCTGTTTTAGACTGATTCGTTTTCAGCCTGGAAGGGTGCTCTTGCAAAAGGGACAGCTGTCACCACTGCCAAAGTAACCTCTTACGTGTATGTCTTAACTTTCCATGATTGGTGAGTTTGATTTTCGGTCACATGGCGGCGTGTTGCGCAGCTCGGGTTTATTGAGGGCGATGGAACACCGTCCCGTGTAATTTGTTGACCTTGCTGTGATTATGAGCCCTCCATGGCCCTCGTCCGCGTCTTACAATGGTTTGTTGGTTGGGCTCATACGCTGCGAACAGGTCCCGTCCACAGAGGATGTCAACAGAGGAGCCCAGCCCAGCGCCTGGCAGATTTAGGACGATAACCCGCAGCACGATACGACCGGGTGAAGGGTCATTCAGGGGTCTCCTCGGCAGCCTCGGCAAGACAACCGACAGGTCTACGAACGGTACGTAGCTTGCACAAGGGGGTACGTCCCTTGCGTTGGCAAGCGGGCTGGGGCCCCGCTCAATAACCGCGCCCCCTGATACTGTAGGGCCAACAATCCGTGAGATGGGCACAGCCTATTACCTCCGCGAGGAAATGCATTCTGCGCGCCAGGCTGTTAAGCAGCTGGACACGGCGGTGTCGGAAGCGCAATCCTTCCGGGAGGCAGCGAGCAAGCTGCGAGAGGAAGCGCATCGGGCAATGGGCCGCCTCGAAAGGGTAGGTCGCGAGGCCAGAGTGCCGAGGTGCGGTGGGCAAGGGTTAGAGCTGTTGCTAAGGGCCCTAGGAAGCGGGTGAAATTTGTAAGTGGGAGGCGATTGCTCGCGGCGGCGACCGTGGAACTGTCGTTCAGCCACGGGCTGCAAGGGTGACCCGGGCTTACGATTTTGTCGCTCGAATAATTGTAAGCTGATTCGTGTTTATCTCCATTTCCATCTTAGACTGTGATCTGCGATTTGGGTTTCTTGTAGCAAGGCATTGTGCGCTGTCCTTGTTTCTATTCACGATCATTCTACTGGTGCTGCTTTTGACCGCTGTGGCCGCTACCCCCAAAATCCTACTATCGTGCAGGCTGTTGCCCAACTTGTCGATTCCGACCACGTCGATCCGGACTTCATCGGCATCGCCTGCGACATCACTTGCGCCGCCAAGCGGGGAATCACGCTGGTGGATGTGTACGGCAAGTACAGTACCATGGTCAAGATCATGACCATATTTCTGCGGTCCTACATACACTCCAAATTCGAGAAGCAAACGGAGCTCCTTAGAAAGCTCAACCCGCCAGCACCAGCACCGGCAGCACGCCGGTCGCAGCTGCCGTCACCCCCTATTACCGCCCTGGCAGCACCGACGCCGCCGCTGGGCTCCGCTGCCGCCATCCCCGGCCAGTCTGCCGCCGCGCCTGGCACCGCCAACCCTGCGCCGCATAACGCAACGGCGGACACGCCAGTGCAGCTCACCCGCAGCTCCGTCGGGGTCGTGCCGCAGCAGCCACCAACGGCATCGCAGGTACTGGTCGGCAAGGTCCTGCAGGCGAACCGCCACGAGAAGGTGCTGGCTCTGGCATACGTGCCGCCGGCGGCACAGCTCCAAGCCAGCGAGTACGTGAGCATCTGGTGGTCAGTGGGCCAGCGGCTGGAGTACTACTCGGAGGCGATGCAGTCCACGACGACTTTCCCGGAGGCCTGCAACGTGACGGCGCTGGGAGTGGACGACGGCAGCAGCGTGTGGACGGGCCATGCTAAGGGCCAGGTGCGGGTGCGGTACAAGCTGCAATGGGAGCGCACGGTGGAAAGCAAGGCCTTCACGGCGGCGGTCAAGGCCATTGCATTCGATGAGATCGGGCGTGCATGGGTGGGCGACGAGAGCGGACGCATCAAGGTGAGAGCGTTTTGGGGTGCGGGCTGCTGGGGTTTGGCATGTTCGTGGGTGGTGGTGGAGTTGTTCGACTGAAGTATAGGATCCGTGGCTTGGAATGGCCCTGGCGGGTCCGGTACGTGGTTGAGTGTTTGACTAAGGAAAGGGGCCGGGTGGAATGGAAAGCCGTAGCAGAGTGTGTGAGTAGCGGGTTCGCCGTGATGCTTAGGGGCTCAGTTCGGACGCGATAGTGGGCAGGCAGGGGCGGCAGGTGCCCTCCCATTTTTGCCAAAAAATACTATATAGGTTACCTTGCTGAAAGCATACTTTACCAAAGGTTCGCGGTGATGTTCAACCCTGGAGCTGGGAGCTCGGAGGTGCAGGACAACCAGGAGTCTATGTTTTATCCACCCGCTTCATTTGGCCAGTTCTACCTTTAATGGAACGGCACGTCTCCCAAGAGACTTGGGAGGATACATGCAAAGGACATTCGCAGAACCGATACCCGTTTTCTTGGCGGTAACGTAAAACCATTCAGGAGCGCAGCAGGGAAGGCTAGGTCTCACTCGTCCGCTGCGTCTCTGCGTCGCGCCCTCGCTAGGTTATGGCATACGAGCCGGAGGGTGGGCAGCTGGAGACTGTGGCCTCATTGCAGCGCTCCCAAGCGCTGTTGGTGAAGATGAAGGGGGCGCCCGGGAGCCTGTTCGGCAAGCGCTACAACAACAGCAGCTGTAACAGCGGCCAAGCATCAGCAGCAGCGGTCTTTGCCGCCGCCACGGCGGCGGCGGCGGGGACTTCGGGCGCCATCGCTGCAGCAGCGGCGACAACGACGGCCGCAGGCCGCGACAGCAACCTACCACATGCCGCTGTTACCAACTCGGGTGCGACCTGCATCCCCGCAAGTGGCGCCGGCGGTGGTGGCGGTAACGCTACTGGCGGCACCCAACACCACCATTCTCCCCCGGGGACTATGGAGGGGCCGGTGCGCTGCATCTTTGTGCGCGGGGGCCGTGCGTGGGCCAGCGGGGGCCGGTCTTGCCCTTGGCTGCAGCTTTGGGACGCCGAGACGTTGCAGGTGCGTGCCCCGAGCTCACCCTGCCCTCCGGGGCTCCCTTTCTGGAGCGCTGAAGAGGTCCACCTGGGTTGGTTGGCACTGCTTCTGGCCGCTTTCCTTGCTTCCTTCTGGGACCTTGGCAATCTAGTCCAACTGATTTGTGATATATCTTTTGAAAGCATTCCCTTGAACATAACCCCCTCGAGCTAACCCCCGGGTGCCTGAGCATCCCCATCGTCCGCCCCCGATGAATGCACATGTACCCCCGCATACACCGTCCGCCCTCGCGTCCTACGTAGGACCTGGACGTGTTCGAGTGCGGCATCTTTGGCCCCTGCCACGCCATGGCCGCCCTGCGCTGGCCATGCAAGTCCGCCAACGCCAACGCCTCCTCCGCGGGGCCCTCCCTCCACGCCAAGCCCGTTACCCTACACCGACACACGCGCAGCGACGGGCACCACGCGCCGGTGGGCGGCTGCTGGCGGCTCCTCACGGGGCATGACAACGGGCAGGTGCTGCTGTGGCACCCAGAGCACCGCACCCTGGCGCCGCTCCTGCGCATCGGCGACCTGGGCAGCCCCTGTCGTGGCATTGCGGTGTTCGAGGCTTACAACCTGGTGGTGACGGGCCACCAGGGCGGTCAACTGCACCTGTTCAGACAGCCCGCAGCGGAAAGCGGTCTGCCACCGGGCTCAGACTCTGCATCGCCGCAGTCTCTCGGGACACACCGGCCTAAGATGGTGCGGGTTTGCGGGCCGTGGGGTTGGGGGTGTGGGCCGGGAGCTGGTGCCGGGGCCCCTGATGCTGGTGTGCGGGAGAGGGGTGACGGGGTGGAGGGGAAGGAGGCCGGGGGGGGGGGGCTGCGCTGATGGACACTGAGCTGGTGGCGGAGGCAGGGGTGCAGCCGTAGAATCTGTCGTGCTGGCGACAAGCGCACCAGCGCCAGTACCAGTCCCTCCCTGGGGATGGAAACGGAGCGTCTGGGTGAGGGGACGAGCTGGTGATGTGTGTGTGTGTATGTTGCATCCCGTAGGGTCCTCTCTATAGAGCGGCAATGCTTCCCGTGTATCTTGTCACAGCACCCTGCGCCCCACACCGATTCCTCGAACCTCCGCAGGTGGTGGTGTCGGCCCATAAAAGTCGACTTGATCGTATGGTCTGGGGCGCCACCAGCTGCGTCACTGCGTCCATCCTGGGTACCATTCGGCTGTGGCACGCAGCCGACCTGGCGGCAGAGGCACAGCGGTCAGGTCTGGTGTTCACGCACACGCCCTCATACAACTCGCTGCAAATAGGTACGGCTGGTGGGAGGGGAGGGGAGGGGAGGGGAGGGGAGGGGAGGGGAGGGGAGGGGAGGGGAGGGGCCGATGTGCGCCCAAGGTGGGTGGGTGGATCAGCAGAGCAACCGGGTGCGATGGTGGACATACATTTGCGGGGTATGACCTTCGGAATTTGCGATTACCCATGTTTGGGTGTGTGGCGAGCTAATATGAAGCTGAACCTCAGCGGCTTGCGTGCGTATGGGGTGGGTATGGGGTATGGACATGAGCCCCCGCGCTCCTTGACCCAGCCCTCCTGGTCAGCCTCCTACTTGCGCCCGCTTGCCCATTTGGCATCCCGAGTCTCACGGCTTTATCACCCCTGTCCCTGTCCCTGTCCCTGTCCCTCCAACCGGCCCTCTCCTGTGGAACCCGCTCCTGCCGCCACTGTAGCCGATGCGTCACAGAGCGGCGCATGCCACTACAACTCCGCATCCAGCTCCATGGTGCATCAACGCGACTCCGCCAAGTCCCTTGCGGCGAGTACCGACATTCCGCTACACGCCAGCGGCCAGATGGCCAGTCCGCAGGTGTTGGCCGGCCCCAGCGCCGGCGGCAGCCTCAACAGCTTAGGTGCTGCCAGCATGAGCACGGCCCAGTCGGGGGCAATGCAGCAGGTTTCGTCTGCTGGCGGGCCGGCGAATCAACACCGGCGACAGAGCTCCAAGGATAGCATCGATGCCGCTGGCAACATTCAGCCGGGGGTGGTGGACCCTCTGGCCGGCGCCTCCTTTCCGCATTTCCAGACCATAGACTATGCTGAGCTGCAGGTGCAGCGGAAAATCGGTTCAGGGGCGTATGGCGAGGTGCTGCTGGCGGAGTGGTTGGGGTCCAATGTGAGTTGTCGATGTACAAACGGTATCTCTCTCGCGTGGCGTCGGTATGGCCACGGTAGCCGTAGCGGTCACCCGCGGGCGTGTATGGGTAAATTGCTTATATCAGAAAGGTTATATAAAGGTATTTCCCCTTAACGAGGCCAGGCAGGCCAGGAAAAGCCGCTATGTTTTTCTCCACGTTGCGGCTTCTTCGTTACCGACTGCTACCGGCTACTGCTGTGAAGCCGCGCGCTCGTTGAGTCCTGTTACCCGTGCCATCCGTGGCTAAGTGTCCCGGGGCCGCATGCGAGGCGGTTTTTACCGCATCCAAACTTCCCCCTGCTCTGTACATTTGAGGTGGCAATCCGCGGTGCGGTGCGCAGGTAGCGGTTAAGAAGCTGTTCGCGGTGCAGAACATGGACGACAAGGAGTACCAATCGCTGATGCACGAGGTGACGCTGCTGGGCAGTCTTAGCCACCCCAACATCATGCGCTTCCTGGCGGTGAGAAGGAGCGGCGGGAAGGCACCACGGCACGTGGGGCGCCCTGGGGGAGCAGGGGAAACAGGCAGCCACTCATGGAAGAGGGACGCGGCTTTCTGATGGGGGGAGAGGGGGAAAGGGCTGGATAAGGAAAGCCCACTTGTTAGCCTTGATACATCTCGTCACGGCTTCTACCTGTGTTATCATTTGCGCTGGCCCTTGCCTTCAAAGCGGCATGAGATGCGGCATGAGATGCGGCATGAGATCATGAGATCACGCGTATGCGTCCGTTTCTCCTCGCGGCGCAGTTGCTTTAGAAAAGGCTCATGGCCCCCGCATGTTGCCGCTCCGTTCTTACATCCTCCTCTGCTTGGGACTTCGGAAATTGGTATTTCTTGACTTGTGAAAATTTTCCATTTTTTCCACAATGCACATTATCCTAACCCTCCGTCGTCCATTTGTTTAGATCTGGAGTTCCACTTCCTTTGTTCACGTGTGCGTCCTCTTTTATCGCGCGGTTCTCGCAGATGTGCTTGGACCCGCCGTGCATCGTGATGCAGTACTACCCTCACGGCAGCCTCTTTGACCTGCTGCACAAGGCCCACAAGGGCAACCCCAAGGCAGCCAAGGAACTCACCTGGAGCAAGCGGCTGGACATGCTGCGGGATGTGGCATCGGGTATGCAGTATCTGCACAGCCGCAAGCCGCCCGTCATACACGGCGACCTGAGGTGAGGAGGCCGTGTGTCAAAAAATCGGCCGCGCGGGCTGTGGGATTGGTGTGTGGGCCCCGCCAGCTGCAGTACTTCGTGCCGCATGTTAAGCCGGCAACACATGCAAGCAGCAGTGCAGAAGCTGAACCCACGGGAAAGTTGAAGCAGAGATAACATGCGGCACGATGCATGCTGTGTGCTTACTGTATGCCTCTCGCGCGTCCACCGCCGTCCCGGCGCAGGTCGCCCAACCTGCTGCTGGACCTCACCATCGACCGGGAGCGACCTCGTTTCCATGTCAAGATTGCGGACTTTGGTCTGGCCCGGCTGGCCACTGGCGCCACGGGCAGTGTGATGGTGTCCAAGATGACCAATCCGCGGTGGCTGGCGCCGGAGGTGCGGGGGGGGGGAATGGGCCGCCGGGGCCGGGGTGTTGCCGGCTGGCAAAAGGGTGGCCAAAGGAGGCCATACGGAAGGGGAATGTGAAGGAATATCTGCTTAGGGAAGGCCTCCGGAGTGATGCGGGCTCGGTCCTTTGGCCTGTAACTCTTAGGAGGCGAGCTCACTGTCTGTTTTGCATGCGTGTTATGGTTGTGGTTGGTCCCTGAGACCAGGGCCCAGTACGTCTGCGTCACATGTACGTGGCTGACCTACCTGTGCGGTGCCCTCTGGTCTACGTCCCCTAGGGTTGTCCCCTTCGGTTCCCCTTTAGGGGATGAAGAAGGGGAACCTTTGGTTCAAGGGGATGACGAAAACCCTAGGGGATGAAGGGTGCAACACAACGTAGTGACAGATCAGAGCGCAGTGCCGCATGTGCAGGCTTGTCACCGCTGCTGTTGCTGCTGTTATTTCGGGTTGGCAGGAGGCCACACATGCAAGGTCCCTGTCCCGGCTCTTTGCTGTTTGGAAGAGCCACAGCACCTGACCGGGGTTCCTCCGGCTGACTGAACATATCTCCTTACGCGCCTCTGCCGTTTCATCGATGCGCAGGTGATTCGGAACAGCTCCGTTGGCAAGGCGGCAGACGGTGAGTACGGCAGTGACGTGTCTTGATGCCGTTGGTTTCGTTGGCGGATTTTTGTTGCTGGTGGTGGTGATAAGTGGCGGGACCGCTTGGGTAGCTTGGCTCCAGCTTTCGTTCCTGGCGAGCGGGATTTTCAAGGACCTCCTCGCTCACTTAGACTAATGAGCCGTTGAGCTCCGGCGGCCCTGCAACCCGCCATCCCCCGTTAACCTCTGCACCGCCTCAACACCCGTTATGACCTCCGGGTGGTTGGCCATCAGTCCAGGCGTCTTAGGAGATTTTCATTAGCTTGCAGCATTTCATGCAAAGAGCTACAATTTGTCTCTTCGCTTCTGCCGCACATTCATATGCATATGCACCATGCTAATGCGATCACTCTCCCCCACCTCTTTCTCGTCTCTGACCGCATCCCTTACGCCCCCACCCGCGTCCTTCATACTCCAAACGCAAAACCCCGCCTCGCTGACTGGCGCGCAGTGTACAGCTTCTCCATCATCATGTGGGAGATGCTGACGTGGCGGCAGCCATACCAGGACATGATGAGCGTGCAGGTGATGTTCTCAACCGTCACAGAGAACTCCAGGCCTGAGGTGCCGCCCGACGCGGAGCTGCCGGGTGGGCCGGGTGCGTCGCTGTCGCTGTACAGGCAGCTTATGGAGAGCTGCTGGCAGGCAGACGCAACGCAGCGCCCCTCCTTTAAGGAAATCGTTGAGGTGTTCCAGGTGCGGGGTTGTGGCATGTGCCATGTGACACAATTGGGCCTTTGCCGAGGACGCAGGTGTTTGTGGGTTACTTCATGGGGTGGTGACGAGCGGGTTCGTTTACCTGGGGCGCGAGCTGCTGGTGTGCGTATTTGAACCTGCGCTAACCTGCGGTCTTGTATTGGCTTTTTGCGCCCACCCACTCCGAACAGAACATGCAACGGGTCGAGGCAGAGAGTGCCCGCCAGCAGCGCCAACAGCAACCGCCTCAGGCAATGAGCGTGCCCCACACACCGACACCCCCCCAGCAACAGAAGCAGCAGTTGCAGCAGGGCGCGCGGTACGCTGGCGAAGTCGGCGGAAACAACACCTTATCGCCTCCGGCAGTGGTTGCCGCGGAATTTGCCGGTGGATCGATCAGCGCCCCCGCCAGCGGCGGTACCGAAAGCAGCACTGTGACGCCGCCAGCAGCAGCCGCAGTGGCGGCGGCGGCCCGCCGTGCTGCCTCTGCCGGCGTCGCATCTCCCTTCATGTGTCCGCCAGCGGCAGGTGAGCTTCCAGCGGACCCTGCCGGCGGTGCGGCAACACCGGAATCCAGAAATGCAACCCACGGGAATCAGCAGTACGGCAGCGTGTTGCCCATGTACGGCATGAGCCCGATCTTGGAAGAGACTGCGTCCTCGGTGGCGTCAGGATCGCAGGTAATTGCAGAAAGGCTCACGCAGACGCCTTCGGGTCTGGACGCTGGCGCCTCACCTGCACAAGCCCCCGGCGCGGTACGCGGCCTGGCCCATGCCACCACCTCCCAGCCGTCTGCACAGTCGCATCTGCACCATCACCGTGGCTCCCTCCAGCAACCGCACGTCCACTTTGCACCCATTGGCCCCTTCTCGGAAATGGTCGCGGTCGGTGCTCCGACGTCAGCGCACGGCTCGGCTTCCTGCCCCGCGTCTCCGGATCCACGAGGGGGAGGTGGCGGCGGAGGCGTAGGCGGCGGCGCCAGTTCCATAGGACCCAGCTCTGTGCGAAGCGCAAATCGCAACCCATCGTTCTCGGCTTCTTCAACCGAGAGCGGTTTCGTACACGCCGTCAGCGCCGGCAGCAACATCGCGGGTGCGCCCAGCACTGCCACCTCATCACGTCAGTCATCCACCTCCACTTCTGGCCGCATGCTCGGGGCAGCTGCGGCGGCGGCGGCGGTGACGGCAGCGACAGCGGCTGCTGTCGCCTGCCGCAAGGAGGGTCAGGCACCGGCAGCTGCGGCAGCAACGCCTGGGCGATCAGGGTTCCCGGCATTATGCTCACCAAGGCATGATGGTAGCGGTCCGAACGCGACGGCATCCACTGTTCCTGGAGAAGCCCTACCGCAGCAGGGTCAAGACACTGGTGGCGAAGGGATGCAGCCCAACATGTGGGCGACGTACTCCACGCCCATGGTTATCGCCCCCAGCATCACCTGTCTCAGCCCGTTCGCCTCCTTGCCGGCCGCGCAGCTGACAGAGCTTGACGCGGCCGCACCCCAGCTCTCCGCCGCCGTGGCGGAGCACCTGCTTGGCGTCGCTGCTACTGCCGCGGCCGCCGCGGCAGTAGCTCCGGCAACGGCCCATGCTCGCGCCGCTGCGCCGTCATCGCCCAGGACCAATGGCACGCCTCGTTGCGGAGGCGGCGGGACGACACCACATGCGAGCAGCCGCGGCGCTGCTGGAGGCGTTATGGGACGGTCCGGGCGCCCGGCATCGCCGGCCAGTACGACACCGTCCAGCGCGCGAGCAAGGCGGAAGTCAGGCACGCCCCTTTACCATGGCCCGCCCGTCCGGACTGGAGGCGGCGGCAGTGGTACACCGTCGGGAACACCACGGAGCGCCGCTGGCGGCTGTAACTCTCAGCCAGGAACTCCACCGCACCGCGGCCTGGCGGGGGCGCTTGCTGGGAGTCGCGGCAGTGTCGGCCATGGCAGCCGGCGGAGTTCCACTGCCGGCATGGTTGCAGCACCCGGCACTTTTGGAACCCCGGGGCGGAGCCCTAGCCGTGACGGCCCGCTCAGCAGCAGCAGCAGCGGCGGCCGCCGCCTCGGCAGCGGCAGCGTCAGCGCCAGCCCCGCGGCCAGTGGCGACGCCGTGCCACGGGTCGTGTCGGTTTATGCACACGTGCCAGAAACGGCGGGGCGGCAGTCACATTCCGATGCACACGCGCACGTTGACACTCACGGCGACAACGTGCTCGCCGGACACTCAGACCGCTCCGGACACCGCCGCACGCCTTCCGGTGGCAGCGTCGGCAGCCACGCGGCCGCCGCCACGGCTGTAGCCGGCCGCACCAGGGACGCTGGACCGCTGGAGCACGAGGCAGCCTCTGCGACGCAGCAGTTGCGTACACACGCCACTTCCGGGGCCCGCGGCGGGGGCCTCCTTGCATCCCCGCAAGTGTCTGCATTCAAGCCCACGGCGGAGTCGCGTGTTGTGCCCACTGCCAGGCGGAACCTTGCCGGGTCCCATGGCGCTGATGGCAGTGCCAGTGCACCATTCGAGACGGTCGGCAGTCCCTTTACGGCATCAGCCGGCCACTATAGTCGTTTGGGCATGGCCGCAAGGCCGCCGGGCTCCCCGAGGTCTTACATTCCCGGCGGTCCTGGGTCCTCCTCCGCTCACTCCTCGAGCATCGTAGCCGGGGGCGGCGGTGCGTCGCGGATCCCGTCCTTGCTGCACGCCATGACTCATGGATCAGAGCAGCCCATGCCTGCCAAGAGCTCCACCTCCCGTTCGCTAGACGACAGCAACCTGCGCCACCTCAGCGTGTGCCAGCCGGCTATGCACTCCCCTCTTCGGGTTTCCTTTGCGGCCGTCGGCGCTGCCGGCGCCGTCTCCCACAGCAGTGGCGACGCCAGCGGAGGCGACGCCTTTGCCGCCGCGTCGGCCTGGGAGGAAGGCCTGGACGGCACGCACCACAGCCCGGATGTCACACAAGAGGGGGCGCTGCTCTTCAGCGAAGGTAGCGTCCTGGCCACAAACCCGGCAGCAAAGCAACAACAGGCCGCGGAGGAAGCCGACGGCTTGTCGTGTACGTCATTGCGGTACGCAGGAGAGACGGCAGAGCCCGTGGCAGCTGAGGCTTGGCCGCTGCATGCGGCAAAGGCGTGCCGCGGCAGTAGCCCGTTCGCGGCCGCGGCGTTTGGGGTCCCGTATGCCCCCGGGGACGGGAAGACCGGGGCCGAAACGGAGGTTGAGACGGATGGGGAGCCTCAGTCTCAGGCTGCCGTCGACGCGGGCCCCCTTCAGTGTGAGGCAATGAACGGCAATAGCGCATCGGAAACCAGGACTGGGTCCGGTGTTGCGGCGGTGGTCACGTCGCCCAGGATGCCGATGCAGAGCGCCTCGCCGAATGCCTCCGGTTCGTCGCCCTCTGGTGCTGCTGCGCCGGCGTCGGAGCCGGTCGCATCGAACGTGGCGCGCATTCAGCCCACCGCACCGCAGAGCCCCTTCGCCAAGCTTGCATACGAACAGGACGGCTGGTGGGATGACCAGCAGCATGACGACTGACAGCGGGTCATCGAATTGTAGGTATCGTGGCCCTGCCGGTCTGCCGACGACGGGCGTCAAGCCGTCAAACTCCCAGCCTCCTTGGTTTTGGTTGTTTTGCCTCGAAGAGGACAAGGTGTCGAAGTCGCTGCAGGGGAGGGGGAGGGCATCCCGAACCCGTCGGCTGTCACCTCGTCGGCGCGTACCTCCCTTCCAAACAGGCGTGTGCATCGTTCGTAATTCCTTATGAAGAGTGAATGCGGCGGAGAAATAGGGATCGTGATGGAAATCACATCCTGGAGCTGCGGCGTCATTACGCGCCGGATCCAACTCGCGAGTCCCCTTGGGTGTTTCTGGCGAGCTCTGGATGGTGCGTCTGTGCATGGGCTCAACAGCTGGACGTGCCTGGCAGTTGAGCCACGCTTCCGGACTGGGCAATGCACTGGTAATGCGGATAGTGAATATTCATGGCTTCTGTCCAAGCATTGTGAAGAAGACTCTTTTCTATAGGCGAAGACGGCTGGTGCGGCTGACTGTTGGGAGGCGTACTCTGCTTGCGGCTCTTCATTCGTGGCGATCAACTCCAGCGGGGCGTGGGGAGATTTTGCAGTGACACCCATCGGGCTGACGAAATGCTCAAATGTTCAGATGAAATGGTATTTTCGTCATGATGGTGATCGTCCCGCTACACGCATCCATTCGTTGATGCGCATGCGCTTCCGTGTTCGTGCAGTGATATGCGCGGTACGCACCTGCCGCCATGGGCAGGCCCTGGGCGGGGAATGTTCGCCGCGAGTACGTGATGGCGCCCCGGGTGATGGAGGTGGGGTATATGCATGTATGCACACATATATGTGTATGTATGCAAGCATGCATGTGCTTCTCAGTAGCCCAGCATTTTTTTGTCGACAGTGCTGTATCTCGCCATCGCCGCTGTTGCCGCCGTTTCTCCCCACCTGGGCGCCTTTTCGCTGGCAGAACGATATCTGGCACTGGTCCCAAGTTCTTGTTCTATGAGATACAGGGTGAACTTGTCGCGATACTTTGAGGTTATTACCGGACTTTGGGGTTGTAAACGCTTGAGTGCGCGCGCTACGAGAAGAATTGGATAGGGCTTTGGCACACGCAGCCCGTACGGTGCCGCGGGCTGGAGCAGGCCGACGTGGCTGAAGGCGGCGGACCGCTTGCCTCCTGAGTCCCTTGGGGTATTGAGTGAGACAGTGTGCGGATGGGAGGGATCGCCGCCGTTATAGCCATTCCCACCAGGGCTTGAGAAGGGCGAAGGAGAAGCCGGGCGTCGAGACAGACGAGAAGTGAGGCGCTAAATATGGCAGGTTCGAGTGCCGCATGGGCGTGCATCGGCTGCCCGTTCCAGGATATAGCAAAAACATGTAGCCTGAGCTCAGGTCTTAGGTTAGGTAGGGTAGGATAGGATAGGATAGAGTAGGGTGCTGCATTGGCCGGCAGGACGGCCACCTGCCCGCATTTGGCACCAAACGCACAGCCCTTGGGCCATGCCGCAGGCGAAGGTGAGACGTCCGCCCGCGTACCGTACAGCAGCTGCGTGTGCACGCACGCACTCATGCTCGCTAAAGCCGGCCGGTTGTGTGTGGCTAACGCGTGTTGGTATGGTGGAGGAGCTGGAAGCCACGTGAACTGATAGGTCGATAGACGTGCGGTTCTGTGCCTAACTGTGCCTAAGGTTTGATGTGGCGTATATGATGTGTGTGCATTGACGAGTGGGATATTCCTATCCAAAGCTGCGTGTGGTGATAGTGAGGTGAAGATGTGGTTTTAATAACTGCGCATGAGAACGTGGCTCCTTACGGAAACTGAGGTAAGGCGGGGGGTTATACAGAGGGACCTGCAGGCGGCCACCAGGGAGCACAGAATGCGACCTTGAGCCTGCTTTGATGATGGTTTTACGCTGACTTGACGGTTGGACTGCGTGCGTCCGGTTTGGTGATTTCGATGACGGGGTATGTCATCGAAGCTAACGTGAGCGTTTTGCTTTCTGAGTGGGGCCCAGATCAGCTATGTGCAATAGTGTACCGAGTCGTAACTATGGGTTTACAAACCCCTCTACGTCAGGACCCTCAAGGGGGACGAACGCAGGGCATACAGTTTAGGCTATTTCTGTTTGTAGGCAGATACTGCAGATAGCAGCTGCCCGGGGCGCGTGGTTGGCCATTGTCGAAGTGTCAACGAAGGGGGCGGTGAGCTTTTGGCCGGCTTGGCAATGTTTGTACACTCGGTATTTTTATTATCGCTGTGCAGTGGTGGCCCCGTGCAGCTCTTTGATGATGCTTAGGTAAGGGGCCGCAGATTGGACTGCAACTCCTCGTCATACATCGTACGTGCAGGTTTGTTGCTGGTACTTTGCAAAGGATTCCTTCACATGTAAATGCTGGACATGGGGGTGATTGACTATACTTCTACGTGTGTAGTTGTGAGACTAAAGGAGGTCTCACATGCAGGTTGGGAGGTCAAGAGGAAGGAAAGACCTGGTGAAATTGCGGACTCGCACAAACATTTCATATGCATGCAGGAGAAGACCAACGTCACGAAAGGAGAAGAGAGGAATATGGCATGCTATGATGCTTAGCTACGCACCTGGGAGCCCGGAAGCCGGAACCCGGATCAACTATGTCATTCAGTTTATTTCGTTGAAGGTGCCGTGACAGTTCTTAATTCCAACCCAGCTCGTTATCCAATACTTGTTTTGCTACCAGAGTAATATGCAGGCTCGTCGTATTCAACGCGCTGTGCATAGCACCGCGTTTCGCACTGTCCATCCGCGTCTCTGCGCGCATGCCCATAGATGTTACTTCGGCCAGCCAGTGCGGAAGGTGCACATAAATGCAACTGCATCACCGGCTGCTTATGGGGAGCAGGCGGTCAAGCCCGAGCTGGATGTCCCCGGCATGACGAGTTTCCTGGACAGCCTAAAATGGGATAAGAACAGCCTCGTCGCAGTTATTGTTCAGGTATAATCCTAATGACCATCATACATATTGGCAACCTTACACCATGTACATCCGCCGCCACGCCTCGCAGCACATTGACACAGGCGAGGTGCTGATGCAAGCCTTCGCAGATAGGGCGGCCATAAATGAAACTATTCAGACTGGGTAAGCAGATTTTGAAGCATGTATGACATTCCGGTCACCTTGGGTTTTTGACGTACGGCTTCTCTCCTCTCTAGAGCAACGCCTTTCTCTTAGGCTGAGTCATGCATCTCGCTACTGCCTTGCTGTTCCTCCTTTGACATTTTCCACCTGTTTTCAACCTCATTCCCGCGCAGCCTAGCCACGTTCTACAGCCGCTCCAGGGGTGGCCGATGGTGCAAGGGCGAAACTAGCGGCCACTTCATTAATGTTCACAAAATATATACGGACTGCGACCGCGACTCCATTATCTACCTGTCGGATCCCATAGGGCCCGCCTGCCATACGGGCGCCAGGTGCGTTTGCCGCTCTGACTATCTTCTCATCTTAGACAACACGAGCGGCAGGTGCCCTTTACGGCGCCCTCTCCACCGCTCCGCCATCCCACTATCCTCCTCCCCACGTGCTATTGCCTTCCTCCCTGCCCCTAGGACCTGCTGGTTCAAGGAAGTCCAGCTTGTGGCTGCTCCGCAAGCAGCGTCGACCGCCGCCACCACCAGCAGCGGCTCCCTGGTTGCCCACCAGGGGAATCACGACCAGGGGGATCACGTGCCCCGTACGACATTGCTGGCTCTGGAGCAAACCATAGCTCAGCGCAGAGAAGCGTTGTCTCGGCCATTAGGTACGTGGGTGTTGGGTAGAGGGCATATGCGGGGGTTTAGGCGATGGGGTTTGCGGATAGCGGGGAGCCGTGGGAGAATTCAGAGGTTGGGGTGGGGCGGGAACTTAGTCTCCCGTGCCGTCCCCGAATTCAAGAAAAACACCTGCACGGCGCTACGGCGTCGACCCTGAATCCGGTCCCAGGTGCCGTACCCAAGCTGCCACCTGGTTGTGCCGCTGTCTTCGTTGCGTGCCTGCTGCGGCCTGTTGCGCCCCACCTGAGAGCCCTCCTCTCCCCCCCTGCCCGCCCGCGTGCCCTTTTTGGCAGCGACTCTCTTTCCCCACGTTCCCCCCACCCCACCCCGAACCCCAGACGGCAGCAAGCCTTCCTGGACCACCCGGCTGCTGAGCAACCCGGAGCTGCTGTGCAAGAAGGTGCGTGTGGGGAACGACGGCAAGTGACGTTTGTGTGTGATTTGTCATTGGGGTGCATTTGGGTCGAGTGCTGTCACCTGTTGTCGGTCCACACAGAGGAGTACTGGGGGGGGCCAATTGATTTGGGTTCGGATTGGGCGGGTATCAGATTCAAGGTTTGGAGACAGGCTGACTAACAAGCCAGCAAACCTGCCTGCGGTGTCTTGGGAAGATCTTCTTCCGGGGAGGTTGGGGGGGTGCATGTTGCGCCTCCTTCAACCGAGCCCGGCATGCGACTGAGGGGAATCCCCTACCGCCTTTGTGGATTTGGGCAGTGTATTTTGCATATCGATCACCATCCCTTTCTTTGACGTAGCATTCATAGTAATCGACTGGCTTGGCATTTTTTTTTGAGTTCCACTCTACATTCCGCTTCAGTCCAGTCCACTTCACGTCACGTGCTGGTGTTGGCGGGTTGACAATGAGATGAAGCCGTGTATGTATTGGGGGGGGGATTGCGGTTACCCCGGGGGTGTTGCAGATCCGCGAGGAGGCTGGTGAGTTGTGTCAGACGTTGGAGGCCGACGAAGGGCGGGAGAGGGCAGCCAATGAGATGGCTGACCTGCTGTACCACTCCATGGTGCTGCTGAACCTGCAGGTGGGTGGGTGGGGTGGGGGGTTTGGCCCTCATCGTGTTCCGTGCAGCTGGCTAGGGGCGTTGTGGGAGAGGGGAGGGGAGAGAGGCCAAGGGGGTTGGATACCCTCTTCTCTTTAGGTAAACTTTCGCTCCTATTCACACACCTGTCTACGCACTTAACCCCCCAACCCTATTAATTTCGGAGTATCCGTCTTTGGCATTTCCTTTTCGTCAATCGTCTCTGTGCTCGTCGATACCCCACCCCTATCTTGTTTTCCAGGCCAGACTCACTCTCGTTCTCTCATTTCCCCCTCCCTCCCTCCCGTCCCCTTCTGGTGTATCTCCCGGTAGGGTGTACCGATGGAGGAGGTGCTCCGGGTGCTGCGGAAGCGCTTCACACAATCGGGCATTGAGGAGAAGGCGTCCAGGGCCCCCAAGTCCCAATAAGTGCATATGAGCGAGCGAACGAGCGAGTGGAGGCAGCGGCACGGGGTGGGACCAGACGTCCTCCACTGGACAGCTGATACAGTCGGGTAACGTCCTGACCGTCCTCAATGAGTTCCCCTCCGGCCGAGCCATGATGCCGAGCCCTAAATTGTCTGTGGGGCTGGTGATCCGAGTGATTTGCTGGATTGGTCACGTTCGGTTGGGAACGACTGTTTTGCTTTCAGGCAGCGCATCCGGAAACTTTTTATGGGTCTGTCTCCTTTGGCTTTGGTTGGCTTCGGGATGATCACTAATTAGCAGGTAGGGGGCTTGCAGGACCCAAAATGGAGGCGAAACGAGGTAGCGTCCAATGGAAGAGAGTCTGATGGTTGGTGTTTTGTGAACGGTTGCTGCTGGGGTTTGAGGTGTTTAGGGTTTACGACGCGAGGCTAGAAGCACAATCTATGAAGGAAAGAGCTGGCTGAAGGATCGAGGGATGGATACCTGGGACCGTCAAGCGATTCTCCTTTCGCACGTGTCTGTGTTTAGTTCACCTTGGCGGAGTCAGGTGCTCGCTCTCGCGGACAGCGCAGGACAGGCCCACAGAACGTCCCAAGGGCCCCCGCACCCAAGCCCGGTCCGTGCGGCACTAAAAGAACAGGCGGTATTTGTGCTGTCCCGCACTCTCATGCGCCTTGCCGGAGGTCTCCACGCAAGTCTTACGTGGGCGCCGCCACAGCCATTCACATTGGACGCATTCGCCAGTCCGTCACGGCATATGGCATGGCAAGGGATTGTGCCCGGCCACAACTAAACACGCCACACGGAGAAAAAACGCGTCATGGTGGTAAAATTAGTTTATGTCAGTCGAGTTTAGCAGCGCCGTGCCAACCCAGCAAGGGTTTTAGGCTGTGACAGCGAAACAGCGACAACAATGAGAGTCGCGCTAGAAGGAACGGTTTAATTAAATATATGAACCGGGATTCGAGTAAAAAGTCCCGCCTTTCATCAAGTTCATTCCATTCACTTTGGCAAAAGAATACAACCATGATCCGCACTGATATCTCCGCTTCCTGTGACCCCCGGTACAGTTTTCCACTTACTTGCGCCCGTACTGCCCCAGTATCCTATCGAACATATATCTGAAAGAAGCGGCTCAAGTGAGCTGTGGTCCCGCTTGGTGCTACCTCTCCTCTCGTGGGGCCCTTTTCCTTCGCTCCCCTCTTCACCTCTCTTCTCCTCGAGGCCCTTTCAACGTACCCTGCTCCCTCATCTTCACCAAAACTGCTCATCATCACGCAATCCTTCTTTTAACCTGGATATGGTTCAGACTCCTCCTCTGCCCTCCTCCATCCTCATCCGTATCTCAGGACGCCTCCCCTACCACCTCCTCCTCCTCGTCGTTGTATTTCAAAAGCCGCCACGGAAGCCAACAAGGGCTGCCAAGGACTGGGGGCCCGGCAGGGGTTGGACGTGGAAGCCACCCTTTCCCTAATTCCAGGTCCTGAGACCCTTGCCCATCATTTGCCCCAGGCCCAACTCATCCACATCTCCAAGCGCACCCATGTACCTACGCTTACAGAAGCGCAGAGCCTTTGGAGACCTCCAGGGCAAGAAGGGCTGCGAGCGCCAGCATGGCCAGTCGCCCGTTCACCAGTTCAGCTTGGGGAGTCAGCGGCCCGAAGGCCTCCTTAAGATTGGCGCCACGCACGATGGGCGCCAATGTAGCGCCAGACAGCGCCAGCACCAGGGCCAGCACAGGCAGCGGCGTACCCGCAAATTGGGCCAGGACGCTCTTGCCCGTGGTAACCTCAGCACCCACGGCACCCACCACGCCCAACATAGCAAGCCTGGTGGTGGCATTTGGTACAGGGGCACATTGATGGTTGGCAGAATGCTTCCAACAAGTTTGGTTCTTACAGAGTCTGTTTCGGATGGGACCCAAGGGCTGGAGAGGGGGAAGTGCAGGAAGGGTTTGTAGGGCGAAAATGGGTCGGGATGGCCGGCGCGTAGGAGGGCGAGTTGGGAAAGGCGTGGTAAGGACCGCTGGTGCAGCGCGCTGGGAAGGCGTACCTGGCGTTGATCAGCTCTGGAGCTGGGCCCATAAACGTCATAGCTTCTGTAGTTAGAGAAAGGCCATGAGCATAGATCATTAGCGCGTTGGGACATCACGGGCCGCCAATCAACCTACTAGAAAAATGGGGCTAGGAAGCTACAATCCTTAAATCTTACGTTTTACAGTCATCGGCTTCAGTTCTGCTCCAGATGGCAGGACGATCGGGTTGCTCAACCGCTGGGAAACCCCCTCAGCACACACAATCGAAGACCGTAAACGGCGTGACCCACGCGCCGCAATCCCAACCCTGGAAGCCGACTTCGTAAGGGTGCAAAGGGTCATTTTGTATGCGTCTGATATGAGAAGATGTTTTGGATTTCAAATGCTTGTAGAAGCAGAAAGGTTTGCAATTATAGGAAAATGAAATGGTTAGCGAAAAAATATTGTCAAATGGTGTAGTCCCAATGCTTGACTCAAGAACTAAACCTGCTGTACGGTAGCATCCTGTTTGTGGCCGATGAAAGCCTCCGAAGGTCGCAGCAACAAGGCGGAGGAGAGTAAGCACGTCAAGTTGAATAACATACGCACTAACAACCATTAAAATCTAAAGATTACATGTGGTACTTACCAAGTTCCCATCTGGATTGAGGTTCACACAAACCTCTCGCGGTTGACCGTTGTCGTCAAGAAATGCAAGCCAATGCGAGCAATATCGGGCGAACTCACCAGCTCGCGGAGGGGATTGCAGCAAGATAACATTATTGCGGGACGCAAAGTTCAATCCCTTAATTCAATGAGGGAACAATGCCATAGCCCATGGACCAACCGCTGTTGACATCACACCAGAGCACGCAAGGCGACAGAACAATTTGCTTTGCGGGATCGATGCAGGGAACAGACGCAGGTCATCCCGCACGAATGAGCAGGAAGGAGGTTTGTGCTCGTCCAAGTACCGCCGCCAAACGGACCGTGCCTACCGCGCTCTACCCAGGACGCTTCTCCAGGCCGCCGGTTCTGTGACTACACCATCAAAAATACCGCGGCGGCAAGGCGCGCCTCTGGAACCTCTACAGTCTATTAAGTAGGCTGTACTCTTCACTTCAAGCTTGCTCCAACGCAGTTCCATCTCCACGGCCAACCTAGCACCTTCTTGTCCCTTTCGGTCCGTTCCCGAGGTCAACGGCCGAATCATACGTGCACACGCAGGGGGATCGGACAGGAGTTATTGAAGTACGGTAAGTCGTACATGCCCCTCCTGGAATCCATTTGCCCTATGCCGAAATTCATGCTGTGCCATATGGTACCTGCTCTTGTCCCTTCTGTGCCCCTCCTGCCCTGCCCGCCTCCCGATAATCGGATTCCGCTTTGTTCCCGTCAGTCATGGGAGATCTTTCCAAGCCCGCGCTGCGTTTCGTATGGTACCACACAGTTGTTACAGCTTGCGCAGCAGCTGGACAATTAAGTTCCATGGTATAAGCAAATCGTGCTGGGAGGCCATGATGGGCCTCTCTAATGGCGGGGATGGCCCGGTGGCCGGGTGGGTGCAGCAAGCGAAGGCGGGACGGACGAGGAACCCCACGGAGACGACTCTGCACGAAGGGACGTCGAGTCCGTGTTCAAAAATGGAAGAAGTGGTTATCCGAACCGTTATCGTTGCGCGACGCTTGGCGGAAATGTTCGTTGGGCCGTTTGGCAACATCATATTCCGGCCGTTCTCCCCTTTTCCGGCTGTTCAGCAGTACCATTGCGCGTCGAAAAGCAACTGATGGAGCTACCGTAATCATCATCGCATGCTCTTGTGACCAAACTTAAGGATTACTTAGCTGTAACCTATTCCTTGTCTAAGCCGTTGTCCCTTGTCCTATCCGCCCTTCTCGTTTCGCTAACAAGACGAGATTCCGTCTCCGTTGGCGGTCTTCGCAACCAGATTGACTGACTTAGGCAATACATAGGCGCACTACTACGCCCTTAGGGGTGCAGGCATCGGCGAGGAGCTGCCCGTGTCTGCTGCGCGCAAGCAAGGGGCAGTAATATGTTTGGACGAGAAGGATTGTCAGTTGCCAGCCCAGGACGGTGGACTCGTTGCCGGTTGTTTTTACCGGGCACAGTTGTCTGTCGTGCATGGTTAGGGGTCAGGTTGGTCAGGGACTAAGGGCATGGTCGTGGAAATGCGCAAGGCTAGGGGTCGCTGGGGGAAAGCAGAACGCGAAAGGGCCCAGATGCACTCTTCTTTAGGTCAAGGGGAATACCAGGATTACTTTATTGACAAAAGGCATAAACTATTTAGGGCAGCGATGGCCGCATTTCCTGCTAAGCCTTGTTCCTGCTAATGTGGGGACGCTGCTAGAAGGGTACCTGCAAACAGAGAGTCCCTTTGTGGGGGGGTTCAGTGGGGCCGCCGAGTTATGGCGTCCATCCACTGTGAAACGTGCGCCAAGGACCGAAGGGGGTTTGGTACTGCGTGGCACGGCGCTATCAGATTTGAAAAGGGGAGACCAAGAAGGAGCCTTTACCCTGTGAGGCGAGGTTCCGAAGCAAAATATGCCTCACAGTACGTCTCAAGATATGGTTTTCTGGAAGCCTAGTTACAACGCCTACGCTCTTTGCGTATTTGGCGGGCATGTTTACAGACGTGCTTTACGCTTTACGTTGTAAACGCTGCTAATCGCTGATTTACTCAAGCGCCAAAATTGCAGCAGTATTGCTCAGTGCTTCCGTATTATCCGCAACTGCGTCGTTAGCTTCTCCTCATTAGACGGACCGCGGCAGGAATGACCAAACTTTGCGGCTCCCATATGGATTCCGTATCATCATGACGTGCATTCACCCTGGCATGTACCTTTCGCGCATACTCAACTGATCCTTGCGCGCGCAATAAGTTAATATTGCTTAGAGAGGCGCTTGATTTGGTGGTAGCCAAGCGCTTGGCAGGTTTATGTCATTTGATATTTTAGCTCCTAAGGTCTAAAGGCTTGGCCTTTCTGTGAAGCTATCACTGTTATTATCTAGGGGACTGCCTCCCAGAACAACGCCGCATATTTGTATGTGGATGCGACGTCGTCAGCGATTTCCCGCCGGCACGCGACCCTTTAGCTATCGCGGCCCATAGATGGCCGATCATCCTGTTTTAGGTTTTTGGGTGTTAATCAGTCGACAGACGGTGGAGATTGGCAGCAGCAGGCAGCAGCTGCCCTGCAGGGCAGCTGGCCATGAGACTTGCATGCCATGCGTTGTGCGTTTTGCTGAGTTCCGTCACTATGCGTTTCGCACTTGAAAAGGAGCCGAGAAAATTTTCCTTTTCAAATATGATAATGGTCCATAAGCAGAAAACCGGCACCACAGCTTTGACGTGTACGGCTTCGGATCGGACTTCAGCGCTTCGACTAAAGAGCTGCTAAAGCAAGCAACCGAATACTGCCGCTGCTGACTGGCGTAAGAAGACTCAGCACCAAATACCTGAATTTAATATATATCAAGGCACGAATTTGAAGGGCAACTCACTGTGCCGCATCTGGTTTTGTGCTACAGTTCACGTTGCTGTATACACTTAAACCTGATGTCGTATGTCAAAGCGCGACGTTATGTAAGGACGAAGACAGATTTTCATCATAGAGGCATTTCATACAATGTTTCGGTAAACATGCAATATCATGAACCGGTCATTATGATACGTCCGGAGTTCTCCAGATGCCGCTTGCCTTTGACGAGCGGACGATACGGCGCGACAATGTCGGCCGAGCTGACTAACAATTTGAAAGTAAGGTTGACCGGGACACTGTTAAATGCAAAAAAGCTCGTGACTATATAAATTCCTAGCCTGAAGGAGTTACGCTATCTTGTGTGCGCGGCCATCGTATGCCCGTTATCGTAGGTCTGTCGGGATCCCTTGAGCTTTCACGACGCTAAGTTTAATAACCAGCTGTAAGCATGAGCTTGTGATTAGATTGCTGGCCGCAATCCGCATGCTATGAGCAATAGTTTCCCCGCTTTTCAAGTAAGATTGCGTAGGGAAACGTTTCCGCCGGAACGACAAGGTTAACACCGTATGCAATCATCTAAACATGCAGCGTAATGCAAGTCAGATTGCCGCACAAAACAAGTTACGATATGCGCGCAGGCATCCACGCAAGCCTGTAGTTACAAATGCTTGCCGGCTTGCCAGATCTCCAGGCTCACAGCTTTCTCACAGCTTTCTCAGATCAGTAGATAGGTCAATAATGAAAGCTCGAAGTTATTTGATGTCATGGTCGATTATAACTTTGCACGCTTTATGTCTTGGCTGTACGGTACAACATGTAAGGATCCCTTTGTGGACGGGTTGCGGAAATACTTTATAAAAATATATTGCGCTGGAATCCTCAGGAAAGTCCTTAGCAAGGGTCTGGAATGCCTTGAGGGTACATGCCGAGTAAGGAGATTCATGTGCTGGCTATTTCCTGACTGGTGCGAAAACGAAGGAATGCCGGCACGCAAGCTTTCTGTAAATCAGAAATGCTCTGTTGCTGTGTTCGCGGTGGCCGTTTCAGGTTGCGACCAGGGGGGTTGGGTTCCCAATGTAGCGGCCATCATAGCTGACATTGCGCGAGGGAATGCGCTTGCAGCTAGCAGCGACGACCGAGCCATGAAACACAGCTGGGACGCCATGGCCTTTCAGTTGACGGGTTCAGGAATCGATTGAACTCCAATATCGCCACCGTCTTGTACCTCAACCAAAGCACTACTAATAAGCACCAGTCCGACTTTCAGTTTTTTATGTCGGCTTATCTGCCGTGTCGAGCACATTCTTATGGATGAGGAGCTTTTCATGACAGATAAGGCAGTCCTCGTGCGAGGAAACCGCACTCACCAAAAGCCTGTTTAGCTCATGTACCGAAAACGCTGGTGGCAAGATGCCTGGACGGCTTGTTCGCAACTGTAATCCTAAAAACTCTACTGTCTCAACTTATTACTCACCTCTAGGCAACTCACGTACGGGAAAGCGGCCCCGAACCTGAAAACCTTAATTGGTTCGTAATCCGGTAATTGTCTATGACCGCATCGGTAAAGCCTGTCATACGATGGCCGCCTTCGCACTTAAGACGTATGGTATCATCAGTCGCATTTTTTAGGAGCCTTTCAGGATGGACATCTATTCGGCGTTGGGGCAACAATGTCCCAGGACGAATTGCAAACCAATTCCAAAAAAACATGTATGTTGTTCGCAATTATGCAAATGTAAAATTTGAATAATTCCTGGCGTATTGTCGTTCCACTTCACTTGTGTGAACTCGCAAGTCCGTTACTTTGGGTTCGGTGCTCCGGTCATAGCTGAGGACAGCTGCTGTGATTACCTAACGCAATACTTAATCTTTTTACCTTGTTTTTCTCTCAACTGTTAAAAATAACCCCCTGGTCAGAGTTGTACGTCCAATGATTACAACTGTTAACTCCACCTGACGTCCTCGAGAGACCGTAGTGTGTATCTTGCGGGCGACAGAAGTTATGCCGCAATCAACACAGCTCAGCGCCATAAGTCTGTATCCTTTTTTCCGTTCATCTAGTCTGCAGTATATCGGGAACTAATTCGTTCTTACTTGCGGCAGCTGAAGAGCAGTTTCTTCTTCGCAGCTTGCGGCGACCTTATTTACGTGCCATCAGTCCCCCAAAGCAATTTATTTTATCTTTTTGGGTGGCCAGGAAGGCATTTCGGCGTTCAGCGACGTTTACACACTTACCGCGGCGTCACGCTCAAAATAGGCTTCGGCCTCCCATGGGCGACGCTAGGTCGTGAATTTTGAGTGGTCGTCCACCTTTTTCAGAACCATGCAAATCTGAACCCATGTGGTCGGAAACTTGACAGCAGGAGTATTTGCAGGATTCGTTCAGGACCAGGAATTTACGGGCAAAGAATGCCTACGCTCAGACGTCATCGGGAGAGTCAACCATCAGCTGGTAGCCCGCTTGCCGTTGCGGGGTGCGACAACTACGGCAGTAGCTCTGACAATGGGCACCCCAGAACCCGGCCTACCATTGCACCGAGGAGTGACTCCACCTCAGGGTGCCACGCTTGGCCAATTCTAGACGCTCCACTTGCAAACGAACGTACAGGCGCTAGCAGCCCCTTCAGCAAGCGGCTTCCCGGCGATGCCTTCACGAATGCCGTGCATTATCCCGTGCTCAGCTCCGACTGCAATGAGCCCCGACCTCAGGAAGCCTTATCAATGAATGCAAATGACAGTCAGAACGATGGGCGCATCACTCAACCGCTTTCTTTCCTGCGAGACGAATGCTGTGCGCAATCCTCTTGGGCGGAAACTCTCAACCTCGACCTTACCACCGCCATTGAGGAAGACAGCGTCGTTATGTCGCAGGACGTTTACGAACGTACCAGCAGCGCTGGCGCGCAGCCCGCCCCAGCCGGCTCAGCTCGCTCTTCACAGGGCCCCCCCGGACGGCAGCGCACATCTGGCAGCGGCCTTCCCCCTCGTCCACCTCGACCCGCAGCTCCGCCACACGCCGCCATAGACCCCCTTGACGGCCTGAGCCCCTTCCTCAATCGCCCCGAGCCGCCCGGTCGCGATCCGACCCGGCCCGAGCCACTCGAGGGCGCCCGCGCCCAGTCCGCCTCCTGCTCGTCCTCATCAAACCAACCCAGTTTCCATGGCCGCCGAGCAACCGCTGCTGCAACGGCCGCTGCTACTGCTCCTACGGCAGGGACGGCGGCTGCAGGTGCGTCTGCGGTGCTGCACCCCGGTCGACACCAAAATGGAGATCCCGATAGCAGGCAGCCCGGATCTGCACCTGCGAACAACGACTGGGTGGCGGTTTTCAGACCGTCATTAGCTCCGGAGCCGCATTGCGCACAGCACCAGCCGGCGGCTCCTGCGCCTTTGCGGGCATCTTTAGCAACTTCAGTAGCATCTAGAGCTGGGGAGTCTGAAGCTTTGTCGCCGTTGGGCCGTTTTGTGGCAGCTACGGGTCACCCGGGCCGCGTAGTGCCTTCCGTAAGCATTACGTGTGCCAGCCGGCTCACCGCTACTGCCACCGCCACTACTACAGCCGCCAGCGGAATCTACTTAGGCCGCCCACCGTTGCCATCACCGTCAAAATTGCGAAATTGCTGGGGCTGCGGCAGTAGCGCCGCCACGGCGCGCGGTGGTGAACAACCTGAGATGCCGTACTTTGCTCAAATAGACGGTAGCATCGCAGCGGCGGCAGCTCGGTACAGTACGACGCTCCAGACGCCGTACTTGCGCCCCGAGAGCCCATTTGACTGGGGTCTTCAGCTGCCAGGATGGGAGGAAGGCCCCGGAGACCTCGTCACCCTTGGTACGGCACATTTCGAGCAGCGCATGGAAGACATGAACCAGGTGAGTACGGAAACGTACGGCTGTGGCACATCACGCAACGAGACTCTGCCAACCTACATTGCACCTACAGCATGACGCTTGTTCCATGATGGCGTACGTCATCATGACGTCATTGCAGCCGTACCCAACCGTCAAACAACTGGTGTAGAGTTTCAGGACAGCCACAACCAACATTATGATTATGACCCCAACTCCCTAACGATTCCTTTCAATGATTCCGGTTGGTCCCGGCCCCCACTTGCACTGCTTTCATAGTTCCCACACGACCCCTGCCTGATCGCCGCGCAGGAAGCTTGGATCCCAGGTTCCCCCCGATATGTGTTCAGACCAGCCTCGATGTTGGGTCGCTGGCTACCCGGCAATGGCGGCGCCGCGGCCGCCACCAGCGACACCGGGGGCCACATTGATAGTTTGGCAGCAGCAGCAGCAGCAGGCCGCGGCCCCGGCCATGTTGCAGCCAAGCTAGTAGCTGCGGCAGCTACTACTGCGTTAGCAGCAGCACCCCATGCAGCTACTGCTGCTGCAGTTGCAGATGGCCCACGGGTCGGCCATCCGTCATGGGTCCGCGCCGGCGTTGGACAGCTGCGTGGCATTGCCATGGCGGCCAGCGCCGGCACACCTTTCAGCGCCCATGCTGGCGGCAGCGCTGCAATGGCCGTCGGTGAAGCAGCTGCTGTAGCAGCTGCAGTCGCTGACGCCGACACTCCTGCAGGTGCGTCGGAACAGCCCGAGCAGGATTCTGCTCAGCTGCCGAACCGACATCTGCCTGCTACGGCGCTGCCACCGCCAACGAGCATGGCAGTCCCGACACAGCCATTTTCTTACCCTTTGTCGCCATCGGCCCTTGGTACTGGGGAGCCCGCCGGCGCTGCCTCCACCGCAGCTGGCGGAGGCTGTGGCAGCAGCAACGGCAAGGACGCAGCAGCGCAGTCCCGCAACGCTTTCGACCAAGTTGGACCATGCTATGAGCCGACATCATGTACGGCGGTTTCGGAGCTCGTGAGCTTGGATGGAATTTCGGGACCTACTACCGTAGGTGGCCTTTTAGCGACAGTTGCACGCCTGGCGGCGGAAGGGGCGCCCTGCAGTGACGACGGCGCCGCCGCTGCCGTTGCTAACGGCGCCGAAGTCTGCTTCCGACGCTCACCTCCGCTCAAGCGACGACTGGATGATGTGGCCCACTGTGATGAATCCCCGCCTTCGTCATATCCAGCCATTGGCATTCCGCTTCCCATCCGACGGCGGGAGCTGTTGCTGAGCGCTGTGGAGGCGCAACTGCGACTGAGGCCGCTGCCGCCACCGCAGCAGCAGCTGATGCAAGAGTGGTAGAAATGTCCGGTCAGTCACAGCTGACGTTAAAGCTGGAGGTTTTACGCAGTGCGTGCGTAGTCATGGCCATGGGCATAGGCATGGGCACATACCACGGAAAAGCGCCTGTAAGAAAACTTAGCACTGTGGTTAGGGCGGACCTCTAGGATACAGCCCCCGTTGTGGCGGCGGCCGTTAAGTTTTTAGGGGCCACGCGGGACGGGGGGCCGTACGACGCAAACGCAGACGCGAATCTGCGTGTTTTCCGGGCATCGACGTTGTTTGGAAAGAAGGGTAAGGTGGGAAAGAGCGAGGATGGGCGATCTGAGGTCTTGGGTTGGGCCAGCGGCTGTGTTAATGTCGCCAGAGTGGGTGTTATCGGTGTATTGGGGCCCGGCCTATGAGGGTGAGCGATGAGGTCTTCGCAGTCTTCTTCTTCTTCCTTCGCAGGCCGGCGGCTCAGAATGACGGCTGCATCAGAATGGAGAAGAAGGTCCTGAATTCATGGGAATTGATTTTCTGTATGCGCTCCATGGCTTTTTGTTATTGCTGTTGGTTTGGTTGCTGCTGCTGGCGGTGGTGGTGGTGGTGGTGGTAGAGGAGGTAGTAGTGAAGGTGGTAGGCGGATAATATTGATAATAGTATCAATAACAATAATAATAATAATAATAATAATAATAATAATATTGTGGCACATGGCTTGTTGTCGCTCCAATAGTTTCAGGGGGTGGTTGGCGTGTTACTGGGGGCAATAGCGGAAACTCTCTTGGGATTGAACGGTAGGAAGTTGGAAGTGAGGCGCGGTACTTTTCGAAAGGGCTACCCAGGAGAGGCAGCGCAGCAGGAAGTGTATTTAGAAAAGGGGATTAAGGTGGTGCAGGAGGAGGCAGGGAAGATGGGCGGAAATGAAAGAGACAACAGGGAGTGAAGAGTTTGCCGTGGGGCTGTCGAACCGCAAGGTTCCACCTTCAGGCCCTTGCGGCAGTTAGTTAGGGTTTCGCTTTTGGATTGGTTTGGTAGTTGGCGCTTGGCGGTTGGTTGCATGGCTTGGACGAAAGCTCGCGGTCAAGCATGCGGGTGGTCTGGTGCGTAGCTGTAGAATCGGGCGTAACGTAAACTGGGGAAGGAATCATGAAGTGGGCTTAGGCCTTCATCCCGTCGGCGCTTTCTGTTTTAATATCACACATGTGCATCGGCTGGCCTGTTTGATCCTTTTTTAAGGAACGGGGCTTCTCCGTAACATAACCAGGGGATATACAGCAGATGTTAGCCACGTTATGCCTGATCATTCCATCTTACGCTTTTAGGCACAAGGCAATCCATCAATACTGTTTGTCTTTCATGGTCCTTTTTTATCTGGCTGCGTCGGAACCTCGTCTTGGCCTGCGGAATGCCTCCTTCTCATCACAATCTCAAGACTAGTTTGAGGTCCTGAAGTGTGGCTCTGTGCAGTTTGCCCCAGCGTCGGTGCGCGGTGACCTGTTTGGCGTTGATGGGGTGTTACACTGTGGGCGGCTCGCCCGAGAAAGGGCGAGCACCGGGGGCCCTGACCGGGCCGAAACACAGCGCAGGGACGGGCGCGCGGCTCTACGTCCGTCTGTTCCTCCGCGCGCGCCTCATTCCCTCACTCACGCCAACCGGGACGCTCTCCCAGCCCCTGGTTAGGCAACACAGCGGCGCAGAAGACTGCGAACCGAACTAAGCGAGAGCCGCACGAGAGGCGCCACTTCGCCTGGCCTGCCTATTCGCGCGCTCTCGTCCCTCTTGACCGCCAAAACAAGAACAAAGAGAAAACACCACCGGGGGCAGGGGCTCTACTCAGGGGGCTCCACTACACACTCAAAAACCAAGGCGTTGCTTGCTCTGTTTTCGCTCCCCTTTCCGGCCCCACAATGCTGTTTTCGGTCCAAACACCGATCTTGGCATGTCGACTATTGTGGCGTGGAGGAGCAAATTTTACTGTTAACTGGATGGTTATAGAAAAACCAAGACTCTAAACTTTGTGGCCTGGCAGGGCCAACATAGGTTATCTTTTCACTGTATATCCTCCTTCGCTCGTTGGAAAATTCCGCCTATCCATTATCTCTCGTGGTGATGCTGCAACGGGCTGAGGTACCCAGAAGTTGCTTGCTGCCATCAGCTGCCATCGTTGCTGCGGCGAATAAATGAACAAAGGGAATAAAATATGGAAGAATTAGTAACAAACATGGATCAACATGGTAGAGTATTGATTCCATCAGAAAACTCCCAAGATTATAAAAGAAAGCAATTGTTTCAGCACCAATCATTGTGTTCACATAGCACAAATCTGGCAAATAATTTATAAGGGCATCCTAAAAATATGGCATAGTTCCTTTTTGCCACCATTCATCCGATTTAAATTGTGCCGGTTGCCCTAAATGCTAATTTTATTCACTATGGAGGAGTTGTTTTTTTCTCGTATGAGACGATTAGGCATATGCACCCGAACATCCCTAAAACATCATCGCTTGTAGTAATGGCCATTACAAATGAATATTTGACAGTTTGTCAGTCAAATTATGACAGGATTGACAGATTCGTCCTCCGAAAGTCGGCGGCGCGGACGGCGGCGGCGATGGTCTCCTGAAGCGAGGGGACGTATGGTTCGGTGACGGAGGTGGTGGGGACGGAGTCGACGATGGGGACGGTAGGGACGGGGTTGACCATAGGGGGGATGGGCGTGAGCGTCGTAAACGGAGACGCGTGGACGTTGCTCGGGAGTTCCGCGGACCGCGAACGGGATCGGTCGCGGTTGGCGTCCGTGGGAACGAGAGCCATCGGGGAAGATGAAGACAAAGACGAAGACGATGGCGCGATGGCGCGATGGCGCGACGACGCGACGACGACGAAGACGAAGAGCTCGGCGAGGAGGATCACCTAGGCTCTGATACCAATTGAAAGGGAACCAGGCCACACCTAACAACTGGGAAGCGTAAGCCGGCTTTACTTGCCGAAAAACTTGCGTAGGCACAGATGATCGGATTTCAAACTCAACTTAGACTTACAATGTTCATAATTTGGTCCGCTTAAATAGTCATATTAGCGCGCCATAACCTCACACGTTGTACACGCAAGTTCAAGCTCCACTAGCTCCGAAGATACGACATGGTTTCAGAAACGCGCGTTAACGAACTGCAAAGCATTACAGTCTTCCCGTGCGTTGTCGCGGATTCACCGCTGCATCATGGTAAGGGGCCCCCACAGGAAAACCTACAGAATTTGAATTTGCCTGTGCCCAATAGTTCTACTGTACGACACATTTATCCACTTAGGGTTTACAAATTTCCCTTAAAAGAGCGTTAAGGCGGACGTGTTTCTCTAACGTAAAGCGCGGTGTCGTACCGACCGGTATCGTACGTCCTAGTTAGGCGACAAGGACTATTGCACACGACTTGCGGAAGATGTGACAGTGCTCTAATAACAGCTCTACTATATTATCCAATGCAATGTGATGATGCAACGAAAAACATATCTCCACTCCTGCACTCTGGCTTGCGGCTAATAGTAACTCTCTTTTCAGCAATACTCTCTCTCTCTCTTACTTCACTTTTGGCAACTACTAGACCTGCATGCTTAGCGCCAGGTGGTCTTCCGCAAGCCCCTGTCTCAGGTACCAGAGCACTGCAGCTCACTGTAGCTCACACATACGACACATGACCATACACATAACCCACCCAACCATACACCATCCATCCATCCATCCATCCATCCATCCATCCATACATACATACATGTGCAGCACTTACACACAATCTGCAGTTACGTCGTCGCCTTTCCCTTCTCCTTCGTAATCGCCCCGGCGGTGGACTCTAAAACCTAAGAGCTGCAGAATCGCTGCAGAAAAAACAACAGAAAAGACCTCTCCCCGCCTTCCCTCCCCGCCGCGTTATCCATCCCCCCAACCACAACACCAAAGCGCCGACCCGCTTGCCCCGACCCTGGCCCGCACTAATACAACCGCCCTCTGGGGCCCCTGACCCACCCCGTACCCGACACGGCCCGACCCGACACGGCCCGACACGATACGACACGAACCTTACTCTCAGCCATCCAATGCGGCTCCCAGGGCACCCGGACGCATCCTCCGAGACCGCGGACCCCTCCCTTCCCTCCTCCCTCCCATATCGTATCTTCTAAATCTTGGCGCTACGGCCCCTCTCAGCTACCCCACAATTCTGGTTCTCATTCTGGTCCTTAATGCAGCCCGGGCTTCAGTCCCTTCCACACGGCCTCCAGCGCCGCCTCGTACCCCCCCTCCGGGAGCCCCGGTCGGCTGAAGAGCTCGAGGGTGATGTTGGCGGCTCCAGGGTGGGTGAGAGCCGAAACACACACGCTCGCCACGTCCGCGCGGTTGATGGATCCTGCTCCCGCAATGACGTCACCTTGACCTGACGTGAGGCGAGGGTTGAGGCGAGGGTTGAGGCGAGAGGTGAGGCGAGGGGTGAGTTACGAAATCCCATGTGATGACGTGGCGTTAGTGAGATACGTCATGTGATGCGCTGTGACGAGGTGTGATGACGTGGCGGTGATGATGCAAGCACGAGGATGAGTATGAACATGCAGTCGGTTTGAAGCTGCCTCCTCCTCCTCAACCCCCCTTATGGCTGCATCTGCAGCGCTCCCGAGCCCCCTAAACCCTAAAACAAACCCTCAACATAACACACACAGACCCACGCTTACCCGTCACGAAGGTGACATGGCCCCCGGGGCCGTTACCCAACCCCCCAGGGCGGATGATGGTGTACTCGACACCACTGGATCTAAGAGCGTCCTCGCCTGCCGGCGGCCAGGCAGGTCGAGTGGTGGGGGTTAAGGTGATGATGGTGGAGGTGATGGTGGAGGTGATGGTGGTGATGATGGTGGTGGTGGAGGTGAAATGATATGCGAGATGATGGTTTGCGTGTATGGCATGGTGGTGGTGCTGCGCCACCAGAGGGGCGGGTGTGCAGGTACGGATTAACTACTTTATCTGGGTAGTGCGTGTCTGTCTGCGGGGCCCGGGAGATACCGGGAGAGGATTCCGGTGCAGTAGCAGCAGTAGAAGTAGCAGTAGTAGCAGTAGTAGGCAGTAGCAGTACGGAGTGTAGCAGCAGGAGAGACCTCATAAACTGCCCCCAGGGAGACCCACCGCACTTTGCAACCCATGGGTCCCGCCGGCGCCGCCTCTTTGTACAGCAGCACACTCGCGCCATACACACACGTGCGCGCTTGGTTAACCCTACTCCACCATACGCACACCCCTCCGCCACACCTCATACCTGGCCCCAACCCAGCTTTTCCCCCAGGGCCCTCCCCCCCAGCCCAACCTACCGCGGAGCTTGTTGTCCATGAGACCATACCGAATATTGTTGAGGATGAGCCGAATAGGGTGCAACCTGGTGGCATTTGGGGGAAGGTGGTGAGACGGCTGAGGGGGGGGGCAGTAGCAGCGGCTGGCGGTAAGGGAACCCCCTCTCCCCCATATGCCGCTGGCATGGCAGCAATCGCGGCGCCTCCAGCCTGCACAGGAACTACATAGCCTCCGTATACCTCCCCTTTCCCGCCGGTGCCGCGACCGACCCGACTACCTGTTCCCTGGCAGGTTTTCTCTGGAGCCGTGCGTTCACAGGATGCTGCTGCTGAGTTCATGCCAAACCGCTACCTGATTGTGCAACATCGGCGACGTTGGCGGCTGGAAAGCTTAAGGACCAGATCAGCAGCGTTACGCGGCCCGTACGCACAGGAATCGGCGATATATCAACGAGCTGATCAACGAGCTCAAGCTGACCAGCTCGGCAATCCGGATGTGGTACTAGTAGTAACGCATGTCATCGTGGGCATCGCATCACGTTCATCTATGAGCGCACTGAAGCGGTGATAACTTCGCCGGTATCATCCTTAAATACCTCCAAAACTTAGAAAGTAATGATTGATAATGCACAGCGAAACACCGTCCCCTGCGATTTCAAACTTCATATTCGTCCTTCCCCTTCTCCTTCCCCTGCTCCATGCCCCTGCCCCCTTCTCCTTCCCCTGCTCCATGCCCCTGCCCCTGCCCCCTTCTCCTTTCCCTGCTCCATGCTCCATGCCCCTGCCCCGCAGACCGGCCCACCAGTGCTTCCTGGTGACCAGCATGGACGACACCAACACAACACGTCGGACACCCAACTCCTTGGACACGGCCGCGACCTTCTCAACGCCCTGTGATATGTTGCAGGGACGGGAGGAAGGGAAAGGGAATCTGAGAAGCTGATGAAGAGGTGGACTGTGGGTTGGATGTAGGAGGGCCGGGGCCGACGGAGGGACAAAAACACTCCAGGGGAGGTGTAGTCGAGCGGACACGAGGGCGCTGAAAAGGGAGGTAATAGTGGGGTCCTATTACACCGTGTCGTACGGGTGCCGTACCTTAAAGTCGACGTCGCTGGCCGACCAGTAACCCGTGCCGGCGGCAGCAAAGATGACCCCTCGGGCGTCTTTGAGGACCTCTCTCAGACTGGCCTCGTCTGTGACGTTGCCCTTGACGATCTGCAGCTTGCTGTTGGGCTCGAGGACGCCCGCAAGCTTGGTGGGGTCGCGCAGGACGGCGCGGGTCGGCAGATCTGAGACTGCTACCAGGCGCTTGACGCACTCCAGACCGGTGCGACCACCGGCGCCAAGCACGACGTTGACGCCCGCTAATGACTGTGATTCTGCCGCCATCTAGTTTTAACACGAAAGGAAAGAATATGGATGGTGTCCCCGAAACCAGGAGTTGGGAAGATGCTTGTTGTGCTGATTTCTGGAAGGCGATAGGCGTACAAAAGGCTTCTAAGGGAAATACCTAAGCTTATACCTAAGCTTATATGCGGTTAAGAATGTTTTCAGGTTAAAATAGTTTACCAAAGCAATGGTGTTAGTAACAAACCAGACTTTTGCCTGTGCATGTTGATTAAGTGCTCGTCCTGTAGTGTAGTACGGCAAGTGCGGCGCGGGAGGAGCAGACCGGAATTGGCCAGAGGACAGTGACTGATACGGTAGTGCGTTACAAAGATTAGCTGGGAACAAAGCGCTGAATCCAGACAACGCTAGTTCGCCAGTCAACCGTGCAAGCAAGCGCAAGTCAGAACGTCGTCTGTTGGGGATTTTGAATTGTTTAAATAGTGACTTACTTTGTATTCGGGACCCAGCTCAATAGTAAAGTAGATAAGGCGATTTGACGTTGCTGGCATATCGGTCGCCAGTAACAGCGAAGTGATGGCAGAGCGCGAGCAATCGCGCGGCGGAGGCCAAGAAGGCTTGGAGGACATCCTCCAACAGCGGGACGAAGGAGGACACCAGAATGGCGGAGCACCTAGTTACCCGGAGGGGGCCGATGCGGTGAGTAACAGACGCCAGCTATTGCTCCGCGCGGTCAGACTGTAGGCACAGCCAGCCGCCGCAAGTTCTGTTATATCAAAGGCATGGGAGAGACCGGACCCAGTTTTAAAATAGCGGGAAAGGGATGCGCCGCCGCTGTTGTTTGACCAGGCTGGATTAGAAGCTACGGGTCAGGCTTAGCTTATGAAGAACACGAATCTGTAGACCGCGAGTGGCCGACTCAGAGTATTAGTGCTCGTGAGGTTGGGTCCGTTTCCGGTGGATGGCGCCGCGGCAGAGGGGTAGTTGCTTTGAGTTGGCGCAGCGGGGTCTGTTATCCCAACGGGTCCCTGTCCTGAAAGCAGCCAAAAGCCCGCAATAGCGCCTAGGCAGGGGCACGCC